GGGGGGGGGGGGGCAGTGGTCACCGGAGGGTGAACCCTGGCATCCTAATCCGTGGTGATAACTCGAACATATCCAAGCTCCAGAATCCAACCCCATTCCCAGCGATTCCCTCCGCCCTCTGGCCTTGCCGACGTCTCAAGATGCCATCGGGAGGTGTTCAAGGCCAGACAAGAGAGGACGGATTAAAGTGTGCGCAAACTTGCTGGCAAGTTTAGTATCCAATTGCTACTTCGCTTTCAAGTCCCTCTGGGGGCTTGAAGGATCCCCGGAAGTTAGTCTTGCTCATGTACGTGGAAGGATTTATTCTCGGGGAGGAGTGCTGAAGAATGGGAGGCCACTCTCAAAAAGGCGGAAGGATTATTTTGGACATGAGGAGTCCGGCGAGTGCAGGGCTTGATCATTACAGCAGAATCATTACAGCTCTGTCAAAGGTTCCCTGCCCAACGCTGTCTGCAACCCACCCCCACCCACTCCCTTCAACTCATTCCGCTATCTATTCCTACTATCATTTCTTCACTTGCGAAAGAACCGGAGATAGGATTTCTGGAGAACAAAGATTCGTGGACAACCAGTGATCGTTAAACTTATTCAAGTGGGTTGGGGCGAGGTGGAGTTTTTTTTTTTTCATCAATGACTGAGGAACGATTAAAGTCGGGTGCCGATGAGCGGAACAAACTGGCCACAGGAGGGATGAGAAACGAGAACTATCGCTCGTAAAAAGTAATTCGATTCTTCCTCCGAACGTATTACTTTTGTGGAAACTGAGGGGACGGGAGCGGGGGCTAGGGAGGGGCGGGAGGGATTGAATTTTCACCGGGGGCGTGGAATCACCCCAAGACCTTTCCGCCAGCCACTTTGAATAGCTACAGTCTGAAATAAAATGGAAATTAGTTTTATAAAGAAATAGGTTTCTAGTTCTCGTGATGAAAAGTCTTGCTGGGAATCGAGGGAGTTGAACCGAGAAACTTTGGAATTTGAAAATATTACTGGAGGGGTGGGAGGGAATCCCGATGAACGAGAGAAAAAAGAACCGTCGAGAGAGTTAATCGAGAAAATTCAAATGCCGGGGTTTGTGGGGTTTTTGTTTTGGTGAAAGTTTTTTTTTACTTTTTACTCCTCGGAAATGAGTGAGTGAGCGAAGTTCTCCGGGGAGTTTTCGCGGGAATGGAGTCGCAATGAATCTTTCAGATGCATTATCATACTTGGAGGGAGGTGGGGGCTAGCCTCGTGAGCATTATCTGGTTTTATTGGAGAGAGTGGGTTTCAGGGGTTGAAAAGGAGTGCGTGCGGTACTCGTTTTAGTGGATGAGCCACTGAATGGTCAGACATGCTGCAGCGCCGGGCACTTCAGTAGATTTCGCCGCAAGTGGTCCGACAAAACGGCGACATTTTCGAGGGATAAGTAGATGTGCAGCCGCTGTGGTCAGACATATTTGATAAAGTAAATTATGTTTTCTATTCGAAGAATTTCATATTTTTGTAAAATAGGGCATTGAATATTTCAGAAGAACCACACTCGAGTGATCACACTGTGATTAAGATTAAGATGAATTTTGCAGCAGTTAATTGTTATTACCCAACAATTTTTTAATTATTAAATTAATTATCAATTATATATTTAAACTTCCGAATTACTTTGTCAATAAACAATTGAGTTCGGAAGACTGACAATTATTTGGGTAAACGGCAATTGAGATTTTAATATTTTTAATTATTTAATTCATAGTCAATTGAAAATTTAAATTATCAATGATTTCATTATTTTTTTAATTATGGGAAGCTCCTACTTCTCATAAAATAATTAAACTTATGAATGGTACCCATTCCTGCTGAAATTAAGACGTTGCAACGAATTTAAAACGAAATTTTTTACGAAAAAAAAAGAGAAACATAGTAAGACGTCTTAAAGACACTAGTCTTCACTGAAATTTTCAGCAGCATAAATATCAGGTGCACCCAACCGTCCGCCACTGGGATCAACTGGATACTGACCGCAATGGTCAGACAGCGCTCCACTCAAACGGCTCCCCACAATCGTCCCTTTATTTTTCATTTATTTTTATCTCTTAGCGACCTATCCCAACCGAAACATTGAGGTTTACATTATTAAACCGTTAAAGTGACTCATGCGATTTAAAGACCGCGGAAGGTGCAAGAGGCGAGTGGAAAGTTTTTTTTTCCCATTCTTCCAGCGAGCGACCTGCATCAACCATAGGTATGTCCATTAGCCTTCACTGGCGTCCGGCGTTCGTAAACCTTTACGAGCAACCTCAATTTCCGTCTACGATCCAGACATTCCACACCGTTTGTCTTCCTCTATCCACTGGTTTACAAATAAATTTTATTACGCTTTTTTTTGCGGTTAATCCTTTTGCCGTGGGCGTATTTGTCGTTTTGACGCGGAAATTCTTCATATAAACGGTGATATCGTCGTTCGATTTTTTTTTCCGGTCCCATTGCCAGTTTTTCCGCTCACATTTCACGTTTTTTGCGTTAATTACGGGGGAAAAGAATTCGTGTGGCCGTCGATTTTAATAAAACTCGCTGACAGACATTATGTAGTGTCTCATTTCCACTGGACAACTGCTGGAAATTTTTTTATTTTATTACTCTTTTTTTTCGTAAAAACCATTTTTAATCATCAAATTTGACAATTAAGTTGTTTATAAGTAAATAATATAATTCATTTAATTTCGGAAAGCTTATTTTTTAGGCATGAAATTGATTTCTGGTAAAACTCTTAAAATTCTGAATAAAATTGATTGTTGATATATTATTTATAGAAAATGCTGGCCATTTTCAAAATTGCTATTTTTTAATTATTTTATCAATCTTCCCCCAAAAGTAAACCTTGAAATTTTTTTTTTCAGATTTAAAAAATGTTTTCTAACGGTTCAATATCGAGATTCAAACTAGACCTGCAAAGTTTAAAAATAAAAATAAAATCATTAAAAATTTCCAGGGCTCAAATAAATGCTTTAATGTTCAACTACAAAAGTAAAAAACCATTTGACTGGCGAAAAAATAGCTAAAGCACTCGAATATCCTTAATCTTTATCTCTGCAGTTATTTGTCATTTTGTACCATTTGTCATTTTTCCCCTCACATTTCAAGTTTTTTTCCTCAATTAAGCGAGAAAAGAATTCACATGGCGGTCGATTTTAATAAAACTCGCTGACATCTCCGTGAAATTCATATGTATTGTCTCATTCCCACTGGGCAACAGCTCGAAAAATTTTTCTTTATCAAGTCAGTAGTGTCAACGAAAACATAACTTCTGCTGTGTCCACCCCCGCCGGTGCGCCGGATAAAGCCGGGAATTTCACCCGTGTTTCTTCGACGTCAGGGGTGGAAAGAGAAAGTAAAAATCAGCGTGACAAGTCAGCCGTATTGGGGAGTCATCTCTGTGAATGGTTTCGACGTGGCGTAGTCAGACTATGACAGATCTTGATGAAATGCCGAGATCCACACGAGCTCCTCGTAATTTTCCCCTCCGATTTCTCCGGATTTCTTGCCCCACAGAAACACAATCGAGAGTCGGGCGATTATTGTTCGGTCTGACGAAAAATTTGGGGACGAGAGCGGCTTTTTTTCTCCGTAAAAAAAATTTCAAGGTTCACGGAGGGGAAAAATACCGTCTTCAGGTACTCAGTACACTCAACTGTCAAATGTCGTGCGATAAAAAAAATTATTTGAAATTTTTATCTGGGAATTTTTTCGCATTGTCAGCGACGAATTGTTTGTACCGATACAAATGTTCATTCCATAAATAGGATTTGCTTGCCAGTAAGGGATGCAGCGTGCGTTTCGGGAGAGCCGATAAATCTCTCGCATTGCCCCTTCGCCCAGAAATCTTGGCGAGATTTATCTGACTCAATTACATAAGTACACTAAATCTTCATGATCAGGGAATGAAAATGTAAGGAAAAGCATTCATCAGGGGCTGACACCGGCAAATTTTCCGAAATATCAATTTCTTTCCCCCCGAACTCGTTATTTATTTAAAAAATTCCCGACTTTATTTCCGTCCTGCGGACGAATAATCGAGTAAAAAATTCGACTAAAGAATATAAAGCGAGACAAATTCCCCCGGAGTATCTCTAACGAGCCTGAAATATTCACCGACACATGAGCGAGACTGATCACAATGGAATTAGGGTCTCTCCATCGTGTACTACTTGGCAAAAAAGCCCGGATAACAACACTAGAGAGAAATGGAAACAACTTTATTTCACCGAGTCAGTTCGCATATAGAGTATCAGTTTGTGTTGGCACGTGTCTCGTGGTATAACACACTCCAGAGAGGGATGCATTTGAAAGGCAGCCCTCGTTTCACGTCTCATCCAAACGTGCCACGCATCTTGGGAGAAAGAGCAGCATTTCTAGCAGTTGAAGCTGGCTCAATTTCCTCTCTGTGTACCTCGAATATCGTGCGGGCTGAAATAATTTGGGAAGATGACCGCATTTACTATCTACAAAGCTAAAACATTTTTTTCCGAGTTCAAAAATAGGTGAAATATTTTCGGGGAAAAATAGTTGATTTATTTACTACAATTTTTTTTATCATCGAACTAAAAAATTTAGAAATTAAATCAAAAAGTGAATAAATGAACAAATGAATTAGAAACGAAATGAATCATTATTGATAATGATAATCATAATGACATAAGAATTACAGAATTATTACGATATTTTTTATTATTTAAATAAAAAAAATTTAAATAAAACCAAAACGTGAATAAATAAATTAAATGAAATAAAGGAATTAGAAAAGAAGTCAATCATTATTAATTATAAATAAACATAATGTAAATTATAACAGATTCAATGACAATAACATAATGAATTCATCTCCCCGAATAATGAAAAATATATAAAAAAATATTTCTCAACTTGTCGATGTTTTTTTAAAAAATTTCACTTTATTTTCAGATCGAATAAATTGAAGCCGTTCTGGCAGAGCATAAATGAACCACTCCCAGTCCTGGAGTATCTCTCATCGGCCCTTCTGTCTTCCGAATATGAACGAGCGCTGTCTCGTGCCCTGGCAATGCCGGAGTGCCCGGTTGTGCCGTTCTTCGGGGCCTTTCTCCGCGAGTTACGCGAGGTCATTGCCTCAGTTGCCAAGGTAAATACCTTCACACCCCTCGCTATCCTCCTCCTCCCCCCCTTCACCCCCAAAACCAGCCCCCAGTGATTTCCCACCCCCTCAACGACCAGAAAATGAAAATGAAGCGGAAAAAAACCCCGTGAAGCGAACAAAAAAGCACAATCGTATTGGTTTGCAATCTTCGGACGTCTTCGGACGTTCCCCAAGCGATTTGGCGAATTTCCAGGTAAAAAGTTTTTGGGGACTATAAAAATCCGTGGATTCCTTTCTACAACTAGTCTGGAAGAGCCACAGGGGAAAAAAGTAACTCAAGAATATAAGAAGTATAACGGAGCTGGAAGAAAAAAAAATAGAGAATGGAGCGAGGGGAGATGAGAGCCCAGGGAAACTGTGACATTGTGGAATGAGACTGCGATAATACAACTGCGAAGAGTATCAAAGTCATTTCAGAACTGCGATTGTTGTATTTTTTTCTATCTCTCGAAATTTCCAGTGGTCCAATTATTACAATTTTTAATTTTTCATCTTTAACAAAATTATTTTCCATTTTCAATATTTTTTTGCATCCAAAAAATTACCCAAAAAATGTGATAATGAGTGCCCCATTAGTTTATAATAATTATTATTATTATAAATTATTATTTATAATAATAATAATAATTATTATTATTATTATTATTGTTATTATTATTATAAATTATTATTATTATTTATTATACATGCATTGATTTTTTAATTTAAACAATTATTATTATTAATTATTTATTATTATTTATAATTTATAATATTAATAATTAATTATTAATTGAATGCAATGATTTAATTTATTATTAATGAGTGCCCCATTAATTAAAAAATTTCTGCAATTAAGAACAGAAAAATGATCACAACATGACAAACACAGCCGTCAATACCTCGTCCTCATCATCGCAAAAACAGGAGAATCCAATTGCCGAGATGAGAACAATGTGGACATTGAGGTCAGGGGTTTCTATCGGCCTCCAGCAGCAAAGACAGTTGTAGGCCGGCGGAAACTACTTGCTCTCACTGTCATAAATCACCAGCCGATATTCACCGAGCGATATCCGCCGCAATCCCTCCAAAATTTCGAAAATCGTTGATTTAATAACAATTAACGAAGGACACATCGGTGCAGCGTATTGTGAAACTGCATCACGGGTCGTTGGGTATTTTCATCGACTCCCTTATCCTCACTCCACTTGCCTCTGTTCAATCACAGCCATTGTTGTAACCGGAGTACCATAGGTGCTCGACGTATTATGGCACCATAATAATGTAATTATTGCTCAACGCATACATAGGAGAGGCTTACGTTATCAAGGCTATTGTGATATTACTCTCTTTGTTGAATTTTCAATGAACGATTTATTATGGACTTTGACATATTCACCAAGTTATTGGAGTCCATTTTCTGATGCATGCGGCATGCGGTTAAATTTTTAATATCTAGTTTCAATAATTCGTGCTAAATTAGAATTTTTCAATTCCATGGGACGACTGTTTAGGAAAGAATGAGGGGGAATGGACACTTTTGGCTCATTTTCAATGTTGACAACTCACAAATGAGTTTCTTAATTAATCTCAAATAAAATTATAATTTAAAACAAGTAAAAAGTGTCCCTTCTAACAAAAATAAAGTGTTAATACGATTATTTCGAATGACAATTTCTGTTGTTTGTTCATGCGGAAAATTTGACATCAAAGAAAATATTGGATTAACGGTTGTAATTGACATGGAATATAATTAATATCACATTCAGAGGGCTGCCATTGACGCTTTTACCTAATTAGCTCTCCCTTCGTTCAGTTCTATCAGCGTTTCATATCCAAACGCTTTATTCCTACAACATTGTGTTGCAACTGGCTTTATCGAATGGAACAATGGTTTAATAGAGACCGTGTACCGAGTATTGAGCCATTTTCGTAATTAGTAAATTATTCAGAGCAATTTCTCCGCTTGCTGCTTCCTTCGAACTTGTGAGAAAAAAAATTATTTTACGCGGTAAGTATGAGTTTTGTGAGGAGTTGCAGTTTTATGGAAATAACGTGGCATTAGCAGAGAAATGGCAAGCTAACTGTGAATAATAAATGCATTACTGCGAGGGAAAGATAAATTTCTGATGGTACGGGAAGCAAGAATTTTTTCACTGTTTATTTGGAGTCAAGGGAATGAGAATGAAAAGAATTAGTTTCTGAAGTTGTGAGAACAGCAGCTGTTTTTTGTTTGATTCAGGGAATCTCCTCTTCTCTTTACTAGTTTGTTTTAATTATATCCGGTGGGGGGAGGGGAATGTAATTATCTGAATCAATGTCCATTACCTTCAATTGATGCGATGAGTTACGAAATTCAATTGACATTTTCTCTCGAGAAATACAATTCTTAGTTATTAAACAAATTAACTAATTTAATTTAATTAGTTTATTATAAATTAAATTATTAATATTCAATAATGTGATATTATTTATTTATTATGAATTGATTGAATTAAATTAGTTAATTTGTTAATTCGTCTTTTTTATTATTATTTTTTAATTTAATTAATTTATTATAAATTTAATTAATAATTAATATTATAATATTATTAATCACTGTGATTAATGATCAATTAATTAATTAATTAATTAATTAAATTTGACAACTGACAAAAAACCATTGGATTTTTAATTTCACCCCCTCATACCCTCAATAAATAATAATTCCAAAATGAATGGAAATTTGTTTAGCAACCAGCCGAGAGCAAAGACAGAGAGACTCAGCGAACTAGCAGTAAGGAGGGCCCACCCCTCGAACACGTGCCTTCGCCCTCGCCAGGTGCGAGAACCGCTGTTGAGAGTAATGCCGATGCTCCATCCGGATGGAGCTCATCAGGGGGCGCAAGCAGCGGCGGTGGCGGTACCAGTAAAGGTGTAAATTTTGAGTGTCCACATGACACCAATGCTGTGCTTGACAAAGTTGCCCTCTTCCATCAGCATCGTCACGCTCGTGGAAGAGATGCTACGACTGGCTCGCTCCATCGTACACTCAGTGTACACACAACAGCTATACTCGAGCAGAATTACATGACTGAGGAGTGCGATGAGAACGACTATCATCTTGACCTTGATTCGTACAAGCCGGTTCAACCCCTTGCCGCTGATCACGGTGTTGCATTGTTTCCCGTTGCTGCGCCCAATAATGGAATGGATCTTCATCTTTTACAAGTGAGTTTATTCCCTGATAACTCAGCCAATTAGCATTCACTCGCGAAAATTTTTTAGAACTACCAAATGTAGAAAAAAAAAATTAAAATGTTGTAAAGTGATAGCTGACGACGTGTGATCAGACACAGGCGGCACTGCTTTTCAGTAAAAATCAATCGACAAAAATTATTACTAAGTAATTTTAAAAGAAGTTTGTCATTGATTAATCATAGTTCTTTACTTTTTTATTTAAATTTGAAAATAATTTTTAATTATAATTAAACAATTGATTCTAAATATCTGAATTTAATTTTTCAATCAATAAAATAATCATCTTTCTTGCGAAGTTGATTATCGATTTATAAAATATTTGAAAAACTACAAATGTCGATTAATAATTAATATAATAAAAAAAAATATTTAAATTTTTAAAATTATTATTATCATTTATTTTCATTATTTTGATTTTTTTTTAACTTGAAAAATTGCATAATACAACTACCTGATTTTACATCCAATAAAATAATTTCAATTCTGTATTATGATCTAACCCACCTCCGCTTAAAAATCAATAGAATCGATTCTACTAAAAAAAATTCTGTAGTGAATTGGTAAACTAGGATAACTGCATTTTGCTTAGTCCCAATCATCGATGAATATCTTGGAAAGGAAGAAAGATACTGAAATTTTCATAAAAATTGTTTTTATAGAGCCAAATGTCAGCTCTAAGAAAGCTCCTCACAAAAATTTCTCTAACTATATCCATTTCCAAGATATTCATCAATAATTGACCCTAAGCGAAAATCACTTATCCTGGTTTACCAATTCATGACAGATTTGATCCCCATTAATTAACCATGAAAAGCGAATTTCTTTCTCCGGAAAAAAATAATTGCCCATTAAAAAAGATCCCCAAAAATCCTCATTCTCCATAACAAACGATTCAGCATTCGTTAGCGTCTATAATCCCCGGCAATCGGCTGACTCGCCCCATTATTCCCCAGATCAAGGGTAATACAGAGTGGGTGGAGTTTGAAGGTTACAGACTCGTCAATGACACTGGGGGAGATTGAGTGTCACCGAGTCAGCTAGAAATGCGATCGATGTTATCTCAAAGAAAATTCGATTCATCAAAGCGCTCTCCCATTTACCTCGGGCTGAGAATAGTTTTCCCCTCTGTACAAGTCGATAAAAATACTCAATCGCGATATCAGCGGGACTAACACTGACTGTGTGTGCACAGCACGAATGTCGGAATTTCACACACCTTGTGGACAATTTCCAGACGCTAAAAGCGTGAATGAAATGACAATTCATTTTCGTCCGAATTTCAAACATGAATTAAGGTGTTTGCACCTGTTCGTCTGCAATTCAGCCGAATCTTCACTTCATTCACATGTTTTTTGGCGTTTGAAAAATGTCTACAACGTGTGTGAAAGCCAGACATTCGTTTTTGCTGTCGCGTGACGGCCAGATGTTGACCGTGTTACTTCCGCCAGTATTTCAACGATAAATTCTCCAAGTTCGTCCGTCTCACTCGCACCCACTGGACCCGCGGGACGCCCCTGGGTACATTCATTCGGGCTGGATGAATTTTCCCGGGTACTTCATTGCCACTCAATCACCTTAACAGCTCGGATAATCGACTATCATTTATCTGAATATCATGGAGCGTCATAAAAATTAAATTGCGACGCCCGGAGAGAATTCTTTGTGCAGTTTATTCGTTGGGGTGCTTATGCACGGATTTTCCCGGCTTCAGTCCCCCCAATTTATCGTGACTCTGAGTGAATTGGTGAATGACAGAGCATTCGAAAAAATTACTAATTGGTTTGAGAGGAAAAATCGGGAAAGCTCTCTCCCGTCATATTTTTCCGACTGAAAGGATCTCGTCGGGGAGATTTTATCTGTTTATATTTATTCCTCAGACCAGCATGAAAGTTATGAATATTTTTCTGAAAGACAACATTTAATCAAGGCGGAGAGATGTTCCGCGAGATAAAGTCAATATTATCACGTGAATATTAACTAAATGAATGTTATTTCTATCGTGTGGAGCTTATCTACCTAGGTAACGCTGAGATAACATCAAGGGCACTGTTACACTGACTTCAAATGTCAAATATTTTTTCAGGGTAATCGCAATGATCCGTTTGAGCTCTTCATCCAAATTAATTTTTTTTAGTTTCTAGGGTTTATAAGGAGACTATATGAGTTTTTAATGCCGCGGGCTATTGGAATGAGATTTCTCATAAATTGAAGATCGTTTATATGTCTTAAAACGAATAATTAGTGCAAAATGTTGAAAATAGTCCAGGGCAGTAACAATTACGAATTAGTTTTTGGAAATTCGACTCCTACACAGCTAATTTTGTTTTGTTTAATATAAAAATTTACGCCATTCATGTAAAATGGGCAAACAAAATTTTTCTTAAAATATTTAAAATATATTCTCGATTCTGTCAGAAATATTTTTCGGCCTGTTTTACACAAATGATGCAATTTTTTATTAAAATAATAACGAAATTAGCTGTGCAGGAGCTGAATTTCAAAACATTAATTCGTAATTGTTATTGCACGCATTTTTTCAAAAATAAAAAAAAATGGGTTCAAAAATTGGAGGCCCTGGACAAACGAACAATAAACAATTATTTTATTGCAGTAATTATTCGTTTTGACATTTATAATCGATCTTCAATGCGTTGTAGTCTCCCCTTAATTTTAAATGTCGATATAAATCATGAAAAAAAATGAAATTATGGGAAAAAATTGCGATCAGAGAGAGAAAAATACGACAAAAAGTGTGATTACTTTTTTTTAATAGGTGCTTCATCACGGTACAACTCTGGTACACTGGGACTGCGAGGGAGCAGGTGGCTCTCGTACATCTCTAGTTTATGCTCGTGTTGATCGCGCCTGTGGTACATTTGTCTGGGAGAAACCAGCTTGGAGCCCTCTAAAAACAGCGGGCTTTGGGTCAATATCAAATGAATTTACACTGACAGTTAACCCTGAGGAGAGTGTGCCCTCGGGACTCGTGACGCGTTACACGTCACCACAGGCTGACTGTGCATCAGTCAGCTTGGAGGAGGGCTATCTCGACCTGAGTTCCGTCAAAGAAGTTACAATCGGCTGTTGCGACAAGGATAGGGAGATTGAACTGCGCGGTATCTGCAAGAGATATGGCCTTCCAGGGTCAGACTCGTGTATTGGGCTCATGTATGGCTCCAATCTCTCCGATAATCGTCTTATTTTTCTTCTTGGACCACCAACACTGAGCAAGTGAGTGCAATTTCACTCATTTTGCCACACGGAAAAATTTATATTTTTAAAAATATATAAAAAAATATATTTAAAAAAAATATTAAAATATTAATATTATTAATATTATTAATTATTAAAATATTAATAATAATATTATTAATATTTTTTTATTAATAATTTATTTAATATATTATTTATATTTTAATACAGTTATATATTAAAATATATAAATCGTATATTTTATATATTTTTTATATATGTTTATGGGGGTTGTCAACTGATTTTATTCAAATTATCACATTTGACACAATTGAATTTAACCACTCAACTAAATTTTTAATCATTAATTTTTTTTCCGTTGGCAGCAAATTAATACATTACAAATTAATAATTTAATAATTTAATAATAATTTACCATTCATAATTAGTTATCAATTCGTGTGGATTAACCCCTCTCATATTATTTGGGGATTCATTTCGACGAATATTTTCTGAAAATATATTTCATTCGTGTGTATTTATTCAAATTTAATATTTAAATTGTCATCTACTTCAAAAAACATGAATTTAAAATATCCTGTGGCTTAAAATTGATAGCCATAAACGTCCTCGAGACTCTGAAAATATTCAGGAAGGAAAAAGCATCGTAAAATCTTGAAAATTCCATACGATCCCCATAAATCTGGATTTATTTCCGAAATTATTCTCTGGGATCGACACCGTAACCCAATTCCACCGAATGTTTTTTTATGGTCCATCAATATTTATTCCTCTTCACTCAGAATATGGTACATGGGACTGTGCTGGATACTCCGTGGGCTCAAACGCCAGAACCAGTTGACGGACAGAAGGTCGAGATGGCTGAAAGAGAAGTATCTTCAACTTTATTTTGAGGAGGGTTGCCTCGAGCCTACTACAGCCGATGCCATTAGGGTATTTGGCGGACGTGACTGGTCTATGACTGAGAGTATTGGTACACTCTCGCCGACCAGTAGTGCTACACTACGACGACGTAATCCGAAGGCTGGGAAAAAAACTAAATCCATTGGGAATATTCATGCACTTACGAAGGTTTTTTTTAACATTTTTTTTTAGTACTGAATGTCAGCTTGTGAACACTCTAGTTGGGTCGAACAGTCATTGATTTTGACCCCTTCGTTCCACATATTTTCGAAGAATATTCATTTCCTTTATGGAATTTTTTTAAAACAAAATCACAAGGTAAAATTTCATAATTTTCAGCAGAATTGGCGTAAAAAATTTTTCGTTTTTCAATAGAATTTAGCAGGTTTTGCTGTTATAGTGAACTCATTGTCATTGAATCGGAGAAAACATTGTCTTCACTTAAGAAGCTTGAAAAAAAAATTACATACTCAAACGTGTGAATGAAAATGAAAAGATCCTGAAAAATATTGAATAAATTTTAGGAACTGAGTTTCAAGCAATACGATTCAGCAGCCTCCGAGGGTGGTTTAACAGCGGCACCACTGCGTCATTTAACAGGTAGTCGTGAGTCTTTAACGAGAATAATACCCGCCTCACCCCGGTCGAGTCGTGATCGAGTGCCACCGCGCAGTCCACCGGGCACTGGTGAGCGGATTGTCTCATCAAGCTTACCGTACTCCAGTTTACAGAGGTAATTTTCCAATAGCCATCGAATGCCCCTCAAAACCACAGAGCCCCCGCCATCGCGAACCCCATGCCTTCGGGAATTTCAATCAAATGGGTAAAACTTGATCTCAATTTGGTATCAAGTGCCTGCAAATAACTTTGTCAGCAAGTGCGGTTGAATCGCTTCACTCACGTTAAAACGAAACATCTTTGGTAACTCTCGATAGTGACATTGCTGCTCATTACTCGGGGGGTTGCGATTACTCGGGGCAAGTTTTCATCGTAAATAGGGGGTGGGAGAGTGGGAAAGTTTTCGGTCACCTGGTTTAGGTCGGCGGAGACACCACCCGTAAGAACTAGTCAAGGATTCGGTTAATGTGTGGTAAATCACTAGTCTACGGTCGAGCTTAAGGTACGGGAGAACTTTCCAGACAAGATCACATTGCTGGTTGAGTTTTTATTCGCCGAAAATTGTGCGCAGGGGAATCAATGGGGTTTAGAGCAAATTCACACTTTTTTAAGACGTTTAGTGTTGAATTTGAGTTATTTTTAGGGTTTGTTGTTTATTAATAAATTGGTGAAATTGGTTAAACTTCCGGAAAACTTATTTTCTTCGAATTTTTTTTTTAAATTCGAAATATGATTCTGAATAAATGATTTTTATGGTGAAAATTTGTTGTTTATAATTTTTTTTGCAATTAATTGTTTATAATTTATTGATAAAAAATGCTCGCAAATTTAAAAAATTGCAATTTTGTAATTATTTCATCAGTCTTGCTCAAAAGTAAACCTTTCAATTTTTTTTCAGATTTTTAAAATGTTTTCTAACGGTTTAATATCGAGATTCAAATTCGGACCTGCAAAATTTAAATAATAAAGTCATTATAAAATGAAAGCTCTGATATTAGAAAAAATAGCCAAAGTACTTGAATATCCTTAAGGATATCCAATTTTTTTAAACATTCGTTGTTTATAAATAAATAATTAAAATTGTTTAAATTTTCACAAAAATTTTTTTAGGCATGAAATCGATTTCTCGTAAAATTCTGAATATAAATAAATTTATTACGAATCCGAACACATGATTTTTATCGTGGAAAATTGATTGTTTATAAATTATTTATAAAAAAGCTCGTAATATGAAAAAAATTATTTTTAAAATTATTTCATCAATCTTTAAAATGTTTTCTGCAACGTTTAAATAATAAAATCATTGTAAAATGCAAATCATCTAAAATAAAAAATTCAATGTCCGTTCTTGCCGCATAAATCCCCAAAAATTTCCGCTGCAATTGGAAAACTCATTCGTCGCCCGCATAAATTTCAATGAGTCCCCCACCCTCATTTATTAATGTCCCCTAAAGCTCCATCAACGAAAGCAGTGAAAGCTATTGTCACCCCAATGATTTATTCAAGAAACATTTTCAGTTTACTGTGTGTAACTCGGGATAAGGATAGAAATGGCTCAAGCGTAACCCCGGCAACGGGTGAGACACCGTGGCAAGTGAAAGCCCGGGCCACTTCAATCATGTACGAGACCCAGTTGAATTTCGTTGAATTCGTTGCTCTCTTTCGGTCATTCAGTCTTCGTGCACGTAAAGACCTACGTGATCTCTTTGGACAGCTTGCAATCACATGCCGGAGCCAGAGTGATGGCTCACTCCGTGACTTCAGTATGAGACCCTCTGTGCTGAGGCAAACCAGCGATGCTACACCACAACGAATTGGTTTGTATTTCTCACTATCCATTCTCGGATTCTCTTTTATTCTCACTATGAAAATATCGTCGAAAGAAAAAGGTTCCGATGAATTTATTGCTTCATAAAAAATGTATCATTATTTTCGATCGCAAATTAATTTTTTGTACTTAAAAAAAATCAGTACAATTTTTCTCATAAATCTAGAGCTTTTTATTTTTCTAATTCATTCCCAATCCGTTGACTCCCAATGAAATTTGAAAAAAAATCCTTAATAACAAACTAAAATATCAATTCTCTTTTATTCTCACCATGAAAATATCGTCGAAAGAAAAAGGTTTCGACGAATTTATTGCTTCATAAAAAATGTATTATTATTTTCGATTGCAAATTAATTTTTTGTACTTAAAAAAAATCAGTACAATTTTTCTCATAAATCTAGAGCTTTTTATTTTTCTAATTCATTCCCAATCCGTTGACTCCCAATGAAATTTGAAAAAAAATCCTTAATAACAAACTAAAATATCAATTCTCTTTTATTCTCACCATGAAAATATCGTCGAAAGAAAAAGGTTTCGACGAATTTATTGCTTCATAAAAAATGTATTATTATTTTCGATTGCAAATTAATTTTTTGTACTTAAAAAAAATCAGTACAATTTTTCTCATAAATCTAGAGCTTTTTATTTTTCTAATTCATTCCCAATCCGTTGACTCCCAATGAAATTTGAAAAAAAATCCTTAATAACAAACTAAAATATCAATTCTCTTTTATTCTCACCATGAAAATATCGTCGAAAGAAAAAGGTTTCGACGAATTTATTGCTTCATAAAAAATGTATTATTATTTTCGATTGCAAATTAATTTTTTGTACTTAAAAAAAATCAGTACAATTTTTCTCATAAATCTAGAGCTTTTTATTTTTCTCATTCATTCCCAATTCGTTGATTCCCAATGAAATTTTAAAAAAATCCTCGATAACAAACTAAAATATCAATTCTCTTTTATTCTCACGATAAAAATATCCTCGAAAGAAAAAGGTTCCGACGAATTTATTGCTTCATAAAAAATGTATCATTATTTTCGATTGCAAATTAATTTTTTGTACTAAAAAAAAATCTGTACAATTTTTCACTCAAAATCCGTTGATTCCCATTGAAATGTGAAGTAAAATCCTCGATAACAACCTAAAATGCCGAGTCTGCCACTAACTTACCCTTTTCCCTTGTAAAATTCACAGGTTTACTCACCCGAAATAATTCCATAGATTCTCACGAGTACAAAACAAGTGGCAACCTCCACAAAAAACAAATATTTGATGCTATTGCAGCAGCAAGTATCGTTAACAACTGTTCAGGAGTTGACACATCCAAGTCACAAGTGATAACTCTCGCGACATTTACAAAATTTCTCGAATCACGACAGCAGGAAAAATTAACTGAAGACCAGATTAAGGCCCTCATCAAGGTAATCACTCACTAGCACTAATTCCTTGGCTAATTAATGGTCTCAGTTGTAATGGAATTTAATCACGTTGAAATAAAATATAAAATCAGAGACACGAACCCGATCCGGCGCTGCGGGTCCAGTGGTGCTTGTCGTTTGAGGGCTTTGCACGTTACATGATGGACAAAGACAACTACGCATTTCCAAATGAATACGCAATACCCTCCGACACCGAGATGCAACAGCCATTGTCCCAGTATTACATTGCAAGCTCTCATAACACTTATCTCACTGGACATCAGCTCAAAGGAGAGTCCTCGGTTCAGCTTTACTCTCAGGTAAATTAGTCTTCATGCTTTACGGGGTTTTCCACTCGTTCTCTGTGTCACTGGTACATCCTCAGGACATTTAACTGGGGGATGAGGTTATTTAACTCTCTCTGTTGCGCAAATTTTGTTCGCATATTTGCTTTCGCATTTTATTAATTAACTCAGCGCTGTGGAATGGCATTTTTCATTTTTCCTCCGACGGGTTGCCGGGCGATACGTATGAAAAAATTCAATGAAAACCTCGGCGAATTCTTGAGGAATTCTATGGAACTTCTCATTAAAATTCGATTTCGATTTTTCTGGTTAAATTTTTCTCTTGAGATTTTTTGGATTAAAATGATTTCGTTTTGTTTTGCATTGCAGGATCCGAGTGGCAAAAATTTAGAAAATTCATGCTCAAAACTCGAAATCTATTGACTTTTTCCTATCAAATGTCCCATTAAATTCGCTAATTTTTTAAAAATTGATTTAAAAAAAAAAAAAAAAATTTCAGAAAATCATTTTTACAATGATTTTTTACTCTCCATCCAGGTTCTTCTGACCGGATGTCGATGTGTGGAACTAGACTGTTGGGACGGTGACGATGGCTCACCCCTGATATACCACGGTCACACATTCACAACAAAAATTCCATTCAGATCAGTAGTAGAGGCAATCGATCGCAGTGCATTCGTCAGTTCTCCATACCCAGTAATTCTCTCCATCGAAAATCATTGCTCCCAGGCGCAGCAGGCCCGCATGGCTCAGATATTTCAGGTAATCTCCCGTTCGCTGTTGAAACGAATATTCGGGGAAAATATGATTGACGTTGTTCTTCAATTTTTATTCAGTCTGTATTCGGTGACAAATTGGTCACAAAATTTCTCTACGACACCGACTTTTGCGAGGACCCTCAGCTGCCATCGCCCTCACAACTGCGCCACAGAATTCTGATAAAAAATAAAAAACTCGTGGTGGATCCAACGGCACCTCTTGTACATCCGTCGATAAGTCACCGGGGTAAAATGTTGATGTCAGATCGTGCATCGTCCATGAAGCAAATGAGAACTGACGTTAGTAGTACGTCCGTTGTTGAATATTTCAGCGAGGATGAGGATGATGAGGAGGAGGACGATGAGGATGACAATGTTGATGGTAATTTTTATCATGCAAACTCGATCATTATCATTTATTTATTGTAATTTTATATCAATTTATTGAATTTAGCCATTTACTGATTTATATGTTCCCATTTATTCAAACGATTTACTGGATTATCGGTCTTTTTTGCATTTTTTTATACTTCCTCATTTATTGATGCAATTTATTGTACTCTTTATATTTTTTTATTTTTCTTTAAATAAATTTTCATGTTATTCCGATAATTGTATTGAATTTGTGTTGATTTTGTTTGTGTTAACATTTATGTGTGTCATTTTAACATGTAAACTTTTCATTTATTAATGCAATTCACTGTATTGTTCCTATTTTTTTATTTTTCATTAAATAAATTCTCATAAAAAAATTGAAATTTATTCATTTTAACCACTGTGTTGATAATGCTGTTGAATTTTTTCATGTTAACATTTATGTGTATGATTTTGCCATGTAATCTCCTCATTTATTAATGCAATTCACTGTATTATTCCTATTTTTTAAATTTTTCATTAAATTAATCCTCATGCCAAATTAAAAAAATTATTAATTTCGAAGACTGTGATTTTGATTTTTTTCTGTTAACATTTACCTGTATCATTTTGCCAAAACCCCCATTTCCATCCAAATTATTTTCTCAAACCAATAGACAATAGAGCCAATTTAATCAATCCCCATTAAATTCCCCAAAGAACAAAAAAAATTTTTAAAAAATGAAATTATAATTGCAGACAACTCAATCTCCAGTTACGAGAGGTACCTCGGCGGTAGCCAAATGTCGCACGTCCGTTTGAAATCGGACCCAGCAGTTGACGACAAATCCCAAAAACAAAGCAGTCAAATAGCCAAAGAGCTCTCTGACCTCGTAATCTACCTCCAAGCCATTAAATTCCGCGGCCTCAACACAACGCCAGGAACACTCCCCATTCCAAAAGCACGCCACCAAAGCCACACAGGCACCGTGCAGAGACACAGTATCGCTGGGATTGGTACCGGTGGAATAGCATCCTCCACTGGCTCACCACAATCCCTGTCGACATCCGCGTCTGTTGCCAGCGGTGGCAGTAATATCGACACCCTATTCCGCCCGAATCGTGGCATGCCAGCGTGCTTCCAGTGTTCATCGTTGAACGAGAGTGCGGCGAAAAAAATCTGCCGCAAGCAGCCGCTCGGCGTCGTGGCGCACGCCGAGACGCAGCTGATAAGAACCTATCCAGCTGGAATGCGAATAGACTCCTCCAACTTCAATCCCGTCATCTTCTGGGCCTTCGGCATCCAGATGGTGGCGCTCAACTACCAAACGGACGACGCAGCGCTGCACCTGAATGCGGCCATGTACGAGCAGAACGGCCAATGTGGCTACGTTCGAAAGCCCTCAGTGATGTGGGAGAAGAGCCACATGATGTACAGAAGATTCAACCCCTGGGACAAGGAGTTCGACGGCCTCCACTCGGTCCACCTGACGCTGTCAGTCGTATCCGGCCAGTACATATCCCCGGCCAATCTACTGGCCAGCACCTACGTTGAGATCGAGCTCGTCGGCATTCCCATCGACTGCGCCAAACACAAAACTAAAATCGTCCAGAACAACTCCCTCAACCCCATATGGAACGAAAAGTTCTGCTTCCAAGTGATGTTTAGAGATCTCGCCTTCCTTCGATTTGGCATTGTCGAGGCCAACTCTCATCACCTCATCGCCCAGCGGGTGCTTCCTTTGAACTGCCTCAAGCCCGGCTACCGCCACGTGCGCCTGCGATCGTGTAAAAATAAGTCCCTGGCGCTCTCGACATTGTTCATTTACTCGAGAATGGAGGAGGAGAGCCTCGACTACAACACGTGCTGCAGGGATCACAATAAGGAGTCGAAACGTCCGTCTGGGAAGACGCCGGAGAAGCTCAGTAATGTCGACCCAGGGCTGGGGGGGGTGACCCTCAAGCGGCGGATGTTCTTTCTCATGGTTTACGATGTCATTCCGGACGAGCCGTACACCATTCTCAAGGTCACGCAGGAGAGCTCGACGCAGGAGGTGATGCTGCAGGCGCTCCAGAAGGCGGGAATTTCCGCGGAGCATGTGGACGAGTATATTTTAGTGGAGGAGGTCTCCCGGGGCTGGGAGAAGAAGGACAAGGAGGAGCTGCCGACCCAGCGGGTCCTGGATCCCGCCGAGCATCCGCTGCAGGCGCAAGCTCTGTGGAAGGGACAGGGGCGATTTTTACTGAAGCGAGTGGGGAATGATCCCAGCAGCAGGGCCTGGCTCGCCTCCATAAGGAGCACAGCCGGTCATGCACAGATGAATGAGAGCGGCGAGGATCAGTCGATGATCTGGGATGAGGCTGACACCTTTCTCGTTTGCATTTACAATGTCTCGCCCGAGATACCGTACGCCATTTTACGGGTGCCGGTGAGCAGCTCCGCTCAGGATGTTCTTGCACAGGCGTTAGTTAAGGCCAGGAGAATGGAGGATCCTGGCAAATTTGCACTTGTTGAGGAATTGGAATGGGGCGGCGCAGGCGCCGTTGGCAGTGGTAATCGTCAGTTGCGGGTACTACGTGACGATGAAAATGTGTACAGCACACAGGCTTATTGGAAGACCCTCGGGAGATTTATATTGAGGGAACGGGAGCAGGCGATTCCCAGGAAACACCTGCTGCCTGCTACTCTCGATAGATTAAGTAAGGGCTTTTCTGTTGGGAGATCGGTGTCACTGCCTGGCTCCAGCAAGGAGAAAGTACCGGTAGCCGAGGCTCTCTCCGATCCGACCTCAAGGGGCCTGCGCCAGCGGCTTTTGATGGGTCGCAGGCGCGAGGTGCACTCGGACGGCGAAGAGTCCAGGGAATCGGACATCCTCAATGCTGCGTTGCATCTTAAAAAGGTGTCGTTGAGGAAGTTGAGGGCCTGGAAGTCTTAGTGGCAGTCACGGGCGACGACGCTTTCATCGTTGTTTGCCCCTCGGAGAAATGGTGATTAAAGTTTAGGGATTTTTATTACTGCTGGGGAATTTGGGGGGGGAGGAAAGTTTTGTTTTTTCGAGAAAAAAATTTCTAAAATACGAGTTTTTACAGGAAACCGATTTTGTAGGGCAAATTCGTCTCTGGCCGCTTGAAATTAGAGATTCGAATTTTTTCTGAGCGAAAAATCAACTTTTGAAAAATGCTGAACGTATTTTTTTTTTTGAAAGTTCATTGTGATTATGAAAAATACGGGGGAAGATACATTTTCAAGTCAACCTGAAAAAAATTGTTATTTTCAAGTCATAAGTATCAATTAGAATGAATGAATTTCCAGAAAAGAATGGGAAATTAATTGACCATCGAGTTAATAATCATAAGTGAAGTTGATACATAATATTTGGGCGAAAAAAAAATTTTCTCCAGATATTTATCATAATTTTGATAAACGAATAAATTTTAAAATGCCCCATCTCCCGCATTTTTCATAAATAAAGAGCGAAATTTTCAGATCATATTCAAAAAACCATTCCGAAAAAAAATACATTAGGAATTTTTGTTGAGTGAATTTTTCGACTAAAAAAAATTCGATTCTCCACTTTTGAGTGGCGGGAGACGATTATGCTCTATAAAATCAGATTCCTGAGGAAAAATCGCGCGGAAAATAGTATTTTTAATTTTTTTTCTCGAAAAACAATTTTTTTCCCCGGTGAACCTCCCCTCAATTGAAATTAGACTCGGATGGGTTTAGGGAAATTAATCTGAAGACTTCTTCCTGTAAAAAAATTTGCTGGCTCTGAAAAAGTCTTCCGATAAATCCCCCAACCCTCTCAATTTTTCATATTTCTACAAAAGAAAACGATAAACTTATTATTTCCCTCGTTTCAAAATACAAAAAATGATAAGTTGCGAATTGGAGATTAATGCAACCATTTTTTTTTCAAAATTTTCAATTATTCGACAATCAGTAAACAACAATTGCCGCGTGATGCCCGGCACTCACCCCGATTGAAATGAAATAGACGTTTTCGAATAAATTCGAAAAAAAAACGAGTGACGTCGCTCGATTGACTGTACTCCGAATAAATGTCAATACCAACTGAGGACGGTTGAATTTGCTGGAGGGGAACTGATATCGAAGGAAGTCACACCGACAGTCCAATGAGAGGTCTATCATTAGCAAATTTTTTAGTAAAATTCTACCAGTAATTTATATTTAGCCGAAGACTGTAGGGGGAGGGGGCGAATCAGGATTTTTAATCGTCTCTTTTGATGTACCAGAAGCCCAAGGAGTATTCGAATAATCGAGTCATCATTCAATGAACCAAATTAAATGTGATGATCGGCCGAATCAACGCAGACACATGACGTGTGAATTATCACACGAAAAAAAAAAAAAAAAAAAAACGTACATCGACACTGGCGACGAAGTTTTCCTGGCAAAGTTGGCCAAGTAACAATAGACAATTACAAGTTTACAATGATTATAGAATGTAATAGGATTTATTCAGTGTTCAATAAGAATTGTTAAATGAATTTAAAAAAACCGCCTAAACTTGTTTTTGTAGAAACACTCGTGCGTGCCTGAGCGAATTGGTCAGAATGTGTTTAACACATTTATTTTTATTATGATAAATAACCGCGAGATTCCGCATCCATTAAACTTCTGATGTAGAGCATTACGAGATACAAATTAATCATAATTTTAATGATTATAGCTTTAACGGCTCCACCTTTGTCGAGGATAAACTTCACAGACTACACAATTTTAATACTATCCATTAATTTTTAATGAAACTGATATCAGTGCAGAGACTATAGAGTTATAATAGTAGAGGAAAATTTATATAATTAACAAATGCAATAGTCTAATCACACCAATACGGGTTCATCAGATGAATTATCGTTTATTTTGGTTCATTCTCTGGTGATCGATTGAAATGATTGAAGTAGTCGATCAATCTCGCCGCCATTAATTTCCCCGAAGTCAATGATAAACAAATATTCCACGTGAAATATCGTCTCTTTCATTGTGCCCAGCCAATTTACGGTATTTATGATTGTCATTCACTCCATTAGTTTTAATTTCTCCCTGAATCTTTCGGTTTTTTTTCTCTCTGCAGAAGCCAACTTTCAACTGAATTAATTACCCCACTGTCAACTGCATTAATTACTAACGAATGAGTCCGGACACACATGGATAAATATTTTTCAATCATTCGTTTTTTCACGACGAAATTAAATTAAAGAACAATATCACTTCAAGAGACCAAGACAATTGTTTTTATTCGAATTGACGACGAGTTGAATACATTTTGGATTAATACAAGTACGAAGAATATTAATATCATGGCTAAACTATTCATCGGATTCATATCTACCTAATATCGCACTAGGATTACTGATAGTTCGATGTATCATACTCTCCGAAAAAAAAAACTTATCAATTGTCAATTTTTTTGGTCACGACTCGTGAAAAATAAAGTTAAATGGAGAAAGTTTTTAAATGGGGGGAGGAAAATTTATCAGTCTCTCGTGATTTTTCTATTCACTGTAAAACTATTGCATTCGACGAGTGCATTCTAATGAAAAAATCATTCGAATTATAATCCCCGCATCGAGGCAAGGCATCGATCGAGTGATGGTGAAATGCTTTCAGTCGATGAATCGCAGTTTGGGATTATGAAATTATCGCGTTAATGAGGGGCGCCGGGACGACCGAAAAAGTCTCCCCCCGGCTTTTTCGTTCGCGCGGTGAATGCATAATTCAACGTTCAACACTCGACTCTAGTCATTTCACCTCGCAACCGAAATATATTCTTATCGGCTAGTCGTTTTGAATTTCTAGTGACGTTACGGTGTAAAGAGACTTATGATAAAATCAATAAAAAATTATTATAGAAAAAATAACAAGATTGTAATACATAGTGAAAGAGTAATGCTTCTACGCTGCGAAATGTGAAATTATACTTAACTACTTTTTAACATTTTGGGACCATTATCATGAGATTAACCGACTTCTTGAGGTTACCACGAGCAGTATTAAGTTTCTATTGGAATATGCGCGCTGATGAGGAGTAAATAATAAATTATTTGTCAGCATCATTGACTCGAGTATTTCCCCGTCGGTGAGAAAAAACTTTTAGGATTTGTGTAATATCCCCGTGTACATATCCGGAGAGAAATAATATCCAAAACCGAGAAATCGAAATCGTGAATAATAAAAAAAATAGAATGAAATCATTTCAGTTGTTTTGTACATCAGTTAAATCGACAAAAGCCAAAAAGTTTCTCGCGTCGTGGGGCCAGGGCCCGCGCGGAGGCCGCAGAATTATCAAGAGTTTGTAAAATTTTGAAAACGTTGAGATTTTTTAATCAACCACACGTTCCTCTGTCATTGAAAACGTTGAATAATAGGATTTAGAAAATTGTCGACGAATCGCCAGTTCTCCGGGCAAAATCCCACGCCGGATCGGCTGGTGTACGTCTCTGTCTACTGCTTTGTACGCTAGCGCTTCTACTTTTTGAAAAAAAAAGGCATTTGTCCTCGCACACTGAATTTTATTTTCACACGTATCTCTGACTTTTTATTCCACTTCTGTATTTTCACGCGCATTCTTTCATCTGTACATAAAATGTCACGGTTCGTTTGGCATTTTGTTTCACGAGTAGCATCAAAGGAGAGAAAAATACAGCTGACTGTTGTTATTGCATAATTCTCCCTGACGCATAAAGCAACGAAGATTCACTATTATTCATTTCAATTTACGTTCACGTTATCGATTATTTTTGACAACTGGTTACCAAACTCTAGTCACTCTTTCCTCGTCGTTATTTCACTCTTCACTCCTTATTATTTATTTATCCGTCATTTAATAATTTATTGAAACTCTCGAGACGTCGGTTCTTCATGTTTTATTCATACGATCGAATCGAATTGTGGTAAAAATGAAACATTAATGAATTGATTAACAATTAAATAAACTACGCATTTTGATGAAGTTTGAGGCAAACTATCTCCGACCTTGAAGTGTGAATTTTCAGGCTCGCCATTTCATGTGATTTGAATACATTAAATAGGATAAGAGGATAATACTGAGGATAAAAAATTAACTAAATAAACAGTGAAGAATGGTAACATCCTTCGTAGATGCGTCAAATAATCGCAGTTGAATTGTGTAGGTCAAGATTTAATTGATGAAAAAAAAAACAAACATCACTTATTATGAATAGGATAGAAACTTTTTGGCGTTATTTAAATTACGTAGTTCTCCGTTCTTTTTTGAGGAACACGTGACCCAAAGCATGCGGCCATTTAGACTACATATATTATAAATATAAATATATACATAAATTATTATTAATTATTATGGTAATATTGACATTGTTGAAGGATCTACATGTAAATAAACATAAAGAGCATTTTTATAAATTATGAGTTTTGTTTATTATTCCCCTTAATCTCATGTACTCAGTCATGGAATTTTTTTTAACGAAAATACTTTTAATTTAATTAATTATTTAATTAAATATAAGAATAATAATAATTAATAATTTGATTATTATTAATAATTAATATAATAATAATCAAAAGTATTATTATTATTTTTTTTTTTTTTTTTTGAATAATTTGGAATGGAAGTATTTTTGTTTAGTGTCGACAAAAAAAAATGTTTACCAACATGCGAATGTTTTGACTTGAGTAAAATTGGAATAATTATCGCTCAGATTGAGTAAAAAACTCCTGTTTTCAATTTTTCGGTGAGATATGGCTGATAAATGACGCTGGATCCCTGATAATATGGTTATCGGTATTTATCAGCTAACAGAAATATAACGACCTCGCAGAATTGGAGAATGTCTCAGTCTTCAAAGAGCTCTTCTGACAGTTGCATTCATTCTTAAAATGGAGGTACTGTATTTTTTTTTAATTTTTTTCTTCCATATGGAAGTTTTTTAATCGATAGATTTTGTGATTCTCTAATTTTTTGTGGAGACAAGTCAGAATGTCATAAATCGTTGAGATGTGATGGTTTCGGAAAATTAAATCTAAGAGATTATTAGTCTCCTCTTATTCCTGACTCTTCTGCTCTGTTGAAACTCAATTACCCAATAAAATTGCCGTAATGAAAATTAATTAACATTGTAGAACTTGTCGTACACCTTCAGAGGCTTTGTTGTGCCGGTATTGACGCCCTTCACCGACGGGTAACGGCAATATTATGTCATTATTAACTTTTGTGGAAAGTAATTAATTCGGTAATTACGTAAATTCGCTGTGCAGATTGGCTTTAAATTTATCGGTGATACCGGGGTACGCGAAGTTCCTGGCTGAGAGGGGTATCAAAGGAGTTTTAGGTGAGGTATTTATTTGATAATTATGTTGGATAACCATCATTATACCCATGGGAATGCAGCAGGGAGGACTAGGAATGTATCGTAGTTTCCTTGAATAAGAAAACCCAAGAATTCCCGTGTAATTGACAAATTGAAAGCAATTTCTCTCGAAACTTTTTTATTCCGAGGGATTATGAATTGAATTTCCTATAATTGCACTTGAATTAAGAAGCGTTTTATTCCCTAGCTAATTAGATAAAAAATCCCATTGGATTTCCACTGAACTTCTATTGAAAATCCGCAGTTTGACTTATTAAATAATTTTTTTTCAATTGGGAAATGACATTTATAAATTATAAAAAAAATTAAGTTCAACTGCAACTAATTCAGGATGAATTAACTATGATAAGTCAACGGCACGAGTGGAGAGGGCATGTCAATGTCAGTCCCAGAGCGCAAGCAAGTGGCTGAGACCTGGGCGAATGCTGCGAAAACGACAAAGCAGCATCTTATGATTCAAGTGGGAGGCGCTCCCCTCCCTGACGTCGTCGAGCTCGTACGTAATGAAATCGAAATAGAATCAAATATTTGGAGAAGCCGGAAGAAAACAAATTAAGGAAATGAAAAATTAAATAATTCTCGGGAATGCCGTTGCACTGCACACAGGCTAAACATGCGGAGCAAATCAAAGCAGACGCCATACTCTGTTTACCGGAGCTGTACTTCAAGCCCACTAATGCGGAGCAGTTAATTAATTACCTGAAAATTGTGGGGGAGGCTGCGCCGGCCACTCCATTACTCTATTACCATATTCCTATGTTTTCCGGTGTGGACAGTGAGTGAAATATTGAAATGTTTTTGAATGTAGAGAATGAGTGAAATTGGAATTTTTCTTGTCTTGACAGTCGACATGGCGAAATTTCTGGGATCAATTGGGAATCGAATCCCCTCGTTCGTTGGGATCAAATTCACGAGCACTAATCTTGCCGAGGGAACTCAGGCTTTACATGCTGATGGAGAAAAATTTGTTGTTTTTTTGGGAAGTGATCAGGTGAAAAATTCTATAATTGAGAAATTACAATATCGAAGGAAATAAAACTATTCATTAAGTAATTAATTAATTGAATCAATTTTTTTTTAATGTCAATCAATTAATTTGTTAATTAGTTAACTAACTAATTAATTAAGTAATTGAATGAATTTATTTACTGAATGAATTCTCTGGCGAAAAAAATGAATTAAAATTTAAATATTTTGATTCTTATGACCAGATTATGTCAGCTGGATGTGCAATGGGACTCGATTCCTTCATCCCGACAAGCGTCAACATATTCCCCGAACGCGCGTTACAAATTCTGACTGCTGCAATGACCGGTGACGGTCTCAAAGCCAGAGAGGCCCAAGAAAAATTGAATAAAGCAGTCATCGCGATATCGAAACATGGTAATCTGTCATTAAAATCCTCAACTGTTCACTTTAAAAGAATTCTTTATAATTATAATTAACGAATTATGATTATAAACAATTCTCAATTATAATTAATTAATTAAATTTGAGTTACCGAAGGAATAATTCCGAAATGCTCGAATTGAGATAATGTTTTAATATTTAATATTGGTTAGAAAACGAATATTCTTCATTCTAGAATAAAATTCTCCCCTCTCTTTATCTCTAATTCCCCAGGTAATTGGGTCGTCACCATGAAGACAGCGATGGCCCTCCTGACGCCAATAAACCCCGGCCCAGTGCGTCCCCCAATCCAGAGGCTCACCCAGGAAGCAGTCGACGCTATGACGAAAGAATTGCAAGCCCTTGGATACTCCGTGAAGAACTAATAAAAACAGCTGGACAGTTCCCTTTTTTTATAAATGAATATAGTAATTGTTGGTAATAAATTAGCAATTTGCAAATTTTACTTCCGAATGCGTTTTCTTTCTTGAAATTCACAAAAAGAATCGTCTGTCCTTCTATCACTCGTTATCACTGAAGCCGTGAGATAATAAACCCCGCGGTTATTCAACAGTTGACCGACACCTGCTGTTCTGTTCTGTTATCGCACAACCACTCCCCCGGTTACGTAAAATTACCTCAATAAACAACATAAATCGGCAAAATTCACGGACCTCTCGCAAATTTTCCGCCTCCAATGTGACGCAGTTAAATCAATAAAACTCTTTATTTTTTATTTTTCTATTCGTTTGAAGAATCTTTTTGTGGCAAAATTGTGAACTCATATTTATCTTCATGAAAATGTTATAATTATATGAAATGAATAATTCATTAATTCCAAATTGATAAATAAAATTGCTTCAGATAATCAGAATGAACCCATTGATTTCATTTTATTAATCGATTCTTCTCAGTCTCCTAAATCCAAATCAATTGCAGAACCAATTACGTGAAGTTTTTTGGTATCTCTGCCGTTGGTGGGGCAATAAGACCTGCTGGAAGCACCGTTATCGCTGTGTCAGTGAGCATTCCGACCTCCCACTGATTACACTTGCCCGTCATCTCTCAATTAAATTCAGTATCTGTACGATTGCGCTGCGAATTACATCTCCGCCGAGGATGTCGGTAAGACGATCACATCATGACTTCTCTCCGCTCATTACGATAAAGAAAACCCATTGTATTTAATTAATTAATACAAACAATTGATTTTTCATTTCATCTTTTTATTCGATAGATGAAAAATATTTCCGTTTCAATCAAAAATCGATGAATTCTCTCTCGAATTTGCACGTCTCTAGCGTTTATTACTCTCATGGTGTTATCGTTGATGCAATGTGATAACGTTACAGAGCCTGTCATACACATTCAGAGGTTTAATTGTACCGGTGCTGGCGCCATTCACCGAACGGTAAAAACACCATTGCATCGTTGATTTCACTTTGGTAGAAACCGAGTAATTCGACTGTTACGTAAAAACTTGATGTAGGTTGACGGTGAATACTCCGATAATACCGATGTACGCGAAGTACCTGGCTGACAGCGGTATCAAAGGAGTCCTCGGTGAGTTGAAAATGCAATAATTCGATAACTAAAACAATTGCAATCACTCGCACTCGACAGTTGAGGAATAATTTCTTCATTTTCACGCAGGAAAAAATTTCTGTTTTTTTTTCTATCAAAAAATTTCGTAGCTTTACTGCGGGTGTTTTTATAAAAAGTGTCCAACGGAAACTTTTTCATAGAAAATGTTCCTGACAATGACGAAATTTCATTTACATTTTCCTCCGAAAGTGCTCGCTGTCTAGCTAATTAAAAAATAAATAACGAGAAAATTGAACATGCAATAAGATGCAGTGATCAAGAGAAAGTTCTGATATTGAATCGTAATCAAGTAAATGGCACCACTGGGGAGGGAATGTCGCTGTCGGTGCCCGAGCGCAAACAGATTGCAGAATCATGGGCGAGTGCTGTCAGGACAACCAAACAACATCTGATGATTCAAGTCGGCGGGGCGCCCCTTCCGGATGTCATTGATTTGGTATATTCATACATTTCGTGCATTGCACTTGGCATTCAATATTTCTCATAGAAATTGACAAACTCACAAAGATACTCATTTCAATAAAAATATTTTGATTTTTTAATTTTTAATTTTTATTTAAAATTTTTTTTTTTCAATTTTTTAATTTTTTTTTGAGCATTTGAAACCGATTTACAAGGTTTATCAGCTATGAATTTAAAAAAAATGTTTTGATTATCTTGAATAAATAATTTGTTCTCTTCGCCGTCTGCACAATAATTTAATTTCTGAAAGATAAAGTCTTTATTCTTGTCATGACACACTTGTTTGCGAATTATTTGAATAAACTCGTTCGTTCAATTCAAATAAACCATTTCACTCCGTGTGTCAGCGTGAATGCAGACGTTGTTAATTTTCTCAGGCCAAACATGCGGAGGAAATCGAAGCGGACTCGATACTCTGCTTGCCAGAACTATATTTCAAACCTGCGAATGTGAATCAGTTGATTAATTACCTCAGAATTGTGGGGGAAGCTGCGCCGAGGACGCCGCTACTCTATTACCATTTCCCGGCGCGGTCCAGTGTCAATCGTAAGGCGAATATTTTTTTATTATTTGTGATAAATGAACTTGTCCACGATTTTGGGAGAATGAGGGATCACCAGGATATTATTATGTTCAGTTCACATGGGGAAACTTTTGGAGACAGTCGGGACCCAAGTTCCGTCTTTCGTTGGAATTAAATTCACCAGTACGAACCTCGAAGAGGGGTCCCACGCCTTGCGCGCTGATAACAGGAGATTTGTCGTCTTCCAAGGGAGTAATGAAGTGAGGACCATTGGAGCGTTGACACTGCTGATTTTTTTTGAGTGAAACCACAGTTAAATTTAAATTTTGAACATTTCGATATTGAAATACATTCGGGATAAATCTGAATTTTTTTTAATGAACCGACAGTGAAATTTCAATTTTTAACATTTTGATAATGAAATACATTCAGGATAAATCGAGAAAAAAATAACAAAAAATTACTGTGATAACACAGTAAAATGGGTTCGTTTTGAAGAATACGAAACAATTCACATGAAAAATTTTCGTTCATACGAAAAAATTCTGTGCTTCAGACATATCAATTAAAAATTCAGGAAAATTGTTTTTCTTCATTCTCAAATTCATTCTGAAAATTGAATATAAATTTTAGTAAATTCCATTGCCATATCAAATTAAAATTGAAATGTCAACATCAATTAACCCCATGAAATTAAATTATACGAAATATGAAAAATTTCCCATCAACACGAACTTTAATTAAATTAACTCCAAATTTTATTCGAATTATTTTTAGATTTTGTCAGCGGGTTGCGCCGTGGGAATGGACTCCTGTATTCCATCGAGCACAAACGTTTTTCCCGAGAATGTTCAGCAGATCATCGCCGCTGGAACGAGGGGCGAGGGTTCAAGAGCGAGAGAGGCACAAGAAAAATTGAACAAGGCCCTCACCGTCATTTCTAAATACGGTATTTTCGAGAATTTCCACGACCTATAGAATAATATTCGTCACTGAGTCTTCAGCAATATTAACAAAAAAAAATTCTCCAATTGATTCAGGCAATTGGTCCGCGGCCCTGAAGTCCGCAATGTCCCTGATGACTCCGATAAACCCGGGCCCCACTCGTCCGCCGAACGCTCGACTCACTCAAGAGGACATCCGCTCAATGCGCCAAGAATTACGAGCGCTCGGTTACTCAGTCAACAAATAAACTAAAAAAATTTGCATTTAGAATTTTCCCTCAAAATCCGAAACTTCAAATGGAATGAGAGTAATATTCAGTACTAGCCTGCTCACCCTACGCGATCCAGCGACTGCAGTCACGTCCGCGGGAACGCACCGCCGTGAATTTAGACTTCAACGTTGCCGAATTTACTCTACACTGCCCGGGCGCGTCTAGCGAGTTTCCGGCAACGTTGCATGACGGGCCACTTCATTTAACACGAGAAAACGCGTCATGGGTTGGGCTGCAGGGAACTAAATTGACGAAAATGAGGCTTGAAGACTTTGATGGAATGAACACTGAAGTCTTGGACCTGAGCGAGAACAATCTCACTGAAATCGTCGCGGATGCGTTCAAGAACGCGACGATTGAGAAGCTTATCCTGCCGACGGATCTTGCAGCGAATGCAAATAAAACTGTCTGGGGGCTGCCTAAATCAGCAATTCTTTATCAAGATCTTGACGATTGTTATTTAACTAATTTGATCATTATAAAATAAAACTATGTTGCAAAGATTACGTTTATTTACTCACTCGTGTACCTGAGATAGCCCCGCATTACAAATTTGTCATGATGGAAATTACAGTGTATTGTTTCCTTGTTGTGTCTCTCCAGGAAAATACGATAAATGTTTTCCTCGTGACAATCCGAGAATCGAGTTCTCATTTTTATCGTAATGAATTATGTAAGGGGCATCAAGCACCGCATATTAATAACTGTGATTCATGAGTGGTGGACAGCTACAATTGAGTCATCAAATACCGCTGATTTCAATACTTTTAGGCTCTCGTCGAGATTTCCTGCGGCAAACAACAGGAAAAAATTTTCCGCGACTGAACTTTCTGCCTTTTAAAATCAACTCCTACTCCCCTAGACGTCATATTGAGGAAAACTCTGGTCGATAAATAGTAGCATTCGGCAGACTCCTCGACAGTTCCGCTTTCTCTCCAATCGAGAGCAGTTGTAGTTCGAAAAATGAAGACCATCATTGGAATCTGTCTCGTTTCGCTAGTGCTGTCAGCCCTCGCTGACAGGAAGAACTGTAGACTTAACAAACGTGATATCGTAGTCTGCGAAGATTCCGGCGTTGTCACTCGAGTCGTTCACCCCGCCGAGCACCACAACCTCGTCCTGGATTTGGAGGGCGACACAACCCTCGGGGCGGACGCCTTCAAGAACGTCAACAACTGGCAGCTCAAGCTGACTTTTCCGGAGGAAGGTTCGCCGCATCTTCTGTCGCTGCAGCCGGGGTCCTTCCGCGGTGTCGGGTACACAACTAATCTCTACATTCGACACGCGAATATCTCTTATACTGGTAATCCGTGGGCTGAGCTTGGAGACCTGGAGATTTTCAGGTGTGAGAGCTGCGGATTCAGGGAAGTGCCAACGGAAATGCTAGCGGCTTTTCCACATCTGGAGGAGCTAGTTCTGGACAACAACCTGATCGACACAATTCCTCCAAATGCATTCAAATCTTTGAAGAATTTGACTATTCTGAACTTGCTCAGGGATGGAGCCATCAGTCTGGGGCCTGATTCCTTCAATGGGCTAGACAAATTGGAAGAGTTGACCATTTCGGCGGATTCTTTGACGTCCGCTCCCGGCGTCCTGGAGGGATTGAAGAAATTGGACACCCTCAATTTAGTTGGGGATCTCCGGAATGACACGAGTCTGTCCGATATATTGCGAGCTGTACCAACGCTCAAGGACTTTCAGCTGAAGCACAGTAACTTGGTTTCCCTGCAACCCGGAACATTCAATAATAATCGTCTGCGCAGCCTTTCTTTCCTCAACGACAGGCTGAGTAAAATCCCTAAGAACGTGTTCAACGATCTGAAGTCTTTGAAGGAGCTCACGTTCATCAGCAATCACATTTCGGCGGTGGAGCCCGGCGCATTCTCCGGTCTGAACCTTTCAAAACTCGTCCTGACATTCGACTCAACCCTAGATGTCATCGAAAGTGAAACCTTCTCCGGCCTGACTGTTGATTATCTGAAGCTCTCGTACAATAAAATTGCGCAACTGAAGCCGAAAGCCTTCAATGGTTTGACGGCGAGACGGGTGGTCACTTTGGCGGGGAATGAGCTGACGAAAATTGGTCCTGAAGATTTCTTTGGACTCAGCACTATAATCTTGGATGTGAGCAACAACAATATAACGGAAATAGCGTCTGGGGCATTCAAGAATACGAAAGTTGAAAGTCTGTGGCTGAAGAGTGATCTTGCGGCGAAGCCTAATAGGGCTGACTGGGGACTTCCGGAGTCTGTGAAGATTGAGTAATATCGAGGGATTGATATCTGTATCTAGAAAAAAAATATATAAATGAAGAGGAAAAAATAGACGGGAAATTAATCATCAGCTCATAAATTCACCAATAAAATTATAAATTATTCTCATAGTTTCTCAAATAAAAACGAATGTCCTATTGACCCAAATAAATAATTATTTAGTTGGAAAAAAATAATTGATTAGACGGCGACAGAATTCTGATGGAGAATTTATTTAGAAAGAATGAATTATTTTATTTTGTATAATTTAATCATTTTTATTCAAATATATACATAATTTTATAAATTTGCAGCGAAAATATTATTTGAATGAGAGGAAAAATTCCAAATAAAGACTTTTATGCGTCTCAAATGCGTAGTTTTTCTGAGTATACAACCGCAAACTGAAATTTGCGTGCAGAAGACATTACTTTTGCCCGGACAATTATCGATAACGCTATCCTCGTGCGACAACACCCCACTATTCCATGTCACATTTACAAGCGGCCGTTTATTCATCACTTCTTTGTAGTCCGGGTAACACTACTCTTTCTTTTAATATGTAACGACCCAAAGTAACGAAACTATTCATAAAAAAATGAGCGTAGAAAAATTATCTGTGATTGATTTTTACGAAGGCAAATCGATATTCATCACCGGTGGTACTGGGGGCATAGGTAAGCTCCTGCTGGAGAAACTACTGAGATGTTGTCCGAAAGTTGGATGCATTTATCTGCTTGTTCGAGCCAAAACGGGAAAGATGACGACTGAACGGTTATCAAATCTACTTGATTCACCGGTAATTGAATTTTTTGTGTAATAAAATCTCAGAAAAGAAAAAGTTTTCATCAAATTTATGCTCTGGTTCATCTCCATTGCTGTTAATTCTCCGGAATTATCAAGGAATATTGGAGAAAAATGAAAACAAAATTTATCTAATTGTCACTCTGCCACATTTCGCTAATTATTTCAGCCTCTATCATCAAATTCTATTAGGATTACTGTAGCCAGTGTCCAGTATCGCCAATAATTGTTGATAGATGTCCAAAAATCGTTGACAAGTCCCCGAAAATCAGAATTTTTTAAGGAGGCTTCTCAACTATTAACACAATTCATTAAATCTTTGGACATCATAAATTCCGAAACAGGTGTTCGATCGGCTTCGCCGCAGCGGTCCGAATGTCTTCTCAAAAGTCAGGATTGTGGAAGGAGACTTGACCCTCGCCGATTTGGGCCTCTCCGAAGTGGACAAAAAAATTTTGACATCAAACATTTCTATCGTGTTTCATTGTGCCGCTAATGTTCGATTTGACATGCCCCTGGAGGAAGCAGTAGACAGTAATGTTTTCGGGACTCGACGGCTTCTCAAACTCTGCCAGGAGATGACCGAAATCGAGGTAAGTCATAGATAAATCATGACATTCTGCCAAAGTAGAAATTTATTATTCATCTTATAGGCATTTATACATGTCTCAACGCTCTTCTCGACATGCCACAACAAAATAATCGAGGAATGCATTCCCTCCATCCCGGCCATCAGCGGAGTAATAGACTTCACCAAGAGCGATGATGATCTCCTGAAGGCGATACCTCCGGAGCTAGTGAGGAAGTGGCCGAATACCTACACTTTTTCAAAAGCCCTGACAGAGATAATGCTGAAGGATCTGCGAGGTAGACTACCTGTGAGTATCGTTCGGCCGTCGGTCGTGCTGTCCTCCTGGAAGGAGCCGATGCCCGGGTGGATCGACAGTTTCTACGGCCCCACCTGGATGATTGTTAACGAAGCGTTAGGCATTTTGAGGTACGTGTCCCGATAAATGATTTTAAAGATGAATCATTCTCAAATGAGAAGAGATCTTGCAGAACTGCCGTGCTTGACATCGATAGAACAGCTCATGGCATTCCGTCGGACATGGTTATCAACCTGCTGCTCTGTGTGGCGCCTAAAACTAAGGACGAAGGACTGGAGAAGATCGGGGTCTACAATTTATGCTCGGGCGGACGAAACCGTATGGATGTGAAGCTGCTGTTCCAGGAAACTCGGAAAACTTTCAGCACGTATCCACTGATGGCAGCGATCCGATACCCAAATCTCACGCTCAGGAAGTCACGAATCACTCACGCGATCGCATCTGCTGTGCAGCATCGTCTCACTGCCTACGTCTTCGACCTCATCGCCTTGTGTACTTTCAGAAAACCCAGGATGTCCCGCATTCATGACTCGTTATCCCGAATTGCTAAGTACACGTCATTTTTCGGCATCAACGATTGGACGGTCTTCGATCATAATGTGGAGGGACTTGATGCGGAGCTGAGTGAAAGGGAGCGGGAGATTTTCTACTTTGACGTGGGGAAATTTAGCTGGGAGTCCTTCCTCAGGGATTATGCACTGGGGATAAGGAAACATCTGATGAAGGAGGACCTCGATAATTTGGGGGACGCGGTCGCAAGGATGAAGAAGTATTTTCTTGATGGTTGTGGTGGTAGGGGAATAAATCTGTCCCGGGGACTGATACTATTCTTCTGTTCACAGATTTTACTGGATCGAGAAGGTCCTCCAATCGGTCGTTTCCGTCGCTTCGCTTTTTACGATTTACGTTTTGATCAAGCGCAGACGTAGGCGAGGGTAAACCTTCGAGCAAATGTTTAGGAATATCTATTCTCAAGTATTCTATTCTGAAGTTCATGTTTACCCAAAAGATCGGTGATGAAAGAATTCAATTGTGTTCATCATTTTCATAATTTTTCTTATTATCGTTATCATGGAGGAGATTTTTCTCATTTAAGTCACGTTATAACTTCAGGTCGCAAGGATGAAGAAGTATTTTCTTGATTGTTGTGGTGGTAGGGGAATAAATCTGTCCAGGGGACTGATACTATTCTTCTGTGCACAGATTTTATTGGATCGAGAAGGTCCTGCAATCGGTCGTTTCCGTCGCTTCGCTTTTTACGATTTACGTTTTGATCAAGCGCAGACGTAGGCGAGGGTAAACCTTCGAGCAAATGTTTAGGAATATCTATTCTCAAGTATTCTATTCTAAAGTTCATGTTTACCAAAAAGATCGGTGATGAAAGAATTCATTTGTGTTCATCATTTTCATAATTTTTCTTATTATCGTTATCATGGAGATTTTTCTCATTTAAGTCACGTTACGACTTCATTTCTCGAAAGCTGTGTCACACAAATATCGAAATAATATAGAATATATCTCCTGACGGTCTATCATCTCATTTTGTCTATTCTCACGCCCGAGCGCACCGTGAGAATAGATTACGTCGTCCAGTGGGAGCTCCACAAATCTGATCACCGAAACAGAATAAAATCTTACATTCCGTTTCTAAAATAAGAATGCAATAATTCAAATTCTTAATCGAATAAATTTCCATCATTAATTTAGTGCATTTCATCATCCGTGACGACTTATGCAACTCGCTCTTGTTTTTCATCACACATTCAGCGATGATATCTTTGTCTGAACTGAAATAATTTCCCATATAATAAAAATCGATTCGCAACCATATTCTCCTATAATTTCCACGCGAATGACAGAAAACTCATTATCTGAACCGATTACTGCTGAAAAAACTCGAAGCCCGATTACACAAAGCGCGAGCGGGGTCACGACAAGACCCCGGATAATGAAAAAACCGACATAAATATTAAATCATCAGCAGATGTCAATGTGCGAAAAAAATCCGACGCCTTGAAATACCGCAGCTGCCGAAGATTTCCATCGATTTCTAACAATCGTTTGCCCCGAGTGGTTGTTCATACCATTGTCGACGGAGGAGTCTCGCCACCATGAAGAGAGCGCTTGGCCTTTGTTTCCTCTTCATACTGTCCGTGTACGGAGACAAAGTCTGCAGCGACGACGAGCCGGGCTTCAAAATCTGCCAGGATGCCGGAGTGCTCACATCTGTCACCAAAACCGGAGACAACAAAGAGCTTTCTTTGCTACTAACCAGCGATTTGACTATCGGCCCTCAAGCACTGAAAGATTTGGACATCGAAGAGCTCAACCTGAGGTTTCACACGGAGGACAAGTTCAACGCGTCAACTTTCCACACTCTGAACGTGGGACCGGAGTCATTCACGGGCTTGACCAACCTCAAGACCCTCCTCGTGGAAGCTGCGAACATTAACGTGGAGGGAAATCCGCTGGCCCCTCTCCAAAAACTGCAACAGTTGTCACTGGAGACCTGTGACATAGACGAAGTGCCGACCGAAATGCTGGCGTCACTGCCAAATCTGGAAGAGCTGTCTCTCGGAGAGAACCGCATAAAGACTCTCAAACCGAACGCCTTCACCGGCTTGAAGAAATTGAAGAGCTTGGACTTGAGCAGGAACAGAATGACTACCCTAGAGCCCGGCTGCTTCAACGGCCTCGACGAACTGATCGCCCTGGATCTTTCCCTGAACGACTTCACCGCCGTACCCACGGCTTTCAGCGGACTGAAGAAGCTGAAGCGACTCCAACTGAATCACTGCTTCCCACTTCGCGACATGGAGCCCCACGCGCTCAAGGACATGCCGGGCCTCAGCATTCTTGAACTCAAGTTCAATGAGCTCAAGAGCTTGCAGCCTGGCATGTTCGACGAAGCTCCAGACCTGATGGTCCTGAACTTGGACGGCAACAATATTGACACAATCCCGAAGGACGTCTTCAATAAGCTGACATGGCTGCAAGAACTGACGCTCGGTAGCAACGATATCACAGCCATTGAACCCGGCGCGTTCTCCGGACTGAATCTCCGAATCCTCGAGCTCGCCTACAACAAAAACACGAAAACCATCGAACCGGGAGTCTTCAACGATTTGAAGACCGCACATTTGAATCTCGTGAACTGTGGTATCTCTGAAATTAAACCGCGAGCACTGAGTGGCTTAACCACGATATTCCTCGATCTGAGTGGCAATCAATTGGAGAAGATCGGGACTGAGGACCTGTCTGGGCTGTCCACGAGGTTCTTGGATTTGAAGGATAATAAAATTACTGAAATCGTGCCTGATGCTATGAAGAACACCGACGTTACAAATATCGATCTGAGCGGCAATCCTGTGGAGATTAAGGATAAGGGGGCATTAGGTTTGCCGGACTCCGTGGAAATTCAGAAATAATTTTTTCAAGCTATCCAATTGTAGGAGATCATTAATTCCAAAATGTGAATTAGGATTTTTCACCTGCTTTTCCCTATCCCACAGCAATTCCCACTTCGAACCTTATGTTTTCACCCAACCATTAACCTTAAAGGTTCATGTGAGTAAAAGCCCGAGGGCTGAAACCATGTGAACTAGCCGCAAGTTAGCAGTGTACTCTGCTGCCTTGTTGTATCATTGACGTCAATAAAAATCTGTAAAAGCTGAAGTTAATTCCAAAATATATCAAGATGCATTTTACATCTGTAGTTATTGATTCATCTGATGGTCACTCTCACATTACGAAATCCGCCGACGTAAACAAGTTCAAGGAGGAGATCCCGCGGAGTCCAATGTCATTAAAAATCTTATCAAAACCTAGCATACATCGTTTCCTCCGCAATTTCCTTCGATTCGTCCGCAGTCTCGGTTAAAGAGTAGACGCGCGTCGTCGAAGCGCAAGCATCCAGCAATGAAAACAATCGGAATAAGTCTGCTTGTCCTCGTGTCGTCAGTACTCGGAGAGGATGAAGACTGCAGGACAGTTGACTTGAGTTTCGAATTATGTCAGAAGTCAGGCGCATTCCTACAGTATATTCATATCGCAGATGCGATTAGCGTAAACAAGGTCGAGGAGAAGTCTCCGAGAAGTCAGATGTCCACCCCCGCGCCAATGTCACCCGAAAATCTTCTCATCGAAGCGCACATATGCTAATTCCACAGTCGTTGTCTTTCAGTTGATCGCGGTCTGCAGTCGAGAGCAGACGCGTGCTATCGGCGATCAATCTTCATCGCAATGAAGGTAATCATCGGAATAAGTTTGATTTCACTCGCATCGTTGGTCCTCGGGGACGAAACCTGCAGAGACGTTGATGCGGGATGGAAAGTATGTGAGGAATCCCAGACGATCAATCGCATCGCGGAGGAGAACGCGCTTTTCCAGAGTGTTCTCACCCTCGACTTGACGAAGGACACCACAATCGGTGAAAACTCCTTCAGTACTCCGAAACTTGAGTTACTTTACCTGCAGTTCCCCTACTTAAGCAAACAGAACATATCTGCCGCTCGGTCGCTGTCATTGCGGCCGAATTCGTTCGCTGGTCTGGCCAAGTTGGAACATCTGAATATCGAAAATACCTACCTCAACTTCACTCGCGGCACTACATTCGCTCCGCTTGGAGCACTGAAAGGTTTAGAACTCAAAAGGTGTAGATTATCTGAAGTGCCTACTAAATTGCTGGAGTCCATGCCTGTACTTGAGGAATTGACGCTGGAAGACAACGAAATAACTGCGCTTTATCCAAATGACTTTGCACCGCTGAAACATCTGAAAGAGTTGGACCTGAGCTCCAATGAAATTGTCGCCATTGCGCCGGGTTCGTTCGATGGACTCAGTACACTGAGAGTACTGGATGTGTCTGACAATGCTCTCCCAGCGTCGCCAGAACTCTTCAAGGGATTGAGGCTGTTGAAGGAACTCCGTCTATCAAAATGCTTTGATCACAATGGGTTTCAAACAAATGTATTTCAAGAAGTTCCGTATCTTGAGAAACTGCAAGTGGGTTTCAATAATATAACGACTCTGACCCCCGGCATGTTCGACGCTGTCTTGTCACTCCGAGAGCTGTCATTGTACGGTAATAAAATTCGCGAGGTACCGAAGCGTGTGTTCGAACGACTGAGGTCTCTCAAAGAAATTTCTCTCGCTGACAATGAAATCGAGACGATAACACCGGGTGCTTTCGGTTTCCTGGATCTCGATGACTTGATACTTTCTCTCAATCGCCGGCTGACAACCATTTCGACTGAGACGTTCAGGGGTCTCACTGTTCGCCGCTTGTCTCTGGCCAAATGCAATATTGCGACGATTGAACCGAGAGCTTTCAATGTCACGCGTGTGACACGGTCCCTGGATTTAACTGAGAATGTTTTAACCGAAGTCGGGGCTGAGGATTTTGCTGGACTCTGGACCAAGGACCTGGATCTCAGCCAGAACCGCATCGGAACCATCGCTCCGAACGCTTTCAAGGACACTGTGATGAAACGATTTGGTTTTTACGGGAACGCGATTAAGCGTGCGAACAGAGATCAGTGGGGTATCAAAGAATCGGTTGAGATTATGATGTAAATGCTGGGTGATTGCCTGGGGCAGTTGCAGAATTACTCTGTAGAAAGCTTGTTATTTACTGTAAATATATTCATCATTTTTACTAGACATTAACTCCCTTCATTAAAAAATAGTTTAAACTCTTTCTTCTATGAATGTATTTTGATGTAAATTGTTTTTTAATATAAAATACAATGTTACAAATTTCTGTGTCAAATTCCTGAAATTGTTATCGTGTTCAAGTTCCACTGAAATTTCAGGAAATCTTGCCATTGAAAAATCAAATATTCCGTTGATTTTCTGTTCAAATGATCTGGAAATCAATAAAATTCTTTTTCAGTTCAATTATTCTGTGAAAATCCATAGAAATGAGGGAAATCCATATCATTTTGATATTCGAATCTCATGAATTTCCGTGAATTCTACTTAAACCTTAAACTTTCATAAACATTTTTTCCTTCAATCCGATTCAACCTCACTCCCACAAGATTTACCACAATATCTCCCATGAAATTAAAAAAAAATTGAAATAGCTGCATAAATCCGTCTGATTATTCCGCAATATATTATCTGAGGCCTTCGAGTATCGCTGGGATCACCGCCAGATCAAGATCGAACCGTGAATCGAAATCAGTAGCGAAGCGATAAACCGGATTAAGTCGATTTTGACTTTTCGCCATTTTTTGACAAATATCTCGGAATCTAAGAGAGATAGGAAAATTTTGCTCATTACCTTTTTTATAACCCTCAGTTGGCTCTACAAAAAAGGTCATGACAAAAATTTTTCTATCTCTTTTAGATTCCCAGATATTCGTTAAAAACTGGCCAATAGTCCAAATCGACTTAACCCGGTTTACCGCTTCGCTACTGAAATGAAGCGTCGATATCAGCGATCACTCGCTCTATTAAATACAACGCTATAGTTTAACTTCCGCGTGGGGTACCAAAAGGGCCCGTCCGTTAGGGGTTAATATTTGAACAATATCAGTAGCGAAGGTGTAAAACGGTTCAACTCGACTCATCTCCCAGTTGAGTTTTTGAAGAATATTTCGGAATCTAAGGGAGATAGCGAAATTTTCGTAATAACATTTATTGTAGCTCTCAATCTGCTCTACAAAAAAGGTCATAACAAAACTTTTGCTATCTCCCTTAGATTTCGAGATATTCATTGAAAACCGGTCAATAGTAAAAATCGCCTTGTACCGTTCTACCACTTCGCTGCTGATACACAACTCAATTATTTTAATCGCGCTGATTACTGCACAATATGTCGTTGCCCAGAGCGTCGATAGGCTCACCCCCACAAAATTGATAACTGCAAGACTGTAACAGAATCGGAGTCACGAAAGGTCAATGCCACTGATTACCGACTCTATTAAATTCCACAATCTACTACAGCTCTCCTCAGTGTATCACCAGAATCGACAGTCGTAGACAGTGTTGTGCAATTAATTTCACAGCTATGAAGATAATTATTGGAGCCATCCTCACCTCCCTCGTCTCCTCAGCCCTTGGCCAGGACGAGGTTTGTAAATCGCACAAGGGTTTGAATATTTGCGAGAAATCCACCACCACAATCACGAGCGTTAAGGTAGAAGAGCGTTCAGCCCTCCACGACGGCATTTTGGAGCTGTCATTCGACGGCGACACGACTATTGGCCCGAAAGCCTTCAGCGTTCTGGAGCTCCGAGGATTTCTCCTAATGATGCCCTACAGCAACGAGCGCATCCTGTCTGCTCTTCCTACCCTGACGCTGCACCCGGACACATTCGTCGGCTCATCAAATATATCCAGAATCTTCGTTCTCCGAGCAAACGTCAATTTGATCGGAGAGTCGTTCACTTCCATGACGCAACTGCAGTACTTGCGATTTATGTATTGCGGCTTCACTGAAGTGCCCACTAGAATGCTGGAGTCCACCCCAAATCTCGACGAACTGTCGTTCGAAAATAATTATATTCGGGCTGTTCGTCCGCACGCTTTCGCGCCCTTGAAACGCCTCAGGGAGCTGCATCTGGAGGGGAATGGCATCGTCAGTCTGGAGCTGGGGTGTTTCGATGGTCTCGACCAGTTGAGAGTACTGAACCTAGCCGACAACCACTTCACCGCGACACCCGGCATTTTCAACGGCTTGAACAAGGTCTTCCGTCTTGATATAGAGAACGCATTCGACGAGAATGGATTCAACATTGATATTCTTCGAGATCTGCCGGCCCTTGGGAGCATGCGAATGGGGCACAATAACGTGACGTCTTTGGAGCCCGACATGTTCGCGATTGTTCCGGAGTTGGAGAACCTGTCGCTGTACGGGAATCACATAACTAGCGTCCCGAAAGGGGTGTTCGACCGGCTCAAGTCGCTCTATTTGCTCCACTTGGCCGCTAATGACGTGGGGTCTATCGAACCCGGGGCGTTCTCTGGATTAAATATGACGGTTCTGTATCTCTTGGATAATAGGGTGGATAAAACTATCGAGACCGGCACGTTCAGCGGCCTGTCTGTGCATGAGTTAAATCTCGAGTGCAGTAATGTTACGGAACTGAAGCCCAGGGCTTTCGACGGTCTCTCCGCGCAGGAGGTGAATCTGAGCCACAATAAATTAACGCAAGTTGGAGCTGATGACTTTAGTGGACTTGATACTGAGGAACTGAAATTACGGGATAATGGCATTTCTTCTATTGCACCGAATGCCTTCAAGAATACGAAGGTGAAGAAACTAGATCTCTCGGAAAATCCAATTCGGGAGGCTGATAAAGACAAGTGGGGTCTCCCTGCGTCAACAGAAGTATTGATGTACTGATGATCAAATAATCTAGTGTAATGAAGACGAATAAATTTCACTGCGTTTTTAGTCATTTTTACTGCATTTTCCTTTCTGTTCTCTTTAATTTTCTTCTCCACACAGATTAACAGTAGCAGCAATATGTTTTAAATTATGTAATAAAAATTTCTGAACTACAATTCTGGATAAATTATTCACACGAATCATTATGTACGTCGAGGTAAACACCGATGACTGCGAGAGCATCATTCCATTGCTCTTCATTAAATTGTTTCAACTTTACAAAAAAAATTGTCAAAAATATTTTTTTTCTCAGTATAATCATAAATTGATGATCAAGTGAAATAGCATGATCGATCTCATTACGACGATTCCATTTCGCAACGAAATAAATTATGCAACTGCGTTACTAACTGAATTACGATAAAATCTCGTTAATGTTAATCCCGCTGACCTCTAGTCCCCACTATGATCTAGCAATCGCTAGCATCTCAGAATTCCGCTCAGTCTGCCACTGAAAGTGCCGTCGAGAATACCCATCAGCGGAGAATCCAAGCATGAAGATATTCCTTGTCCTCATCAGTCTCGCGGTCTCTGCAGCACCTGCACAGGGGCAAGAGGAAGTCTGCAGCGACGAAGATTGGGATTTCAGAATGTGTAAGAAGTCCAACGCGCTGACGCGGGTCACCCACGACGCCAGCATATTCTCCGGAAAAAGTTTCTACAAGACCCTCAGTGGCATCACTGCCATCAACGAGGATGCCTTCGACACCCTGGACCTCGAGCGGCTCGTGCTGACGTTCAGCGAGCGCGACGGCGACGAGACTCCGCCGCCCGCGGTGTCGATAAAACCGAATACCCTCGTGGGTCTGGCGAACTTGCGGGAGCTGAGCATCGGAGGGGGACGAATCGACTCCAACGGAGGCATTCTGGCGCTTCCCAGATCGTTAGTGAGCTTGAAATTCCGGACATGTGGATTCACGGAGGTGCCAACAGAGACGCTGTCAGCTGTCCCGAACCTCGAGGAGCTGTCGCTCGAAGGGAATGACATCCGCAGCGTGAAGCCGGACGCCTTCGCTGGCCTGACGAGCCTAAAGACCCTCGACTTGAGCAGAAATCGCGTCAAGAAACTTCACGACGGGTGTTTCAACCAACTCGGTAACCTAGAATCGCTGAACTTAGTTCAGAATATGATTGCGCCGGCGCCCGGACTCCTCAGAGGACTCAATAAATTGAAGAAACTTTATATGAGTGACGCCTTCAATCTCGCGGGGTTTCAGCCGTATTTACTGGAAGATGTGCCGGCTCTCAAGGTCTTGTACTTGGGCTTCAATCGGATGTCGTCCCTGCAGGCCGGGATGTTCGACGCCCTCCACGGGCTGGAGGACCTGTCCCTGTACGGAAATCTACTGCAGCACGTCCCGAGAGGGGTTTTCGACACGCTCGGATCGCTGAACGAACTTTCTCTGGCTGACAACCGGATCGAAACCATCGAACCAGGAGCTTTCTCCGGGCTGAACCTCACTCGTCTCGTCCTGTCCCTCAATAACATTAAGACCATTGAGACCGGGACTTTCAGCAATCTCAACGTCAGCAACCGTTTGGTGCTCAGGAAGAATTTGATTTCGGATGTGAAACCGCGAGCTTTTAGGAAGTTGACGACGCGTCAGTTGGATTTAACGGAGAATAAATTGACCAAAGTCGATGCTGATGACTTCGCGGGACTCACCGCCAGAGAACTGGACTTGAGCTCAAACCGAATTACGGCAGTCGCGCCGGACGCCTTCATCTACGCCAGAATCGATGTGCTTGGGCTGTTTTTGAATCCTATCGCGGGGGTTGATAAAAACGGGTGGGGGCTGCAGGAGTCTGTGGAAATACTGTGGCGTTGAATTATCGTTTTAAATTAGATGAATTCCAAGCGATGAAGTTGTTCTTAACATATCCCCTCCTCGGAAAATCCTTCACGGAAAAAAATACACTTGAATTGACTATATTTTTTCCGTGATTAAAAACTACTGAAAAGATCAACAAATAAAAATAAAACAACTCAAAACAATAATTTCCGTCAAGTGACATTGAATTATTATCATATAATAAAAACAAATTGTTACAGAGATGTTGTGTTACTCGAAGATAATTCCCCGATCTCCCTCTTTTTTTCGTGATGTGATATGTCATTTCAAAAAATAGTAGACGATCTCAACGTTTATGAATGAATCAGCCGGAGTGTTGAAGATGAATGAGTGAATCGGCCATGAGTCAACCAGACGATAATTCAATGGCAACATTTGCTGCGGATAACCTCGAGGTCAAGGGTTTATCAATCTTGCTGAAGAATAATTCGCGTTTCTTGCGTAAGCGAACTGGGATGAATTTCTCAGTTTCGTGCAGCAATTCTGAGCACACGCATGCCAAAAAAAGGATCTATTGAGCAGCCGCTACCGAGTCATCTACGCAGGTAAGAGATGCAGGAGAACTGATAATTCCCTATTTACAATTATTTAATTCATCTTCCCTCGGAAATTTAGATTATCAATTATTTCACTATTTTTAGATTTCAATCGGAGAATCCACTGATTGATGGCTATCCCTGATTGCCTCAGCTTCTCTTCCTTGTTCATTTACAGACTACATTGCGACAATTCCCGAGCAAGAAACTGTGACGATGAAGTCCGTCATAGGAATTCATCTCACAATCCTAGTATTATCAGTCAGCGGGAGCCTTCCCTCCTCCCTAAACACCTCGGACCATGAAATATACATCGAAGGCAGCACAATAAAAAAAATAATAAAAATCGGCCCTTCCGACAGGCTCAGCATGTCGCTCAGAACTATGCGCATAGCAATCTCCCCTCGCGCATTTCAAAACTCAGGAGTTAAAACTCTCCACTTGAATTTTGATACTCCAGCCGATCTGGCCAGTAAAACCGCGCAAATCGCGCTGCAACCGGAGTCTCTCCTCGGTTTGGATCTAGACAGTCTTTCCCTCACCCGCGTCGACCTCACCTTGAGCGCGGACGCTCTGACTCCGCTCGGATCGCTCGGCCATCTCAGCTTGATCTCCTGCGACGTCGTCGAAGTGCCCACGGCACTGCTGATGTCCTTTCCTAAGCTAGGGTCGCTGATACTGTCCCGTAATAACATCTCCGTCGTCCATCATAACGCCTTCGAGCCCCTCAAACGACTGTGGTATCTGGACTTGGCCTCCAATAACATCAGCGCCTTCGAGCCGGGGTGCTTCAATGGACTCGAAGAACTCGAAAGATTGGATCTGAGCAACAACTCCTTCGCGTTCATGCCCGCCGTCTTCGATCGACTCCCCAAACTGATGGAGCTTCACATCCGCGAGTGCCCGTATCTCCGGAAAATCGATATCAACGCCTTTCGAAAAACGCCGACTCTAACTTCGCTCACAATATCGCGCACTGGAGTCCACACTCTACAGACCGGAGTGTTCGATAGTCTGGCGCGTTTGGGGTGGCTCCACTTGGGAGGGAACCGCATTGGTCATGTCCCGAAAAATTTATTCAACAAACTCGAGTCGCTTGACTACCTCTTCCTGGATAACAACGAAATTGTGGGGATGGACTCACGCGCGTTCGCGGGGCTCAACCTCCGATATCTCGGGCTCTCGCATCAGAGCCCAACGGCCGGGGAGCTCTTTCGCCCCCGGAGACTGGTGATTGGAAACGGAACTTTCAGCGATTTGATTGCCGATATCGTCTATATGGTGGGCACTTCGAGTCCTGATATCAGACCGGGGGCTTTCGAGGGCCTGTCCGCTGGATTATTGGATTTACGGTGTCTTGGGATAGGGAGAATTGACGCCGAAATGTTTTCGGGAGTCAGGGCGAGGAAGCTCGATTTGAGGATGAATAGCATTTCTGAAATTGACAGCAATGCATTCAAACGTGTCATTGGCGAGGAAGTTGATCTCTTGGGCAATCCCATTAAAATTACGGACAAGGAAAATTGGGATATTTCGGAATCGTTGTTCATCAACATTTAAAGAAACTATCAAAATTATACATTTTTTTATGTTTTTCAAAATGTTATAATGTAATGAAATATAATATAATGCAATGTAATGTAATATAATATAATATAATAAATATATTATGAACTTGTTAACAATATAATTTGTTTTTTTTTTATAAAAAAATATATTACTCGTACTATAGTACAGTTAACGTTATACGAAAGTTTTCTATAGAGGATTGAGGACAGTAGCATCAAATAACGAGCGACATAGTGAGACAATACAAGTTTTCCCTCTACAGATAATCAATAACGGAGAAATTAACTTACCTTCAAGCCTCCATTACGTTAAAATTATTCATTCAATGACATTCAGCATTCTCTACGAAAAGCACTATTATTGATTATTTTATTCTCATTCTTTACAACGATCGTTGCGAGTAGTATTACGACTGACCATCGTCCGAGCAATAGAGTTTTGTCGCTTCCAAGTTGCACGTTCATCTAATTAATCGGTTTATTGTCCCATTTGCTGAAGACAATAAAATTTTGTTTGTGTAGTTTAAACCGAGACAAACGCTAAATTGCGAACATTGCATAAACCTAACGTCAGTCTAAATAATTTAACAATTAATTAAGCGCTTTAAACAATAAAAAAATTACGAAACGTCTTTTATTTAAACAAATATTCGATATTTCAATATCTTCTGCGGAAACATAATTTCCGAAATCATTATTCGCTGACATCCGCGAATAAAAATGCGCCTAGAGTAAAAAATAGAACAAAGAAAACACTGAATATAAAAATAAAACAATAAAAATAAAATTCCCTCGACTCCCATTCGTGGCGGAAAATGAATTCTGCTGCAGTGCGATAATCGCCCGCGTGTCCCTTCCTTATGTGAGCCGTCTGGTTCTGTTCACCTATCGTTTCATTACAAGATGATGGCGAAATGAAAGTGGTACTGCAAACGAAAGTATGCAGAAATGAAAGTTGCATTCAGTTGCGCGACTAAAAATGATTCTACTCGCAGAATTGTTTCACTTCCGCCGCGTGCGGACAAAAAATCCCGCGCCCGGTGGATCGCGCAGATACTTCACTAATTTCTCGTCGTTGACCGCCAATTGTAATGCGTGAATTCATTGATAATTATTGAGTGACGAATGTTGACAAATATCGGGGAATCGTTCGCATGTTTCCGATGCAGCCTGCGTGACGGATAGCGAAACGTGTGACATGTGGAAGTTAATCGTGAAAATGCTATCACTTAAACATCGCAATAAGTGAAACAATATCTATGTTTGGAACTCGCTCGAGTCCTCGTAACCGAGGCAGGTGGTCTCCAGTGTGTTTTCCGACGGGGGACAAACCGTCCACCTAATAAAATATTAACCGCCTTCGGCGTTTGTTCGCGTTCACACAGCAATTGCGTGCCCCAGAGCGAGTATAACGTCCCCACGCCGCCGAAAAATCCCTAAAAAATTGATAAAATGTATCAATAATCACGGAATTATGGTGAGAGCTTGACGAGTGTGAGGCAGTTGGTGGTGTCGTCAAGAAGGCTCGGTTTCTATGAGAGTGCGTTTCGAAAAATTGCCAAGATGTGCGCGGAGGCAATGTCAGTGGTGAATTTCTACGATGAAAAATCAATACTTATTACGGGAGCTACAGGTGGAATAGGGAAACTGCTGATTGAAAAGCTGCTGAGGTCCTGTCCCAATATCGGGAATATTTATGTGCTCCTCCGGCCGAAACGCGGCGAGACTGCCACTGAACGAGTTTCGAATTTGTTAAACACACCGGTAATTCGAAAAAATATATAAATAGGAATTTTAATTCGTTGAAAATTACTGAATTCTTCATCTGGATCAAATGAATATTTATTTATTCATGTCTGGAATGAAAACGCGAATAAAGGTCTAGGGAATTTAATTCAAATGAAGCTTTTTCCGGGGGGAATTCCATAAGTTTATTTATTCATGTGTGGGAATAATGCAGATTTTTCACAAATTACGCGGTGCTGATCCGGGAATACTGACGAAGGTCGTCATGATCGAGGGGGACTTGTGCCAGCCTGACTTGGGGATTTCTGAGACGAATAGGGAAGAGCTTGCGAAAAATGTCTCCGTTGTTTTCCACTGTGCGGCGATTTTGCAATTCGATTTGAGTTTGGAGGACGCTTTATCCATTAATGTCTTCGGGACTCGGCGACTTCTGTTGTTCTGTCATAGAATGAGTAAAATCGAGGTAAATGCACCCCAATTTTTCATTTAAAAAATTATAGAAATAAAAAAATTAGAACATTTAAAATAAATTGTACAGTAAATTCGAATTCTATTGATATTTCCTGCAAAATATTTCTGTAGAAAAAAATTATTTCGTTTTTTTAAAGAATTTTTCTCATGGTGCCGTTGGCTTTTCCCAGGCGTTTATTCACGTTTCGACGTTATACTCCACTTGCAACAGGCCCAAGATTGAGGAGTGCATCCCGTCAATTCCAGCTTTGGACGGGAGACTCGATTTCAATAAAAATATCAGGGATTTTGTCGCAGCGCTACCCGAGGATGTGGTGAAGGATTGGCCCAATACTTACGCTTTTTCCAAGGCCCTGGCGGAATTAATGTTGAATGCGCACAGGGGAATGCTGCCGATAGGCATTGTCAGACCGTCCATCGTTCTGTCAACACTGAGAGAACCAATGCCAGGGTGGATCGATAATTTTTACGGCCCTACATTGTCGATTTCCAATGGAGCCCTAGGTATTCTGAGGTGTGTGTACTTATGTTCGGAATTATTATTCACAAATCGAACATTTTTTTCTAGGGACCCCTTGAAGTGACCTGAACATAACTTGAATTTTAAAGATTAAAATCTGAAATCATTTTTAATGTGAATAATATTAATGAGAATTAATGTGAAAAATTCCAATAGAATTTCCTAGCGAATTCGCTAGATTTTCTATTTCTATTTTCCATTCTAAAATTTTTCATACGTGATAACTTGAATTTTAAAGATTAAAATCTGAAATAAATTTTGACCGAAAATTAATGTCAACAGAAAAATTCTGATTGAAATCCCGTAGTTAAAACCTCAGTTTTCCCCAACAGAACAGTTATTTGTGACGGTGAAAAAGTGGGAGACATCATACCATCAGACCTCGTGGTGAATCTGCTGATAACCGTCGGTTGCAAGACGAAGTATCAAGGGACGAGTGAAATAAAAGTCTACAACTGTTGCACAGGCCGGCAAAACCCCATGAAAATGAAGCAGTTGCTCGACGACTGCCAGAAGTACGCGCGGATGTACCCACTGATGGCGGCAATACGATACCCGAATTTGACTCATCGATCGTCTTACGTGGCTCACTGGATCGTCTCGAAAGTCCAGCACAGATTGTTATCTTATATTCTCGATTTTGTCGCGCTCTTCACGTCCAAGAGGGGCCGAATGATTCGGATTCACAACACCCTTGCTCGAATTCTGGGCAGTCTGGATTACTTCACACTGCGCCAGTGGGCGGTCGACGATTACAATGTGGAAAGACTCAGCAGCGAAATGAGCGACAAGGAGAAGGACATATTCTACTTCGATCCCAAGATCATTGACTGGAAATTGTACGCGAAGATCTATTCCCTGGGCATCAGGAGGCATCTGTTCAAGGAGAAGATGGATGACATCGAGGAAGCTAAAGCGCGAATGTCAAAGTAATTAAATCAGTTTTCTCTTTTGTCTTTTCATTGATTAATTTAATTTTTTTATTAATTTAATTAAAATTAATAAATCTTTTTTGAAAATTATTCTTATGAAAATGAATGAGATTTTATTATGAATTGAATTAATTGATTTAATTAATTAAATTTGAATTAATTAAATTAATTAAAAAATCTCATTATTTATTTAATTAATTAAACAATTAATTGATTTAATTTCTCTTTAATTAATTTAATTTTTGCTTGATTTCAGTTTGTACTGGATGGAGAAATCTCTGCAGGTTTTCATCTCAGTCTCGTCATTCATTTCGATTTACTACTGGATAAAGTCACGACGCAATAGAATTAAATCGTAACAGGACTGATAATTTTCCTCATAATTTTCCCCGCATTTCCGTATTTTTTTACTCCCGAGGCCTCTTAATCCTTAAACTGCACTCATTTTTTTACATCGGGGCATATTATTCCGATGAAGTGGACTTCTATAACCCATGATTATAAATTTGGCTGACGTCGCCTGACAAAATGTAAAATAATTCAATTTTTCATTGAGACATTAGAGGAGATCAAGTGGAAAATTTAAGCTTTTATAACGGTTTTTTAAATTGATAGCAACAATACATTCGAAAAATAATTCCTACTCGCCCTTCGACCCTGTGTGCAGCTTGAGGATTAATTTCAGGATCAGGTCATGAAGAATTGAAGAAAAATGCGTCCACTGATTTGCAATTCAACATGTCGAATGGAATTTATTGAGCAATAACTCAACTTCGTGAGTAGTATTGGACCCAAATAATTTTTACGACTGTTACAGAATAATAAATGTTACGAAGTAATGTAAGATTCAAATAAAGAAATTCATCACTGAGCTCACTGCCACAGTAGCAGCTGTTTGTAACGGAATTAATCACTTCCTTCCTTTCTCACATTGAAGTTCGGCCCCAATGAATTCGTAAAGTACGAGGAGTTGTGACCCAGGGTGAGCTCGAAATATATCTCGTCGCACGACAGGGGCTTCGGAGAGGTGATTTTATATCCGTCGAAATCGGATCTCTCGACGGTGTACGATCCCTGTCGAAAAATCATGAAAAAGAATGGGGAATATGAAGAATTTATTTATTTACAAGGGACAGGCAACGAGAATATACCGCGGGAATGGGACAATCCTCCCTGCCACCTGCTGTCATTATTGAGAGAACTCTCCAAGCCTGATTAGCCCAGGAATCACGCGGCATGCGACTGGCATCGCAGAGCGTTAAATGATCCTCAAAATCCTTTCTTTCTATCTCGTCGAAGTTGCATTTAATTCTATACCGCAGCTATTGTTGAACATATTAAAAAAATAATAATAAAACCAATCGAGTAGAATTTAAGAAAGAATTATTTAATTCCAATTGGCACTTCATTTGAATTTTTAGAGGAATTTAAATTAAATTTCATTGTTTTTTTTCTTTTTTAGAAAATTCAGACCATTTTTTTTAACCGCAGCTATTGTGGAACATATTAAATATAATTTTTTACATTTTTTGTTAAATTTCATTGAGAAAACCGAAACAAATCTAGTAGAATGAAAAAAAAAATTATTCAATTCCAATTGTCACTTTATACAAATTTTCAGAGAGACTTAAATTCAATTTCATTTTTTTTAAATTTGATTTAAAAAACGAAAAAAATCGAGTAGAATAAAAAAAAATTTCAATTCCAATTGGCTTTTTAATTGGAAACTTGAATTAACTTCCATTGTTTTTTCCTTTTTTTTAATTCCGCGAATTTTTTTTAAATCGTAGAACTTCTTGAAGAAATCGCTATTTTTCAATGAATCCTCTGCATAAGCGACTCAAAAAAGTGGACAAATACAGTTCTATCTTCAATAAAATAACTCGTCGTCACATATTTACCAGTACTTTGCTGTCATCATTGATTTCGCTGTTCCACACGCTGGTGCACGGGGGCTCGTAGCAAAATGCCGCAGACAACTCTTCATTTTCTTTATTAGTACTAATAAATAAATTGTGCAAATCAGTTATGATATCAAAACTTCCCGGTTCGGGCTCTGGTTCTGATTCAGGTTCAGCCTCAGCTTTCGATCCAGACTCTTCCGAACTCGATGACGAAGACGATGATGATGATGATGATGATGATGATGATGAGGAATCCGCGCCTAAACCTGCCTCTTGCATATTCGATTTACAGTTCGTGAAGAACGATATAACTCCCTGAAAATCCAAATGTCATATTTATCCGTTTGCGAACGTAATTTTGTTAATTATCTCACCTTCACTGGCGCGAGTAAACCATTGGACTGAGCATCTCCTCCGCTAGCTATCGCAATAATTATCAGGACAGTTCCAAAAGACAAAGTACTCAGGGAGTGTTTCATGGCTGTTTCGAATTGACTGAGGAAAAATAAGAATTTAAAAACGCACCCTCACCCCAGTCCATTGTTATCAATAATTGGGCACAGTCTTATCGGAATGAGCAGCAATTTGCCACTAATTGCAAGTATAATGGCCGATAATGAAATGATTAATCAAGTAATTCACTTATTCGATGCATTTTTACCATTTATAAACGCGAAAAATGATGAAAAACGTTGCCCGGTTATCGTTGATGCAATTCCCTAAATAATTAGCCTCGTGAAATCGTGGCCTTGAATTTTTCCTGCTCATCCTAGCGATAATGGCGAAGGCAATACGTGATAAACGCTGGAGGCTTGAACGACCTGCGAACCTCGCGCAGGAAAATTCCGTAGAAAAACTGAGAACTTTTGCATTCTTTTGGATTTCAACGGCAAAACCGAAGAGAAAGATCCTGGGGATATTTTCGCCGATTTGATTCCCAAAAAATTATCATCGGACGAATATTTTGGAAAAAATTTATTGAAAAGTATTAGTAATTGGAAGATTTTTCATTCGGCATCCCGACAACAGGAAGGAAAAAATAACTCTCAGAAGTTTGGTTTCAATTTTTTTATTTTTTCGTTCAGATCAGATGTTTATTAGAAGTATAATGCGGGTGGTAACAGAAGGGCCCCGTCTGCACAGTTAGGAAATTACTCTTGAAATTTCAAGTAAAAAATCTTGACTTTGAATTTCCATTGATCTTGTTATTGATAAATCAGTCAATGTTCTTGAATATTCAATGAACTTTGATTTCCCAGGTTCACAGGACAATGAAAATTACTGAAAATCGTGAATTTCCAATTCAGGCAACTTTTTTCCTGAATTTTCAATCTGTTTCTTAATTTTCGTTGAATTTCCAAGATGAATACGGAATTCCATGAGCAATTCAGTCTGAAATTGAATTTAAGTTCAGAATATTAAAAATACAAATGCATCTGTTACTTGAATTTCAAAAAATTGCCAACAGTGCGTGAGGTAAACAATTCGATAAAAGTAAACAATTCAATAAAGGATTGTGCTTATTGACATCATCGACTCATTTCCTAGGACTTCCCGAGTTCTCATCTTGCGTGCAGTTAGGACTGTCTTTGGGTATCTTGTACATGGTCGTCGACTGGAAGAACCGCTTCTCGCTGTTATGATACAAGTCAAAGTTAAGGGTCAAGTCGCGGCACGGAATTGGTTTTTCAGGCGTGAAGTAGAAATTCTCTTCGCTCTTTTCAAAAGTGTATTTTCCCTGTCCACAAAAATTGCTGTTAATATAGTTCTGCATTTTATCATCGAAATACTACAGTTATGACGTACAGCTTTGATGTCGCAGCCGTCAGAATCCTCGGCTATGATGTGTGAAAGGGCTCTCCAGGCTATATTCGCCCAAGAGTTCTTCGGCATACGACTGGCCTCGCAAATGTTTATTCGATCGTCAAGATGATCCTCGTACGGGTCGAAGTTGAATGTCACCTCCCAGCCCATCTGCAGAATGGAGTTCTTGTTAATTTTTAATGACGAACTCGGGCACAACGTGACTTGGAGTTAATCCGTTACCGTTATGTTAGTTTCCTCGTTCACATCCTCAAGCCAGGTGTAGTCGCAGGGGGCTGTCCATCGGCAGTATGCCGAGATAACGTCTTCAGTTTCGTTGAAATTCAGGCTGAAATAAAATTCTCCGTTTATCCCATATTCATCCTCTGCTTCTGGTTCGGATTCAGGTTCCGGTTCGATTTCTGGTTCAGGTTCGGATTCACGTCCCGGTTCGGATTCAGGTTCGGATTCAAGTTCCGGCTCAGATTCGGATTCAGGTTCGGTTTCGGATTCAGGTTCCGGTTCGGTTTCGGATTCAGGTTCGGGTTCAGGTTTGTTTTCGGGTTCAGGTTCGGATTCAAGTTCCGGCTCAGTTTTGGATTCATGTTCGGTTTCTTCAGGTTCCGGTTCGGATTCAGGTTCCGGTTCGGTTTCGGGTTCAGGTTCGGATTCAAGTTCCGGCTCAGTTTCGGATTCATGTTCGGTTTCTTCAGGTTCCGGTTCGGATTCAGGTTCGGGTTCCGGTTCGGTTTCGGATTCAGGTTCGGATTCAAGTTCCGGTTCGGTTTCGGCTTCAGGTTCGGTTTCGGGTTCTGTTTATGCAAATATGCGATGAGAAATTCCCATGACGAGAAAAATAAATCGGCGTTCAATGCCACAGTTGCGCATTACGTAAAGTGGGAGAAATCGTTCCTTTTTCGAAGGATTCTCCGACGAGTGGCGAACTTTTCCCGTTCTTGGGAGGATACCTACCTCCATGTGCTTCTGGTTCGGGTTCCGCCTCGGGTTCAGGTTCAGGTTCTGTTTATCCGTGTGATGTGTGAGAGAAATTCCCATCACGAGAAAAATGAAACAGTAATTGCTCTTTACTTTCGAAAGGTTCTCCCACTAGCGGCGACCCTGTCCCATCTTCGCGCACGACAAAATTTAATAGAGAAAACTAGTGAATTCGTTAAAAAATTCTATTCAATTTTCTATTAGTTCTTGGCCAATTTTATTTACCTCTTCTTCTCATCAAGAAAATCAACCAAAGGAACTTGGAAAATTTGAGCCGAGAAAATTCTGTACAAAATATTTCAATAGAATAAGTTGTACAGAAAAATGAAATTCTTTTGACTTTTTCCATAGAATATTTTCTATTGAATAAGTTCAATAGAAATCCCATAGAATTGTCCAGCGAATTCGCCAAGTTTTTCTATTAAATTTTTTCACCAGTGTTGGGAAAATACTCACCACCACTCGCGTCTGGCTCAGGTCCCGCACCTCCTTCCTCTTCTGAACTCGACGAAGACGACGAACTCGACGATGACGAACTCGACGATGAAGAACTCGACGAAGAATCTGATTTTGATCCTCGGGTGTTTGAACCACAATCGGGGAACCAGGGAATGAATATCTAGAGCGTGAAATCCAGTGAAATATCTATTTCATTGAGAAGAAAAATAATGTCTTTAGTTTTCTTACTTTGATTGGTTGCAAAAATCTGCACTCGAATCTTTTAACCGGCGCGAAGAATCCCGTGAACTTCACGCCACCCTCGACATTCTGGGCATCGCATCCTGATAAGCTAATGATCAAGGACATTCCCCCGAGGAATAATATAGTCGGAAGACCTCTCATGGCTCCTGTCTTCAATAGTCAAACGGTTTCACGGAAGTGCACGCGCTGAAATGCGAATTCTAGCGGCCGAACAGTAAATTTAGCACTGCCGACATTTACTTTGAAGCGAAATTCTGAGACATCGGAAATCGGCGATTACTCCAGTAATTAGCCGCGCACCACCCGTGACCTCGAATTATCCACTTGTTCTTCCCCTAGTCCTAGCGATAGTGGCGAAGGATTCATGATAAGAGTCAAATGTTCGAACGACCTGGGAAATTCGTCCTCTATTAAAAAATGGGTGAAACATTTTTTTCTAGTTGAGAATATTTCATGTTTATCTTGGTTTATGAATAAAAAAGATTTATGTATAATATAAATATAAAAATATATAATGTAAAATGTATAAAATCATGAGAATGTTATGAATAATAATTTTATATATTTTATACATTTTATATATAAATAAGTATAGGCTTGGCGAAATTGATTTCTGACCGAAAATAGTTCACCCATTTTTTAATAGAGGATTGACATGAATTGGTGAACAGTTCCTCGTAAAAGCTTAAAGCACCTGATTTCATACACAACCTGAATTTTTCGTAGTGAAAATTTTTAAAGATGATTTTCTCAAAATTTTCCTAAAATCTGAACGTAATAAAAGCGAACAACCCTAACTCCTTCTTCATGAATAAATCAATACGTAACGATAAAAAATAATACTCAGAAGAATTTTCAATAGAAAAAGTCAATAGAATTCGATTTTTCTGTAAAACTTATTTTATTGACATATTTTCTATAGAATTTCCTCGGCTCAAATCTTCCAAATTTTTCTAAATTCGATTTTGTTGATGAGGAGCAAAGAAAAATAGAATGAAAAAACCTTAACAAATTCTATAGAAAACATCCGAAGAGAATAACTTATATAAAAAAATCGAATTCTATTAACTTTTTCTGTTGAGGATTTCGATAGAATCGGCCAAAAACTAATCCACTACAATTTTAGATTTTTTTTTTTTAGATTTTTCTATTGAATTTTTTCGTCCGCGAGAGAATGACGATTTTGGGATAGAGCGCTGTCGACAGACTGAACGATCAATTCTCGTAAAAATTCTCGAAATTCCACAACTTCATCGAGTTTATAAATTGGCGGGCAATACCCGGAAAGGGGGGGCCAATCAGCAGTGAAGCCACACAGCTGACAGAAGTGAAGTATCATTACCAGTTCATGTTTACATCGCATCATTCCCCTGAAAACAAACAATCCTCTGCAGCTGTTAATCAATTCAACAAACTAGTCATTATCGATGAGCTCCTCTACTCCAATGGATCTGCCACGTGTTCTCATTGTCAGCTCCCAAGTGGATAAAGCGAGTAATTTAGCAAAAGGTGGGCTTCAGAGGTTAGAGGCGTCAATTCTCGTGGCATTACAACTCATATTTTCCCATTTAATTACAGATATGGGGGCGAATCTTCTCGCTGAAGAGGGCAAAGTGAAATATTTCTCGTGGGTTATCGATAATAAATATTACACAGCACAGGCGCTTCTGTGCACCACTCATCAGTTACCTTTGGAGATACCTGTGGAGGGGATCGAGGCTGTGATACTGTGTTATGACCCAAAGGTGCAAATTTCATAGAAAAACTTTGTGAATTCGCCCCCATCAAAAAAAAATTATTTAAAAAATTTACATTTTTTGGGCCAACTCCATATATTTTCCAAGTTTATCAAAAATATATAAAAAATATCTATAAAACATATATTTCACATATTAAAAAAATAACATATATGAGATATCTGTTTTATACGTATTTTTTCATGTAAATTGGGCCAATGTAAAATAATTTTCAACATATTTTCCAAAATATAAATTTTTCCCTGCGGGCGGTAGAAAATTCTGTTAGATTTCTATTGAAGAATCGAGTGGAAAAAAAACTAGAAAATTCACGTGGAGGTTCAATTTATGATTTCTCACTGGAATTTAGGAGACTGAGGGAAGCCTGGGAAGTTATGTTGCACTTGTTGAGGGCTTGACGGACGCTGATGTCATGCTGTTGGCTTGTGATAGCTTTCCAGATGCTAACAAAAGAGACGAAGGTATTCAGTTAATCTCATTCTCTGAAAAAAATTCTAAAAATGATTTTCGTTAAACTTCGTGAACATGGACATCAAAATTTCATGGAAAAACAACGAAAGCACTAGGTTTTTTTATGGAAATTTTTCGTGTGTTCTGCATTCGTGTTTATTTATTCTTTATTGAGTCTCAATGTTCTTTTAATTATTTATTACAGCAACTGAGTGGTGTCACATCAATAAATTCGAGCTTGTGGACATGGAGTTACCTGCAGACTCGTCAGAAAGTATGGAGGAGGGTGTGGAGCAAGAGAATTATGGGATTGAGAGGATTATCGAAGCTTTGCACACACACTGTTGGCCAAACAGGGAATTGAAAGGTTTGCGTTCTGTATTTTTGAGAATCTCAAACTAAAAAAAATTGAGGAATTCTCGGGAAGTCCTTCTAGTTTTTTAGATTTCTGTTGAATTCAATTGAAGAATTCAACACAAATGAAAATGGCATAAAATTTTTTAATCAGTGAATAATTCAATTCTCAGGATTAAATAATGGCAGAATTTCCACATCAAATGAGCCAGACGTGAGTGATGTTGAGAGTCAGCTGGAAAATATTCGCCTGCATCCTAATCGAGATCCAGCTAATCATTTATTGATGGAGAGTGTCTTAGGTGAATTATTCCCCGAAATTCCCAAGGAAAAAAATCATGCCTATGATAAAATTGAATTAAATTTACTTCAGATGGCATAATGGGCGAGGAGAACGCAGATTTCGGTGAATTATTCGGCCAATTAATGGCGATGAAGGAGCACGCAGCGTCTTTATCAACGAGTAATCGTAAAGCAGCTGCTGAACAGCTGGTCACAGCCTTCTGGAGGGCTATGGGTGGAGATCCCGCTGAAATTGAGGATCTGGACCAATAGAAACGACAAAAGCCCCTGTGAAAATATTCGAAGAATCTTCAATTGTACAGAAACTAATTAGAAACCATTGTAAGCAAATCGTATTCTTTTTTTTTTAATAAAAATTCATCTCATGTGAATTGCTTCAAAATCATTTATAATCCCAAGAATTTTCGATTCAGTAAAATTAGATGAGTTCGAAAACTAATTAATCAACGTCAATTGGATAAAATTTTTCAGGATATCCTTACGAATTGAAAAAAAATTCTGACAGTGAATGAAAAATTCTATGCAAAACAAATTTATTAAAAAATATAAAACAAAAAAGATCATTTTCCACAGCAAGAAATTAAATTATCACTTAGTACTGTCATCGGAATTGTCTCCACTGTGCTCCAGGTATGTAACATTGGCAGACTGCTCCCTAATCTTTTTATACTTCTCCACAAGATCCCCAATGGAAATTCTCCTGTTGCTGTCCTCTCTTTTCTCCCTCCTCTGAACGTTGGGGCTCGCTCCAACAGTCAGCATGATCTCCATATTCTCAGAAATCGTGGTGAGCTCACTGACAATCTCAGTCGAGTTGAAGGCTGGTCTGTCGACGTAGATCATCTGCTTGTGTCCAGTGACTTTTTCGGGTGTGGAGTTCATGGGAGCCGACAGATCTCGGCTCAAGTTGAAGGAACTTTTGTTCCCGAGGTGAGGCTTCAAGTCAGACATGTTGTAAACGTCTCCAGCAATGCTATTGTCGATGGAATTTGTCTTCCAGGGCCCTGGGGAGGCTATCGTGTGATTGTAGAGACCTCTCTTCTGGGTTGTACTGAATAATCTTGAGAATTTTCCCTTCGCTGTGAATCAAAAACACTAAATTTAACAAAATAAAACATTATGGCTGACGACAAGAGATTTTATTTCTGAAATTTCAGAAGAATTTTATTCTCGATTTTTTTGAGTGCAGAGTTTTTTAATAAAACGTCATTTTATACGAAAATATCCTCCATTTTTTTTCAAATATAAATATTCAATACATTATATTTTTAAAAATAACAAATAACTAATTTAAAAATAAAAATGAATAAAAAATAACAAAAACTAGGTTTTTCCATAGAATTCTTTATCAGAATGTATTAGATTTAGAATAAAATAAAAATACCTGTAGATCCAATGGGTTTCACAAGTCGTTTCGGTGGTGAGAATTTTTCACTGACTGTCGATGACATCGAGTCATCAAAATTGATCCTCGAAACGACCAGTTTTGGCCTCGTTTTGAAGGCCTTGGGAATCGTTGGTGTCTCGTTGTTCTTGTAACGCAGAAACAGGGACTTGTGGACATTTTCCACCGGCGTTAGCTCCAGTCGTTCAGCAGCATCGTACCTCTCAGGCTCATTATTGGAATTCAGATGAATCGTTGGAGACGATTTGAGGACTACTGACTCGAACACCTCGGGATCGAGATGGAACGAGAGATTGTGGTTCTTGGGGGCTGGATTGCTGGTGGGTTTCACTTTAGAAGCTAGAAGGGCCACTGTCGACTGGAATGAAGAGACCAATTCGCACATTTGATTCAGATCAGCAGTGCTCGCTTGGATCTGGAGATTGCAATCTGTAAAGTCTGGAAATGAATTCTTCTGAATGTCCACGCGAAGATTTTTCAGGAGACATTTGAAGATTATGAGGAGGTTCAAGAGGTTCAGCTTGTTGTCCTCGTATAAATGGTGCACTGCAACCTAAAATACCAATTGATTTTTAATTTTCATTAAATCATTTTCAAAAATGCCAGCACAAAACTCATTCACATTTAACAATACTTTACTTTAAATGAACGAATTAATAATTTCACATAATAAAAACCTATTGCTTTAACCAAAAAACAAGAATAAAAATATAAACGTAATACCTGAGTCTCAGGATCCAAATTCCCCAGTTCCAACAGCTTTTGAGTGTCAATCCTCGGTAGATTATTAGCATCTAAACAATTAGAGTCACTATTTAAAACGCTGTCGACGACAGCAGCAGTGTTATCACTCTTCTCCCTCAATTCCCTGAGGATGTCTTGCTGGCCCCTGAGGTACCCCAGACTCTTGCTGAGATTATCCTTCCACATTAGCACAATCTCCTCGTCATTGGGGTCAGCCATCCTCTTCTTGATGTCTGGGTGGATCGTAGCTGCTGCCACGACATTCTCCAGCCGCTGCTTCACCTCGAACCACTCCGATTGCGCTGTCTCGATGGATCTCGCCATCTCTGCTGCCCGGGCCTGTGCCCTCGTCTCTGTGCTCATGCTCCTGTTGTGAAGCTCCAGAATCTCCTTCTTCTTGTCAGCTATGATGTTGGTTAGCAAATTCTTCGTGAGAATGTCCTCGTCCCCTGACTTCGGGGCCATGTTCAGGGGCTCTGCCCCCTGCTTTTTTAGGGTCACTCTCAGGACTATTGTCGACAGCTTCCACATCAGGCTCACGAATCTTGTGCCACTCGCTGTGTGCAAGTGTGAGGGCAGGATTTGGGATAATTCGATGTCGGGGTTTTCTGTGGCTATTGTGTTCATGAAGTCCTTCACCTCGTTCCTGTACTTTCCCTCGTCCTTTTTGTCGAGGATTGGCCAGTCGACTGACTTTTTGAAACGATCTTCGTCGTAGGTTGATAGCAGGTAGTGGGAGACGTGGATGAAACCCACTGTATTCGGCTTATCGAACATTCCCTGGGGAGGTGGAGGAAGAGCACGGTTCAAGCATTAATTTTTACGTATTTTCCACGCATTTGTTGATATTGACACTTACGACAAAATTCAATTGGAAATCAATTTAGAGAATTCTATTGGAATTCTCTAGAAATTCTTCTGGGATTCTCGGGAAAATTATATTTGTTAGTCAACAGACAAATAAAAAGGCAATACATTTCCATTTTTCTAAATGAATATTCTCTCAGATTTTTTTTATAAGAATATAGAGAGAAAGAGAAAACTGAACCAAAAAAATCGTAAACTATTGACTTCCTATCAAATATCTAATAGAATTTACACCGAAAATAAATAGAATTTTAAGGAGAATTCGATAGAATTTTGATAGAATTCCAATAGAATTTTCTAGCGAATTCGTTAAGGTTTTCGTTGAGTTTTTGAGGAATATCTCGGAATATAAGGGAAATAACGAAATATCCCTAATGACCTTTTTTGTAGCCCTTAATTCGCTCTACAAAAGAGGTCATGACCAAAATTCCGTTATCTCCATTAGATTTCGAGATATTCACAGAAAACTGACAATAGCCGAAATTAAGTTGAACTGTTGCTCTCCTGCTAATTACTATTAATCTACGAACTTTCAATTTTTTTTCTAACAAACTAATACCTCGAGAATGAAAGAAAATTAAAGCACGCCAATTAACCAATTAGGATTTTTTCTGCGGAAAAACTCCGAAAAATTTTGCTGGAAATTTCATGTCTTTTGAGACTTTGGGTCAGCAATGCAAAAATTAATGCAAAATGAGGATGAGATCAATCGATCTGGTCTCACGATCCATTTCTCAGAGTTGACGGTGATAACAGGGTGGACTTCAAGGGTTTAACTCACCTCTTTGAAGTACTTCTTGAATTCTTTTCCCGGAGGCACCATTTGAGTCAACAAAAAGACATTCCGATAGAACGATTTGCTCTCCATTTTCGGAGGTTTGTGGTACTGACGAGTAAAAATCACATGTATGTACAATTTGGGGTGCTGTCAATGATTGCGGTTATGCCTGCATCCCTTGCGGCGCTCTCCCTCCGGCTTTAACGGAATAAATTTAAATCGACGCTTCGTCGCCGAGCGTTTGGTGACGCTGCGGATTCGGCAAGCGGGAAGTTCAGTTTGAGGAACGGATCATTGCAGTTTTTTTTTGCAGAAATAAACGAACAATACGAGGAATTTTTCCAGTTTTAATTCATCTTTTACGTTAAAAATCAGTTCATAGGAACAAAATCAATGAATAAAAAATTCCGTTTCCCTTTTTTTATGTCGAAAAATTGATAGAATTGTATGAAGTCATCAATTAATGATAAATTAATTTTTTACCTGGGGCCAAAGTGTCGGATTCTGGATTTTTCAGGGGAAAAGTCGACTTTCGCCAAAATCGAATTTTTTGGCCGAGTGAACGTTGATTCCGATAATCCAGGCGACGGGCTATCCAGAACTATCAAAAACATTTGGAAAAAGTGAAAAATGAAAAAAAAAATTTTTCACCTGGGGCCGAAGTGTCAGATCTTGAATTTTTTCAGGGGAAAGTCGACTTTCGTCAAAATCGAATTTTTTCGCCGAGTGAACGTTGATTCTGTATTATTTCACGCATTTATTTACATTTCTGGGTATTTCATGTTCAAGAACTTTTGTTTGCGTAAAAATCGCGAAACACAAAGTTGTCCCTCCCTTAGTACCCTCAAGTGCCAGGGGGTTGGGGATTTTTCATGGGATTGAGGGAGTCCCCAGAAACATTCTCGAGTAGGACTTGTTATTTTTTTTTGGATTCTTCACGTTGAAAAAATTTCCGGACGACTGTGTGACATTTTCTTTATTAATTAACTGTCGACCGATAGAAAAAATGATTGATCACACTATCACACACTCCTGATATTACTGAAAACCGAAATAATCATAACGATTTGCACTTTATCCTTTACGGAATATTCACTGTAAGAAAATCAACAGAAAAAAATGAATTCATTTTCTTCCCTCAAACTCCCCATGAAGTTCAACGACACATTAAACAATTACCGATAAATCCCTCAATAACGCAGTAAACATCACGTGATAAATTCAATTAAAAAACGAACTGATTAAATGAAGTACTTGACACTTCACCGAAGTGCAAAGTGCCCCAGTAAATTATCCTCCCCCTGCGTTGCTGGCGTTCCCAGCAGCAGCGGCATTGATAATGCAGGGCGGTGTGAAATTGACGAAACGAATGGTATTCTTGATATTAATATAAGTCGACGAGATAGTGATGAGAATGCCAATGACAACGACTAAATACCCGAGGCAATTTATCAGTCTTTCGAGATGAGCATTCCCCCGAATTTTGCTATCGATTTCGATGTCCGAGGGTCTGACGACAGCCTTTCGTCGCAATCGTCCGGGTTTCGTCGGGTCAACGATGACCGGAGTGATCTCGACGTTTTTCTCCACCATCTGGACTCCCTCCCCGTCATCGTCAGCGTCGACGTCTGATAACAAATCTTCGTCGTCGTCCTCGTTATCGAAGTAGACGTAGGAGTAGCGCTGCTGATTCTTCTCGTCCTTGAACCCGTAGTAAGTCGACTGAGAGTGGATTTTTGGGTCGACGAGGGGAACGTCCCCTTTGAGACGTTGAGCTGGCGACACCACCTCTCGAGCTTGAGGACTACCCCGGGATTGAGCTTTCAGGGCTCGTGCACGCGCGTACATTATCGGGGGGAGGACGAAGACCAGAGGTCCTGTCAAGCTTCCACCGATCAACGACATCACTATGTCGAAACGAGGGACTGACTCGCCCACTGCCACTCCCAGGAACACCACCGCCGAACGCATCGCGCAACGCTTCCATCCGAATGCTGGAAGAATATTTGGAACGTCAGGACGCACGACTTTTCAGCCCAATTCAGGAAATTTATGAATGAGAGGATTTAATATAAAAAACTAGAGCTTTCTCGGTGAAATTTTATTGAAAGATTCTGTTTAAAATTGTGTTAAAAATAGAGAAGAGGAGAAAAGTAAAGTGAATAGAAAATTAGAAAATTCATGTCCAGAAATTTCGGCAGACAATGTCTCAATAGAAAAAATTGTACAGAAAATCTATATTGAATTAAATTCACTTCTGTTGATTAATCAAAATGAATGAATTAATTAATCAAATAATTAATGATTAATGCAATTGAATTGATTTAATTTATTTGAATTAAATTAGATTAAATTTGATTTAATCAAATTGTATAAAAAATTCTAATAACATTTTCAATTGAATTTTTTTTTCAATAAATATTAATGTCATAATGCAATTTTTTTCTTACTCCTTCGCACGTGGAGCTCGTCCTCCAGATGCAGGAACATTGCTGCATGGCCTATGACACTGGAGAATATCAGTTGAATTGCTGAAACGAGAATTGCAGCTCTGCTGACACCACCAGCTGGTGCTATCTGGAGGATATTTGCTGTCGTGCTTCCACCGTATTTCCAGACAGCTAGGGACGTTGTTATTCCGAACAACGCACCGCTGACTGGAGTTTCATTAGCAAAAAAGAAAAATCTATTTTTGAAAATTTCCTCCGACTCAAAAAACAATCACTTTAACTCAACAAATTATTCAAACCCATTGGTTTCTGAATAATCGACGAAGTTATCTGATTGTGGATAAAATTTTAAAAATCAGCTATTCATGTAGGAAATTCTTCCGGATTTCTATCTATTTCATGTTTTCGATTCATTAATTAAATGAATTTGATTAAAAATTCATTAAATTCAAATTCCGTTTTCACTATTTTTCGTTAAATTTTCATCACTCACATAAGAACGACAGAACGACAGCTTTATTTATATCCTTCGGCTGCTTCATGTCGACTTGAACAGTCATCAACGTAGGATGAACGTCAAATTGAAAAGCCAGCATTCCATATCCGGAAATGAACTTGTCCCAGGTGGGAGATGTTGGGACTGGGTCGGCATCGAGGGTCCTGTCGTCGAGGAGAATGCACCACCAGACCAGAATAGCAGTCAGACATACAGCGAATGTTGAGCAAATTGCCAGGGATCTTAATGACGAGGAATATTAAAAATAAAAAAAATAGTTTTCTGTTTTTTCGAAGGGAAAAATCTTACTTCATGTCTCGGGGACTTCCCAGCCACATCAAGGGACACAGTAACACCCCAACCACCAGGAGCCAGTAGCAGAAGGAAAGGTCGAATTGATTCTCCGACACTTTGAGACCGAAGAGTTGTAAATTTTGGGATGCTGGAAAATTTAAATAATTTCAGGAGCAGCTGTTCTCCACTTTTGATTGATTTTCTCTAAAATTCCAGCGGAATTCCGTCGCTAGTTTCGGAATGCGAAATCTGGGGCGTCTTACCGACTAATAAATTCGGTATCCCGCATCCGAAAATAGTCAGGTCCAACAGGATATTAATCCAAGTCCTCGCCCTCGGCCCCAGAGTCATTTCAGTTACAGCAGCCAAAGGATTTCTGAGTTTTTTTTAATTTCATAAAAAACCTTTCGTTAGAAAATTTTATTAGATTTCAATCCGTGCATTTTTGTTAATAGAAACTATTCGGGTAAACAAATAAAAGGAGGAAAATAAAAAATAATAATGGAAACTACAATCATTAGAATTTTATATTTTTATACTATTTATGAAACATCTATAGAAATGCCTCAATATAAATTTTCCAAGTTTTTTTCACTCTATTTGAAAAATGAAATAAAAAAATTTAGGAAGAGAAATGTCTGCAGAAAATATTCCATAAAAAATAAAAATATTCCAAACTCCACTGACTGTCTCTATAAAATATCCTCTATTTCATGTTTCGAATGAAAAAAATCAGCGACAGCCAAGTTTTCGATAAAAACCCCATAAACTGCCTCTACCACGAAGAAAAGTTCGAGCTCACCTATTTTTCCTCAGAATCTGAGGGTCCAGCGAAGCCGCAATGACCCAGCATTCCCCGAGAAGAGCAGCAGTATAAATTTGGAAGAAAACGACGACAATAACGAGAGGAATTCCCAAAAGACCTAGAATAAAATCCGAATGAAATCGAAAACACGAAAATGTCACTCGACCGTTCCAATTTTCATTCCATCAAAACCCACCGCATTGAACGATAGCACGTGGCAGCGCAATAATCGGAAACACCCCGAAGATATCAACGATGCAGAGTGTCGCGAAAAAAATAGTGAGCCCGGAGTGAGCCTCCCGATGAACCAGGGGAATCCTCTCCGGATTCATGTTCCGCGGAAATATCACTCGGAACTATCTCCAAAGTGTCCACCTTACGAGATTCCCATTGGGACTGCCCTCGCAATGTTCAACCGGTTTGCACTCCCTGTGGCATGTAACACGATACAATTGTGCACGAGTGAATGACTCAAATCCACGGTGGGAGCGACAGAAGACCCACAAGAAATCCATCCACCTTCTCCTTCCCATCGCTCGTCCCAGCAATTCTATTAAAAAATAGGCGAAACATTTTTGCCTATTCAAATTTTTGGTCAGCAATCTATGAATTCTTATGAATATATATTTTTAAATCGTTTAATTTTTAATATATTTTTTGAGTAGACGGATAAATATATTATTTTTTATTTCTTATTTCATCATATTATATTATTTTTATTATATTATTAGCGACGCAGGGAAGATGAATGGGGAAAACAGTGGAAAAATTGAAGAATAGCTTCTCCATTATATTCACTCAACTTCATAAACTTTGTAACGCGAAAATTGATATTGAAAAGCCAATGTAGCCACAGGCTTGGCGACATAAAATTGCTGACCGAGAATGTTTCCCTATTTTTTAATAGAGGATTCACATAAAAATTGGTGGAAATCTATGAATTCTTATGAATATATATTTTTAAATCGTTTAATTTTTAATATATTTTTTGAGTAGACGGATAAATATATTATTTTTTATTTCTTATTTCATCATATTATATTATATTTTATTATATTATTAGCGACGCAGGAAAGATGAATGGGGAAAACAGTGGAAAAATTGAAGAATAACTTCTCCATTATATTCACTCAACTTCATAAACTTTGTAACGCGAAAATTGATACTGAAAAGCCAATGTAGCCACAGGCTTGGCGACATAAAATTGCTGACCAAGAATGTTTCCCTATTTGTTAATCGAGGATTCACATAAAAATTGGTGGAGTTCCTCGCAAAAGCTTGCATTCTTAAATTTGCCTAATTTCATAAACCTTACGACGTGAATTTTTCATCGTCAAATTTTTAAGATCGTTTTTAAACTTTTTCTCAAATCTAAATATAATAAAAGCGGACGTTAACTCCCTTTTAATGAATAAAAGAATCCATAATGATCAAAAATAATACGTATAAATCACTACCCAATCATGCGCATGCCCCTATCCAATTGCTATCAGGACAGTTGAATGATAAAACCCAATTATTCTCATCTCTTTATTATATACAAAAAATATATGCCAATACATTGTTGAATATTTGGATCATGTCAAGTGTTCAAACGAACTATTCCCTCATGATATTCCACCCCCAACGCCAATGAACTCGCTGGAAAAACCTGGCTAATGTACGAATACATAATAACTTAATGTTTACATCGAAAAACGTTACTCAATAAGTCTGAAAAAAAAATAACTAGCAGAATTCCCTCAGTGTCACAGGCCAAAGATGACGAGTAGTAAAATGCTTGAGGAATAAACGGAAATATCTTACATCAAAGTGTATTAAAGTAAAGCCTCGAGATAAAATAGAAAAAAGGTACTAAATTCGATATTTTTGTCACATGTCTCACGTTTGAACAGCTCCTTCCCCCCCGACTCAGTCATCAGGCTCGTAAGCTGGCGATGCCGGCGAATAAGTTGGACTCGTTGGTGAGTACCCTGGCACAGGTGGTGAGTAAGTTGGACTCGTGGGTGAGTAGCTAGGACTCGTTGGAGTGTACGTTAGACTCGTGGGTGAATATTTCGTGCTCGATGGTGAATATTGTGGGCTCGACGGTGAGTACGTGGGGCTCGTTGGCGAGTAATTGGGGCTGCTGGGTGAGTACCTCGTGCTGCCGCCAGTGGTGTGTTGCGGTGAGCTCGGAGAATAGCTTGGACTTGTTGGTGAATACGTCGGAGAAGTCGGCGAGTACGTGGGACTGGCTGGTGTGTACTGTGGTGAGGTACCAGCGAATGATGGAGACGTTGGCGAGTAGCTGGGACTCGTCGGTGAGTACTTGGGACTGCTGGGAGAGTAGCTGGGACTCGCTGGTGAATATTGAGGGGACGAGGGTGAGTATGACGGAGATGTTGGAGAGTAGGATGGAGATGCTGGTGTGTAATTTGGAGAGCTTGGCGAGTAGCTTGGCGATGTTGGCGAGTAACTTGGACTCGTCGGTGAATATCCAGGACTCGTTGGCGAGTAACTTGGACTTGTGGGTGAGTATCCTGGAGATGTTGGTGAGTAGCTCGGAGATGTGGGTGAATAGCTGGGGGAAGTGGGGGAGTAGCTGTGGCTCGTGGGCGAGTAGCTGGGACTCGTTGGTGAGTAGCTTGGAGACGTTGGAGAGTAGCTTGGAGACGTTGGAGAGTAGCTTGGAGACGTTGGTGAGTAGCTAGGACTCGTTGGAGAGTAGCTGGGACTCGCTGGTGAGTATCCAGGGCTCGTTGGTGAGTAGCTGGGACTCGTTGGCGAGTAATTTGGACTCGTGGGCGAATAAGTTGGACTTGTAGGTGAATAATTCGGGCTGGAAGGCGTCATACTTGGGGAAGTGGGTAGATAAGCTGGTGAGGTAGGCGAATAACTTGGGGATGCACCGCCTGCTGGCGACATTGGGTAGGGGCTCATGCTGGGGCCTGGACTGCCGGGGCTGCCAGGCTGTGGGGAATACGCTGAATAAGCTGGCGATAGCCCTGAGGCGTCTGAAGCTCCTGACGGTGAGAAACAAGCGCCCCCAGGGGTCATTCCACTTCCCAGTGTTGGTGACATTGCTGATGCACCGTAACCCGGTGTCGCTCCTGCTTGGTTCCAGGGAGTCATCTGTGGGCTCATACTCGGTGTGGCAGCACTTCCGAAGAACATGCCAGCCCCACCCATGACACCAGCACCCACTGCCATCGGTATCTCAATCCCCTGTTTACATTTCTCAGCATCGAGCAGTAAATCGAAACAGCCAGTTCCAATTCTTGGCAACTGCCCCATGATGATGTTCTCAGAGACACCTCTCATTGGATCCACCTCGGCGTGAGATGCTGCGTCCAACAGGACGTCGACAGTCTCCTCGAATGAGCATCTCATCAGTGCACCAGTGTCCTGTCTGTTAATTCCGTGACGTGTGATGGCCATCAAGTGCCCTTTGGCTGTCATAACGTCGCACAACAATGCAAGATGCCGGTAGTTCACGTAAAGTCCGTAAAACTGGAGTACAGCATTCATCTCCTTCTCCACTGACTTCCTCACAGCCTCAATCCCCAGAACCTGGAATATCTCGCAAATGTCGTTACTGAAGGTCCTCACTGGATCAACATCTCGCTCGGACAGAACCTTCATCAGACTGGTACCATCAGTCTCGAGTAGCCACTCAGCAATGGCTTTGAACTCTCCAGTATCTGTGATGATGATTCTCTTCTTGGAATCAGTCTGCGGCAAGTGCATGTACACTTTGCCAATCGCCTCGATCCCCTGGAGTGTCATATCACTCAGCATATTCGCCTCAATACACCTCAAGAACATGTCGTCCTCCATCTTATCCACAGTCTCCTCCTCAGTGTCCTGGAATTTATTGTCATCACTGTTCATAATACGAATTCGAAGGACTAGTTTCTCGGCATTATCGTCGTTGAATATGCAGTTGAGATCGTCACCAAAGCCAGCATTGATCTTCTCAGCGATCTGCTCCATTGTTAATTTCTTGTCAGTCATTCTCTTGCGATCGAGCTCAATGCGAAGTAGCCAGGGTGATATTTTCGTGGGATCGAAATCAGGCATTTCGTAGTAGACATTGACGAACTCCTGGTCCTCAGCGATAACAGTATTCTGGGGGTCTGGGTCGTAGTAGATGGCTGTGTTGGCTGTTACCTTCCTCAAGGTCGTGTGCTCCAGTCTGCAGAGGACATTCTTGGCCTTCTCGGCGTCTCTGGCAGCTGCACCAGTCAGGAATACCGTCAGGGAGGGGGCCTTGGGCTTTTTACTGATGTTGATGATTTCCTTGAGCCTCGGCACACCGAGTGTCACGTTCTTCGAGGATACACCAGCGAAGTGGAAGGTGTTGAGGGTCATCTGGGTGGCAGGTTCACCGAGACTCTGGGCAGCCAAGGCCCCCACCATCTCCCCAGGTGCTGCCTGCGCCTGTTGGAATCTCGTCTCAATCTCTCCGATCAGCCATTCGAATGCCTCACTGGACAGCCTGAACTCCTCGGACACACATTTTGTGCAGAGGGTCGACCTCACCAGACATCTGAAGAGGAGTGTGGCGTTCTCGTTGGCCTGTTTGCTGAGCCTGTCGTCACCAGCCACGATGATGCATTTCTCCAGGAGATCCTTCACCCCCTGGATGACTCGCATGGGGCTGAGGTCGGTGGGCGCCCTCTTGTTGATGTGGAAAATCTTCTGAACGTTCCAGATCATTCGTGTGAGGTTGCAGGGGAGCACCACCTTGGATTCCCCACTCGGGAAGATCTCTCTCAGCACCTGACGATCCCTGTTCAACTGGTCCCACTCTCTCTCCAGCTCTGAGATCACCTCCCCAGAGCCCATCATCTCCCTGACTATTTCCTCGTTGAAAATCCTCCTCAGGTATCTCTCGTTGGTCGGATCGAACCTGAATTTCTTCTCAAACGCCTTGTTGCTTAATTTAATTGTTGGCAGATTCTGGAATTCAACCGTCTCACCACAGAGCCCATCCTCTCCGTAACGTAACTGAATCAATTGTCCCACTGAGTTCCTCACAGTTCCATCGTAGTGCACCATCACCGACTCCATAGCCTTTATCAAACGTCTCTGAATGTATCCAGTCTCGGCTGTTTTCACAGCAGTATCGATGAGACCCTCACGTCCTCCCATGGCGTGGAAATAGAACTCCGAAGGGGTCAGACCAGCGAGGTAGGAATTCTCAACGAAACCCCTGGACTCAGGACCGTAATCGTCCTTGATGAAGTGGGGAAGTGTTCGCTTTCGGAAGCCAAAGGGAATTCTTTTACCCTCGACGTTCTGCTGTCCCACGCAGGCAATAACCTGGGAGATGTTGATGTTGGAGCCCTTGGAGCCTGACACCACCATAGCCTTGAGATTATTGTACTCAGTCAGTGATTTCTTGGCTGAACCTCCAGTCTTGTCACGAGCGTCGTTCAAAATCCTGTTGACTTGGTTCTCGAATGTCTGTCGAAGGGTGTTACCAGGGGTTGGCTCCAGCTCCATGTTGTGGGCCTTCTGGATGACCTCTATGACATCCTCCTTGGCCTTCTTGATGGCTTTCTGGATCTCCAGGTATGTCTGGGGATCGGCAATTGTGTCGCCAATACCGATGGAGTGACCCTCCAGTAGCAGCCAGTTGTTGATGACAGTCTGAATGTTTCCGTAGAATCTACCGCAGACCTCGTGACCCAACTCCAGCATGCAGATGTGGAGGAGGGAGCCTGCTGACGTCCCCAGGGTCTTCTTGCAGAGAATCCCCATGACTAGTTCGCCATGCTCTACCATTACTTTGGTGTCTCCTGGGGAGATCCACTTGTAGGGGCCGTCGTCCTCCTCGTCAGGGTGAGTCGAGTGTGTTCTTATCATGTTGACGTTTCCTGGGATAATCAGGGAGAAGATCTGCTTGCCCGTCCACAGGGGCTTGGGCTTGAGGATGCAGGGCTGGGGCATTTTGCCGTCCCAACTGGGCAGGAACATGAGGATATTCATCATCTGCTCCTTCTCGATGAAGACGTCTCTCTTCGTCATCTTTCGAACAGCTGTCAGGGTGTCCTGCACAATACCCATGACAGGCTTGTTGGCCTGAGGCGTGATAATTTGTCTGGGCGTCACGTGAATGTTCTCCACCTCAGCTCGAGTCTCCATGGACTGGGGGACGTGGAGATTCATCTCGTCACCGTCGAAGTCAGCGTTGTAGGGAGAGGTGCAGCTCAGGTTCATCCTGAAGGTGCTCCAGGGGAGGACTTTCACTCTGTGACCCATCATACTCATCTTGTGGAGTGTCGGTTGACGATTGAATATCACCAAGTCACCGTCGCGAATGTGCCTCTCAACTCTGTAGCCACACTGGAGGTGGAGGTCCGAGGGCTTTGGGTGGAATCTCAAGTCGATACGCTCGCCGTTGTCCCTCACGATGTACTTGGCACCTGGATACTGGGAGTTGCCTCGTCTCACGAGCTCCTGCATCTTGTCGATGTTGAAGGGCGTGACGATCTCGGGGAATGTCAGATTTTGGGCGATACTTCTGGGCACACCGACCTGGTCAATCCGGAGATTGGGGTCTGGTGTGATGACAGTTCTCGCTGAAAAGTCCACACGTTTGCCCATCAAGTTACCTCGGATCCTCCCCTCCTTACCCTTGAGCCTCGCTTTTATCGCCTTCAGGGGCTTGCCGGACTTCTGCATTGCCCTGGGCATGCCAGGCATGTCATTGTCAACCAGTGTGGCAACGTGGAACTGCAACATTTTTATGTTCTCCGAGATAATGTGGGCTGCAGCGCCGGCCTGCTCGTTCCTCACAAGTTCGTTGTTCGATTTTATTATGTCTGCCAGCTTGTGGGTGAGATCATCCTGATTCTTCGCTGAACCGTACATGATGACGGCTGGCCTGACTGACAGGGGGGGCACTGGAAGCACTGTGACGACCATCCAGTCGGGCCTCGCGAATTTTGGGTCCATTCCCAGGATGAAGGACTCCTCGTCTGTTATGTGCTTCAGGATCTCCCAGGCTCGTTCAGCTGTCAACGGGATTTTCTTCTCCTGCGAGTCCTCGTTCACGTGCTTCCATTCAGCACTCACGTCCAGCCCTGATCTGCGAAGGTTGGGCTGGTATCTGCCGCAGCCACCGTGACCTGGTTTACGGTCTTGCGCTGTGGATTCGCCTCCCTCCTTGTTGATGTCCATCTCGTCCCCGCCCTCGCAGATGTTCTTGCTTTTGCACAATTCGTAGACGAAGGTCAGGCGCTTGCGGGGCTGGCCCTTGCTCTTCATCACGATTTCTTTGATCTTTGGATTTTGCGGGCTCACCAGGAGCTTCGAACAGTAGAAGCACACGCAGCGCAGGATCTTGATGGTTTTTGTGATGAATCCCACGTGGAACACCGGCTTTGCCAGGTCTATGTGGCCAAAGTGGCCGGGACACTCCGTCATGTTGCCGGCGCATGTCTGGCAACGGGAGTTTCTGTCGATCACACCCTGACGCGGGTCCATCAGACCACCCAGCTTTGGGCGACCCCCTTCCATCGTCTCCGGGAAGCGGATGCCTCCCTCCGTCACTGACATACGTCGCTGCAAAGGAATGCCTTGTTAGGGGTGCAATCGCATTTCATTCATTATTTTCGAGTCTTTAAATTGAACTGTCTTCTTTAGAATTTTTCGATTTTTTTTATAATTTGGAGGAAACTGGCAAATAAAAATTGAAAAAATGTCGTTAAGTTTTTGAGAAATCAATTAGGGAACTGTGATCATAGTAAGATCACAGTTCCCTAATTCTTCTTTAGAATTTTTCGATTTTTTTTTTATAATTTGGAGGAAACTGGCAAATAAAAATTGAAAAAATGTTGTTAAGTTTTTGAGAAATCAATTAGGGAACTGTGATCATAGTAAGATCACAGTTCCCTAATTCTTCTTTAGAATTTTTCATTTTTTTTTTTATAATTTGGAGGAAACTGGCAAATAAAAATTGAAAAAATGTTAAGTTTTTGAGAAATCAATTAGAGAACTGTGATCATAGTAAAAATTTTAGAAAATTTATTCAGTAGAATAAAATTAAATTCATTTGATGGAAGAAAATTAATTGAACATTTTCAGGGAAATTAAAAATGAAATGATGAAATTCTTTTGACTTATTTTGGAGGATTACGATTGGGGAAATTAAAAATTTTATTGTACATTTGAGGAATTTATTAGGAAAATGTGATTTTAATTAAATTTATTGGAGCGACATGAAAATAATTTGATTAAATGAAATTGTCTAAGAAAAACGAAAAAAAAAGTAATCTCCGTTGATAACTCTTCAAATTTGGGAGGAAATGATTTATAATTACTTTCTTCAGTTGAAAATTTTTGAAAGTTTTTGAGAAATCAATTAGGGAACTGTGATCATAGTAAAAAATTTAGGAAATTTATTCAGTAGAATAAAATTAAATTCATTTGATGGAAGAAAATTAATTGAACATTTTCAGGGAAATTAAAAATGAAATGATGAAATTCTTTTGACTTATTTTGGAGGATTACGATTGGGGAAATTAAAAATTTTATTGTACATTTGAGGAATTTATTAGGAAAATGTGATTTTAATTAAATTTATTGCAGCGACATGAAAATAATTTGTTTAAATGAAATTGTCTAAGAAAAACGAAAAAAAAGTAATCTCCGTTGATAACTCTTCAAATTTGGGAGGAAATGATTTATAATTACTTTCTTCAGTTGAAAATCCACAATACACATTTTTAACAAAATTGCGTGAATCCACGCAAAACAAGTTATTTTCCTTGATCAATTATTCACAACAATTCTTATCCAATTCTTTTCTCATTTCCGCCTGAGCTATATAAAATTCTGAGAATAAGCGGGATACCCACTGCAGTAACTACACAACACCTGAAACCTCAAAACTACAAAAAAAAAAACTTCACTATTTTATTTTCCCCCCTTCCCCTCCAGAATCGCTAATTATTCGGCGGAAAAATGTGATTATCAGCAGAAATATATTTTTGTTTTCTATAAAATTCGTCGCCCAACGTAACGGATCGCAGGGGCTTGCAGTGCTGAAGCGGCAGTGGCAGCGTGATTGGCAATAGCCGTAAATCACGCAGGAAAATGCAAAAAAATTATCACATTGTCACTCTGACGGGTGTAAATGAATTACTCACAATTTCATCGGGTGAAAGGATACCGAATTGGACCCTTTTAACGGTCCTTATCGGAGCCTTCGAGTCGGACGTGGCCATTTTGTGGTGAGCCTGAAGGCTTCTTTGGCCTTCTGCGTCGCGACCCGCTCTAATGCAGCCGCCCGCCGCTGTTGGACGACTACACTCGACCCATGAAAATAACGATTGAGATGGGAAGCCTCTCGTGAAAATCGAACGCCCCTGGCGAGGGGGGACTTCCCTCATTGGCTGACCTGGCAGACTCAGCGCGACCCACTCCTCGCATTTCTCATTGTCAATGACTGAATCGTGTGTGCTCCGTGCAATAATAATCAACCCCCAAAATATTGTCTCTTGTTCAGATTTTTAGTAACAAAGTTGGCCTCTGTAATAATCTGCACTCCCTTTTTGAGAGTAAAAACCATTCAATAATAATACTAGCACCATGGCTATGTCAAAAACCACAAACACGTACAACAGGCAAAATTGGGAGGACGCTGTAAGTCATTTAACATGTCAAGACTTTCCTGTCATTATTGACACATTGTGGCAACAATATTCTCAGCAAAATATTTTTCTATTGCTTCAGGAATTTCCTATTCTCTGTCAGACGTGCCTCGGAGACAACCCTTACATTCGAATGGTGAGTGATGTTTTATTCCAGGGCATGCCTATGGGTATTTTATTACACAAAACATTATTATTCTATAGCATAATATATTAAATTACCTCATTCTCACAAACATTGTTAACTTGTCTTTTATAATCATATAATTATGTATAATTATAATTTTTTTTATTAATGCATTAATTGGAACCTATTTTTAATTTATTTAGGAGAGAGTGGGGTAAAATGGACACTAGACTTTTTTTTAATTGTTCATAACTCAGAAACAAATCTATCAATTGAGTTCAGTTTAGGCTCGTCACGAAGGTAAAGAATTGTTCTTTGTATTGAAAAAAAAAATATTAAATTTCCTCAACATTTCAACCCCTCATTAAAATTTAAACAAAATCAAAAGTGTCCGTTTTGCCCCAACCTCCCCTAATTAATTTTATTCTCCTAAAAAACGATTACAAAAATTTACATAAATTGTTCGCGTATCGATCTAAAATTTGGTAAATCTCACTCATCAGGGCAATTACTTTATTTCCCTCTGCTGAAAAAGCCAAAGAACATTAAACATTTAAATTACATCTCACATATTTCAATGATCTCTACATGAATTTCATTCCTGCCAATTTATGGCCCTCTTTTCAACTCCAAAAATCTCCTTTTAAATATCCGGCCTGCAAAAAACCCCCAGTAATTACAAGACTCGATACTAATTGAAGGCATTCCCCCTTCTTCCAGACCAAAGAAAAATACGGGAAAGAATGTAAAATCTGCATGCGGCCGTTCACAGTGTTCCGTTGGTGTCCAGGAGCCCGTATGCGTTTCAAGAAGACCGAGGTCTGTCAGACCTGCAGTCGCCTGAAGAACGTCTGCCAGACATGCCTCCTGGACCTCGAGTACGGCCTCCCCATTCAAGTGCGTGACGCCGCCCTCAAGATAAAGGACGACATACCCCGATCGGACGTGAACAAAGAGTACTACGTCCAGAACATTGACAAAGAGATAGGTAATATTGACGCAACGAGTCCAGCAGGAGCAGTGGGAAAATCAGCAGCAGCGTCAGACCTTCTGATGAAGCTTGCGAGAACGAGTCCCTATTACAAGAGAAATCGTCCGCATATCTGTTCGTTCTGGGTTAAGGGGGAGTGCAAGCGAGGGGAGGAGTGTCCATATCGTCACGAGAAGCCAACGGATCCGGACGATCCGCTGGCCGATCAAAATATCAAGGACCGTTACTATGGCACTAACGATCCAGTCGCTGATAAATTGATGAGGAGAGCAGCAGCAATGCCAAAGCTAGATCCCCCTGAGGACAAATCAATCACAACTCTCTACATTGGCAATCTTGGTGACGTGCTGACTGAGAAACAACTGAGGGACCACTTCTATCAGTATGGGGAGATCAGATCTGTGACGATGGTGCCACGACAGCAGTGTGCATTCATACAATACACGCAGAGAAATGCTGCTGAGGCTGCAGCTGAGAGAACCTTCAATAAACTCATCCTCGGGGGGAGGAGGCTGACCATCAAGTGGGGGAGATCTCAGGGCAGGCAGACGGTCTCTGCTGCTGAGGCAACCAGGGAGGTCCTCGAGCCTGTGCCTGGACTCCCTGGGGCTCTCCCACCCCCGCCGGAGACCATGGGGAATAATTTCTTCAATCTTCAGGCTACTTCTGGCATGATGCCACCCATGATGATACCACCACCACCAGTGGCTCCTCAGTTTGCCATGTTTCCGCCGCAGATTGCTGCCACTGCTGCTGCACCCATTTTTCCACCTGGCACTGCTCCCATTCATTATCCCAGTCAGGATCCTTCGAGAATGGGCGCCAGCCAAGGCATTGGGAAACCGTGGCCTGAAGAGTAATTCCCGTGGTTTCGTGTTATTGGTATTTTTTAGGTATTTTGGCTTTCTTTTTGAGAGTCTGTGAAAGAAAATGTATGGGTGATTATTAAAGAACATATTGAACATTTTAGTGGACTTTTTGGATTGAATGAATAGACAATACTGTTACATTGGCGAGTCGAAATGTCTCGTATGAACAACAGAATAAATTTTATTGGACTTGGAGTTTTATTTTTGATTTTGGCATACCTGGAAATTTGGATTCTACAGATAAAAAATAGTGAATAATTAATTCGGTTGGTCAATTGAAATTTTTATCAACGTAACGGAGATTACTCTGTCATTGGATTTTCTTATTGATGTTTATCCGAAATCGCAGAGAATAAAAAAAATCGATTTTTATCGCATGCAAGGTCTAGTGTAAAATAGATCTTGCACGCGATAAAAGTATTCGGGGAATTTTATACCATGAATAAATTTCGGGAATTACTTTCTTGGTGAATGTGCCAATCATCCGATATTTATTCCATCGATTGTAATGCGATTGAATCAAAGGAATTGATCAAGTCGTCTTTGTAATCAATGAAAAAAATATCATCTATTATCAATTTTTTTCTCGCCGCTAGAATCTTTGCTGCTGTCTGCTGCGTCGACTGGAGCAGAAAAATCGAACTTATCAGAAATAGTTACTAAATGTTCAGTAATAGCTGATGCAATCGCAATTCGAGTGTGATTGTGTATCAGGGGTAATTTACGTAACTGATCGATTCAGACAACATTTCCAGTCCTGCTTCGATGCCATTTGATCGCCTGCAAATATTCTGTAGAAAAATTACCGAAATCGCTGGAAAATTCTATTAGATTTCTATTCTTTTTAAAAATTGAAACGCTTGCAATTGAAAACCTAATTTGAATTAAATTTCTATTTGTTTTTGGCCGATTTTATTTAAAAATTCTGCAGCCGCTCTGCGCGATTTTTTTCAATATCAATTTTTAATGGAAAATACTCTGTAGAAATTCATCGCCTCAACTTTTGCAATTTTTTTTTTAATGGAAAGAGGAGGAAATATAGGAGAAAAAACTCGGAAAATTCACGTCGTGGAATTTCTATTGAAAAATCTTGTTTTATAGAAAATATAATAGTGGGGGTGGACATGGGCTCTGCTGTGAGGAGAGCACCGATGGAGATAAGACCCCGGGTGTCAATATATCACGAGTGCACCCGCGGAAATACAACTAGTATCGTTTCGGGTCCCCGAGTATGCGCGTCAACGTGATATTCGTCGTCTTGCTGACGATTTCTGTGGGATTTAGTGGTTGTGCTCTTATTCCAGGTATTTACTCCCCTCCCTCAGGAAAAATTCATGATTTTCTCATTCTTCATTTTCCCATTTTTTAATTATTGAAGAAGCGTCGGAAAAAAATAACTTTGCAAACTTTGCGGAGAGAATAGTAATCAAAAGAAGAGATGAAGGAAAAATTCATGACAATTAAAATAATAATTATTTATCAAAGTAAAAAATCGAATAAAAAATTAAAAATTGGGAATAATTTCGCGTTTTACAGATGTTGTCACAGAAATAGATGATGTGAAATCCGATCTCTTCGCTAATGAAATAGTGCAATGGGCAAGAGAAGGAGTAGAATCTCGAGACTTGACTCGTATCGCGAGGGAATTAGTGATCCCCACAGAATGGCAGAGGCTCGATTGGGCGACTTTCGGTGGTCTGAAAGCCAGCATCACCTGCACAATCTGTAAAGCAATGTCAAAAGCTGTGCTGATCCTCAGACGATCTGGAATACCAGCAGACACAATTCAGCAGACAATAGCGAATGTCTGCACACTTCTCAATATTCAAACCAGATCCGTCTGCAACGGAGTTGTCAGACTGAACGCCGTGAGTTTTATATCTCAGCACTATTCGTCGATCATTCAACGATTTCTTTATCTGTAGATCTCATTTTTGCGACTGGTCAAGTGGAGCTATTGTCGCGAAATCATATCGCTCACGTGGTAAATTGATGTCAACATCGAACTATTGTTTTCTGTTATTGAAGTTTGGGATTTTTCGATGACAAATGCGATAACTATTCGGTCACGGGGGGTGAGAGCAGTGGAACGAGTGCAGCTGGATTATCGATCTGATAGTCTTCGGTATTCTCATTTTTTCGCGGATGAAAAAATTTAATAGAAAAACCTAGCTAATTCAATAGACAATTCTATTGAATTCTATTTAAATGTTCTATAGAAAATATTTTATAAAAACAGTCAAAAGAATTCGATTTTTCTGGACGACTTATTCTATTGAGATATTTTCAATAGAATTTACTCGGCTCGAATTTTCCAATTTTTTTTGTTTGATTTTCTTGATGAGAAGAAGAGAAAAATCAATGAAAAAAATAGACAGTTTGAGCCGAAGAAATTCTACAGAAAAATCTAATTCTATTGACTTTTTGTATTGAACATTTCAACAGAATTTTTCAGCGAATTCGCTAGGTTTTTCTACTAAATATTTTCGTGCGCCTCTTTCAATATTTTATAAAAATAGTTAAAAGAATTCGATTTTTCTGGACGACTTATTCTATTGAGATATTTTCAATAGAATTTACTCGGCTCGAATTTTCCAATTTTTTTTGTTTGATTTTCTTGATGAGAAGAAGAGAAAAATCAATGAAAAAAATAGACAGTTTGAGCCGAAGAAATTCTACAGAAAAATCTAATTCTATTGACTTTTTGTATTGAACATTTCAACAGAATTTTTCAGCGAATTCGCTAGGTTTTTCTACTAAATATTTTCGTGCGCCTCTTTCAATATTTTATAAAAATAGTTAAAAGAATTCGATTTTTCTGGACGACTTATTCTATTGAGATATTTTCAATAGAATTTACTCGGCTCGAATTTTCCAATTTTTTTTGTTTGATTTTCTTGATGAGAAGAAGAGAAAAATCAATGAAAAAAATAGACAGTTTGAGCCGAAGAAATTCTATAGAAAAATCTAATTCCATTGACTTTTTCTAGTGAACATTTCAACAGAATTTTTCAGCGAATTCGCTAGGTTTTTCTACTAAATATTTTCGTGCGCCTCTTCAATTTTTTTCGAAGCAAAAAAATTGAATAAATAAAATGGATAATTCGCAATGAAATTCGTGAGAGTTCCGACTGCTTTCATTTCGAATTTTGCAGCCGCTAATCCTGCACATTGTGGATGCCGACCCAACAATCGATCATAATGACGTGTGCGGACTAATCCTCCAGAATCAGAGATGCGGCCCGCCGCCCCCGCGGTACAACTGGACAGTTGAAGTTGACAACAGCCCGCCTCTGCATTTCGAGGTGGAAGAGTCAACGGAGAGCCTGAAGATCCTTCAGATAACTGATATCCATTTCGATCCTCTTTACGAGCCCGGCGGCAACGCAGATTGCCACGAGCCCACGTGCTGCAGGCGAGGGCAGAATAACACCGGGGGGAATAGAAAATCCGCCGGTTTCTGGGGAGATTTCAATAACTGCGACGTTCCCTGGCACGCGGTCCTCGACGCTCTCGATGAGACAAAGACCAGGCATGGGGTAAACTATTTCATTTCGATTACTTCAGCTGCGAAGCGGGAAAACGATTTCAGTCGATTTAACTCCGATTCTAAGGGAGATAGGTGATTTCTTGTAACGACCTTTTTTATAGGTCTTAATGCGCTCTACAAAAAAGGTCTTAACAAAAATTTTGCTATCTCCCTTAGATCCAGAGATATTCGTGGAAAACTGAGCAATAGTCAAAATCGACTTAAATCATTTGACCGCAAAAAACCAAAAAAAATATTCATCGTTAATAATTTTTGATGAGTGTGAGAAATTGAATCAAATTGTTCCTTCAATTATTTATTCAACAATAGTCTCTCGCTTGACTCGCAGTGCGGTTCACGCGCTAGACACGAAAATTCTGCTTGAGGACATGAATATTCAGTGAATTTCGTTCTTCCAATGTTCCAGGATGCTGATTTAATCTACTTCACTGGCGACGTTATAGATCACGGGGTGTGGGAGACATCTCGCAGTGTAAACAGTAGGAGTCTTCATAAAATTTTCAAGAAGATGAAAGAGACCTTCAGAGATCGTCCCGTCTATCCTATATTCGGAAATCATGAGCCGCATCCATTGAACCAGTAATAAAATTTATGTTCATGAGATGAATTCTGCAATTATTATTTTTATTCATTGATATTTCTTAGGTTCGCCCCAGATGATATTGACGAGGACAGCTTGTCAACTAAATGGCTGTACGCATTATTAGCAAATATTTGGATCGATGCTGGGTGGCTACCTGAGTCCACCAGGAGCACCATCCTTCAGGGAGGATTTTACACAGTCACTCCCAAGAAGGGTTTTAGAATTATTGCTATTAACAATAATGTGGCGTACATATACAATTGGTGAGAAGTTTACAATAATTTATACAATTCTAAAAAATTTAAAAAAAATGAATTAGTTAATTATTTATTAAATAATCTACAATAATTATTTTATTATTATTATTAAATAATTCATTATTGTAAATCAAATCAAATAATTAAATAATTGAATAACTAAATAATTTAGCTTACAGTAATTGAAAATCATTCGAAAAACAGTAAATTACAAAATGCACATTTAAATACGAAAAATCATTTCCTGCTGAATTTCCAGGTGGCTTCTCTACAAACCGAACGACCTGAACGGTCAATTGAGGTGGCTAGCTGACACCTTGCTAGAGGCTGAGCGAAACCAAGAAATCGTTCACATTCTGGGTCACATGCCCGGTGGCTCCCACCATTTTCAACACACGTGGAGTCGAGAGTATCGAAAGATCGTCAACAGATTTGCCCACATTATTGCAGCACAGTTCAATGGGCACACCCACAACGATGAGTTCAATCTGTTTTATCATCCCGATAATAAATCAAGAATTATTACTGTCGCCTGGAATGGTGGGAGTATAACTCCGTACACGAATCTCAATCCTAATTACAAGATTTATCAGGCTAATGCTAAGACTTATGTGAGTATATTTATTAATTCATTCCACTCCATTCCATTCATTTTTTATTTCGTCATTTCCCATTTTTTCAACAATTTTTTTATTTTCTGTGAGTTGAGATGTTGATTTGTTTTTTTTTTTCAACAGCAAGTGGAAAATGCAGACACTTGGTTCTATAATTTAACAGAAGCTAATTTAACACCGAATCAACGACCACGTTGGCACAAAATGTATTCATTCAAGGAAGAATATGGACTCGATAATTTATCAAAAGAGAGTCTTCACAGTTTGATCACTGATATGGCCAAAGGTGGAAGAAGCCTGGAGATTTATCACAAGTAAGAAAGCATGAAGCTATTATCGAGGAGAGAAAAGTCAGGAGAAATGTGATCGTGATTATTGTCATTCCAACAATTTTCAGGAATTTTTATAAACATGCTGCACCTCAACTCGACAAGAATTGTGACCGAAAGTGCATGCAGCACCACGTCTGTGCCATTGTGACCAGCAGCAGTGACGATAAAAGTGAGTGCAGGCTTTTGGAGGGTCAGAATGAAGCTCCTGCACTGTTTCCCGCACCTCAAGTGGGAGCTCTCCCGTCCATTCCTCTTATCACCAATGAAAATAGTCTTATTTCTAAGAAAATTATCAAAAAATGAAAAGTACATTCTGTTCGCTTTGCTAAACTCGGCTGATGTTTTCTTTGCGAAATAAATATGAGTTTTTTTTATGAAAAATTAATCAAGACTGGCGCTCATTCAAGTTATGTTTATATTACTTTGATAAGGTTTTGTTTATGCGGATAATTATTCTACTCACTCCTTCCTCCCGAGGAAAATAAAATTCCCAGACAGCTATTACAAAAATCTTTTATTTTCGTTTTCATCCACAACAATGCACAAAATAAAAAAAATTATCGTTCAATACTGAATGGGTTCAAATTTTTTCGTTGATCACTAAAGTCACTACTGAGTTTGAAACAGGTCTCTCTCCTTTCCTCTTTAGCGGGAGAATCAGTGAAACTACAGTACAGACTGAAATAGAAGAGCAAAAATTGTTAATGATGTTCACCGACAAAAATTTAGCCAAACAATTGATTAATTACTTATGAGCTGAACTATGTTACTCGCGATGAAAGTCACGCAGTGGTTGTCGATCAAGTGTCCCATGAGTAAATTCCCAACGACAGATCCTATTCTTCCTATTAATACTCCGAGCGATGAGGCTGTGGCCCTGAAAGAAAATTATCATTAAAATTTAATCAAATTTACTAAAATTTAATGAAATTTAATAAAATCTAATTTAATTAAATTTAAAAATTGGATAAGTACTGGTAATAGTAATAAATTCACCTGATTTGCGTCGGATACAATTCGGTTATAACCACTAGAACTAGAGCTGAACTAATTGATAAAAATCCTTCGTAAGTGGACGAGAGGATGAGATTTTGTGTCGACGATTCAACGAAGAATAATCCGACTGTCACGGCCATTGCGACCCCAGAAGAAAGCACTGGAAAAAATGACAATAATTAGAGGATAATTTTCTATTTCTTCAATTTCTCAAACCGTCTCAAAATTTCGAATTGAAATAACACCATTTTTTATCTCTTGAATTCTCAAATTATAAAATTTAGCTGTATAATTCCATAATTACGCAATGAGTAATCACCTAAAAAAAATTTATATCCTAGTTTATTTACAAATAATGGCACCAATATGTTCGTGGGCAAACAGGCGGCCCCCAGTATCAATGTGTGCTGAAACACCTCGTTGGGAATATTCGGTGAACACTTGCTGGTGCTATCCTGAAATTAAGATGTGTTTCCACCAATTATTATTCAGAATTTTTATTCTGTCAAGACTAATAACATTTTCTCATCACTAAAAAGACCTAAACAATGTATTCTCAACTTTTCTTCAGTTTTGTTTCACTCATAAATAAATAAAATAAATAATAAAAAGGGAAAATTTTTTTCTCAACTTTTTTAAAATTTTGTTCCACTCATAAATAAATGATAAAAATAAAAAAATTGCAAGATTCATCAAAAAAAAAACCGAGAAATAATTATCTACTACCCAACTGGTGAAAGCGCTTACGACAATAGTTGAGTTCCCCGCAGGAGCTGCACTGCAGACCCAGGCACTCTCCCCTGGAAACATTGTTTCAAAGGCTTCAAGCCTCCTGACTAACTCTGGGAACCACATGGTGAAGGAGAAGAACGTCGAGGCGACGCAGTACCAGAGTACGCAGATGAGCAGGGTTTGTTTGAGAAAAGGGGGCCTGAACAACGTTCCTGTGTTTCTGATCACATCTTTGAAGAGTTTCTGCGCTCTCTCGTGTTTCGAATAATTTCCTTTCGCACTTCGACTCTCCTTCAGCTCCAGACGCATGCGGAGATCATCCAAACCGTTGTCCGTTAATTTTCTCTAGAATTTTCGAGGAGTTAATTGAATTAATGTCAGCAGTCTGTTCATTTTTTAATTCATTCAATTTAATTGATTCAATTCTTCTTCATTCTACCAATTAATTTTTATTCTGATTTTTAACAGTTGCAACGATTCGTTTTCTGTTAAATAACTCACCAGAAAAGCATCAAAGGACTCCCCCGTATTCTCTGAATGCATAATTTCGAGGGCTTTGGCGAGTTCTGCATCTTCCCCTTGTTCTGCGAGGTATTTGGGACTCTCTGGGAATGTCATAAGCCATAATGCCAACGTCGGGGCCAGTAATGAAGATAAAAAGACAAAAAGATTCCAGGAATGGAAGAAAAAGTAGTTGGTAGTGTAGGAGACGTTTAGAGGAATAATTAACCATCCAAGAGCTGAAAAGATTGTTCTGTTAATATTAGTGGGGACAAATAGGAATTAAACAATTAATTATTTTATTTATTCATTTATTTATTTACTCATTTATTTACTTGCACGAAACAAATTACAAATCAACCCATCGAATTCGATAGAAAATGTAATATAATTCTCTAGCGAATTCGTTAGGTTCTTCTATGAATTTTTTTCGGACGTATAATCAATGAATATTATAATTAATAATTAATATTATTTACATGCACGAAACAAATTATAAAACAACCCATCGAATTCGATAGAAAACGCAATAGAATTCTCTAGCGAATTCGTTAGGTTCTTATATGAATTTTTTTCGGACGTACAATCAATGAATATTATAATTAATAATTAATATTGTGTTCAATTAAAAAATTCCTGGGGTAATTATTGAATCAACTCGTAAATTCTTCCGTGAATAATTTAAAACACTCACCAGGTAGTGCAATGGTACCCAGTACCCACGCAATTTCCAAAGCGCAGAGCACTTTTTTCCTCAGAGTCACGGGTTGAAACTCTCCAACGAACGGATAGACTATTGCATTTTGCGCGATCAATCTGTCGCATTAAATTTGCAAATTGAAAAAACTTATTCATATGATTAATTTTCGATGAATAGGCAATATCCGGACTTACGAAAATCCACTGAGGAATTTGAAGAATATATACCCCCAGAAGTTGGACACAAGTGAAGAACTCAATTCGAATAATCCCTGAGAGGCTAACGCTATCACTAGCGCGTATTTTCTTCCGTGTAGGTCAGCTAGACATCCCCAGAAGTACGAGCCAACGATCATACCTGAGGAGACGGCATTATTTCCAGAATTAAAAATTTTCGCGGCCGAAAAAAAATTTTTCAAGAAAAAATTTTTCAAGAAAAAATTTTTTTTTTCGGGTGTCCGTGCGGTAATTACTTTAATTACCTAAAAATGGAGTTGCCGTCATGACTCCCTGATCCATAGTAGTTAAATTAAAGTCACAAGCAGATGCCGGAAAAATTAAGCTGATGCTGTTCGTAGTAAATCCCGCATTGATCAGAATCAGTGAATTTATCGCTATTATTTTCCATGTGAACTTTCCAATTCCTACGAACGAAATAAAACACAGGGCTTAACCAATTTATTTAATTTTTTTCATTTCCGTTTTCACAATTAAATTAATTTAATTTTATCTACTCGTATTCTTATTATATAATTTTTTAAATCGATATCTTTTCGGATAATGAAAGAATACCCATAAATTCGATCTCTATCCTCGTCCTTCGATAGAATAAATATAATAAATGATAAGAATTAATCATTGGAGACTAAAAATTTTATGCGATTATTATTATGTAATAATTACCGGCCAATCCGATAGCAGCATCAATGGCGTCTTCGCCAGTCGAAGGGCCTGAGCAAATAAACATAAATGAGAGCAAGGATTCATCAACTTCTCTAAAACGAGTCTTCATCCCCTGATAATTATTTCTTCATCACTCACCTCCAGCTTGTTGCTCGACCGTCATTTCAAGAATTAAATTTTTTTTTCAATTAAAAACCTCAATTATTTGAGAAAATAACGCAATTGCTCTTGGAATATTTTCGATAAAAAAATTATAAAAATCCCGAGATGATTAATTATCAAAGATTCCCCGCATTCCCACTCATTCCACTCCGCACTATCCGCACAATTAATTTGCCGCACGATCTACCCAACTGTTCTCTAATTCCACTTTATTTCTAATGCAGAGAATAAACAAAACTTGTTACGTCTTAACTATTTGAACTCAAATCAATGCCCCGGGGTAGCCGTTGACGTTGGCGGGAGGAACAATGGATTACGAAAGCGCTTCGTCTTCAAGAGGTGCTCGTGATAACCCAGCGTTTTCCTTATTCACGATTGTTTACGAATGACAAATGATTGATTTTTGTCTTCCTCTTTTTCTGGGTAAAATCGCCTCTCGGGACTCCCCCGCGTTCTCTGGATAACGTTTCAATTTTGAACGCCTGAGTGGAATTGATTTATCAGATCTGATGGCGATAATCAAGCCGGGTAACATCAATTCGCGGGGAATTATGCATGTTGATTATTTTCTGATTTCGATGGAACAATTTTCAGCGAAAAAATTATTTTAATTATAAAAATCTTCAATATATCATTAACAAATTATTAAGAAATTATTAATATTATTAATTTCTTCAACATTAAAACGATTTCCGGCTTACATCAATCCAGTTTAAATATCCTAATAGAAATTAAAAATAGTAAAATAATTAAGAATCTGAATTTCCAATTGATGATTAATTAAATATTTAAAAATATGGAGCTATAAATTTTCTGGTAAGTAGATAATCCTTAATTTCTTGTAAGGGATGTTCTACTTCGATTACTAGTTGATAATTGTTTCAATAATTAATTAAAAACTGATATTAACTAATTGACAACTCAATAATTTAACACCAATTATAATTAATGGATATGGCTATCCCTGCTCTGGTTAAATGTTTTTCTCAACTTCTACATTTTTAGATTAGATCTTGGTTTAAGAAGTCGTTAATACGTCGAAGAAAATTCATAGACTGATTACTGAGTCATTCAATTTTCGTTATGACGTTCGTGAGACGTTACGAGTGGAAGTTTGATCGTCTGAAAGAAACAGTAATTTAGCAAAGGACGTAAAAGAAAATTCAATTGCAGTAAGTTTTTAGCAGTGGCCGCACCGCAAAAATTTTTAACATTTTTTTAAAATTAAAATGTATTATTATATAATATATTATTAACAAATTATTAATAAATTATTAATATTATTAATTTCTTCAATATTAAAACGATTTCCGGCTTACACCAATCAAGTTTAAATATCCTAATAGAAATTAAAAAATAGTAAAATAATTAAGAATCTGAATTTCCAATTGATGATTAATTAAATATTTAAAAATATGGAGCTATAAATTTTCTGGTAAGTAGATAATCCTTAATTTCTTGTAAGGGATGTTCTACTTCGATTACTAGTTGATAATTGTTTCAATAATTAATTAAAAACTGATATTAACTAATTGACAACTCAATAATTTAACACCAATTATAATTAATGGATATGGCTATCCCTGCTCCGGTTAAATGTTTTTCTCAACTTCTACATTTTTAGATTAGATCTTGGTTTAAGAAGTCATTAATACGTCGAAGAAAATTCATAGACTGATTACTGAGTCATTCAATTTTCGTTATGACGTTCATGAGACGTTACGAGTGGAAGTTTGATCGTCTGAAAGAAACAGTAATTTAGCAAAGGACGTAAAAGAAAATTCAATTGCAGTAAGTTTTTAGCAGTGGCCGCACCGCAAAAATTTTTAACATTTTTTTAAAATTAAAATGTATTATTATATAATATATTATTAACAAATTATTAATAAATTATTAATATTATTAATTTCTTCAATATTAAAACGATTTCCGGCTTACACCAATCAAGTTTAAATATCCTAATAGAAATTAAAAAATAGTAAAATAATTAAGAATCTGAATTTCCAATTGATGATTAATTAAATATTTAAAAATATGGAGCTATAAATTTTCTGGTAAGTAGATAATCCTTAATTTCTTGTAAGGGATGTTCTACTTCGATTACTAGTTGATAATTGTTTCAATAATTAATTAAAAACTGATATTAACTAATTGACAACTCAATAATTTAACACCAATTATAATTAATGGATATGGCTATCCCTGCTCCGGTTAAATGTTTTTCTCAACTTCTACATTTTTAGATTAGATCTTGGTTTAAGAAGTCATTAATACGTCGAAGAAAATTCATAGACTGATTACTGAGTCATTCAATTTTCGTTATGACGTTCGTGAGACGTTACGAGTGGAAGTTTGATCGTCTGAAAGAAACAGTAATTTAGCAAAGGACGTAAAAGAAAATTCAATTGCAGTAAGTTTTTAGCAGTGGCCGCACCGCAAAAATTTTTAACATTTTTTTAAAATTAAAATGTATTATTATATAATATATTATTAACAAATTATTAATAAATTATTAATATTATTAATTTCTTCAATATTAAAACGATTTCCGGCTTACACCAATCAAGTTTAAATATCCTAATAGAAATTAAAAAATAGTAAAATAATTAAGAATCTGAATTTCCAATTGATGATTAATTAAATATTTAAAAATATGGAGCTATAAATTTTCTGGTAAGTAGATAATCCTTAATTTCTTGTAAGGGATGTTCTACTTCGATTACTAGTTGATAATTGTTTCAATAATTAATTAAAAACTGATATTAACTAATTGACAACTCAATAATTTAACACCAATTATAATTAATGGATATGGCTATCCCTGCTCCGGTTAAATGTTTTTCTCAACTTCTACATTTTTAGATTAGATCTTGGTTTAAGAAGTCATTAATACGTCGAAGAAAATTCATAGACTGATTACTGAGTCATTCAATTTTCGTTATGACGTTCATGAGACGTTACGAGTGGAAGTTTGATCGTCTGAAAGAAACAGTAATTTAGCAAAGGACGTAAAAGAAAATTCAATTGCAGTAAGTTTTTAGCAGTGGCTGCACCGCAAAAATTTTTAACATTTTTTAAAAATTAAAATGTCGAATATCGAGGTGAAAGCAAAAGAAGACTTTAGGATAGGTATTTTCAGGCAGAGTTAGGGCTCTAGATGCAAGAAACATCATTATCAACGTATGGGATGAAGCCGGACTGTCTGCATTTTTTTAATTGTTTGCTCGCAAAGGCTATAATCACGGAAAAATCGGGAGCATGTGGAGATTTCTGATGGGATTAGCAACGGGAAGTCCTCAATTGTATCGCCGAAGCGCTTGCCTCTCGTAGATTTCTATCTCAGACACTCAATCAGAAACTTAAGTGATTTCACTATCAAAATTCGGGGTGAAATCTGACTCGGGGAATAAAATTAGAAATTGTTAGCAAGGTGGAAAGCTTCTCTCGAGGAAGTTTCGCAGAAAATATTTCAACAGAATAAGCTGTACAGAATATTTTTCAATGAATATTTCTATTGAAGAAAAAATGCGCAGATAAGCTGTGGAATAAATAGAATTTTCTGGCGAATTCGCATGGTTTTTCTTTGAAATTTATTCGTACGTGTGCACTCATTTCTCCCACCGCTTGTTAAAATCTAGTAGAATTCTCCAATGAAAATACGGGGTTTGCTAATGAATTTTGTTGTGGATAAAGACTTTTGTGACATGACTTCAAACCTGTCACAATCAGTCGCTTATCGTCCTCATAACGCAATCGAGTATTCAAAGGTAAACACGAAAATACAATGCAGACCACTGCAGTGACGATAATTGCACTCGTAATTTGCGTTGGGTATGGCCACAATGCTGAGACGGAAGGTATTTCGAATTTATAAGATTCATCATTTTTTTCGTTGATCAAAAAAGCTTCCGCCGAGTATAAAATTTTTTAATTTTTTGAAATTTTTTCAATTTTTTTTGATAATTTCATACTTTTGAAGACATGAAAGCGTCCGAAAAAGAAAAAAATTTCGTTTCTTTTCGAAAGACATTCGATTAGGATTCTGCGGGGACTTTTGTTTTTTAAATAATTTTCATTTAAAGAATATTTCCTGTGGAAATTAATTTAGTTATTAAATACTCTATTAAAATAAAATAAAGGATTGTTACATATTAATTAATTAATCAAACGATTTAATTCATAAACGAATAAATTGAAAAACTATTCATTTGATGGAAATAAAACCGCTAATATGAATTCAGTCTACGTTTGACTAAATGTTTTATTGTGAAATATTCGAGTTCATTTGATTCAAACACATTATTTCTCTGGGAATATCGAAGCACAAAACATGTAAAATCCATTATATTATACGTGGAAAATCCACAAATCTATATATTCGCATTATTTTTGTATTAGGATAATGAGTTGACAGACTTTACGTACACGGTAAGGGGGGAACGATAACGCGAGGCCGCAGGTAAAGGAAATTGATAGCGAAACGACTGGGGGGTAAATTGGGCAGTCTTGCAATTATTTTCGGAATTGAGGATAATCCATTCACCTTCAGTTCCCAAGACTCAGCACGTGCGTCGACGCGCGCTCCTACCAAGAAACGTTTTTCAATAATTTTCTGAAACGAGTCTTGTTTAAAAAAATGATGAAAAAAATTCTCTTCATTTTAAATTCATTTTTCTTCGTTAAAATTTTTTCTCGTATTGGCATTCATCAATGGAACTTCCAGATGAAGTGTCGAACTTCTCCAAAGAACTTTCGAAACTGGCGAAGACCGGGGAATTTTCTCCGGAATTGGAAGCCATGATTGACGAACTGGCATTCCCGAAAAATTGGTACTTAGACCCACACGCTACCATCGATCATGCGAGCTTACGAACAAACTGCAAAGCCTGCAAGGCCTTCGCAAGAAGTTTCATAGAATTAAGACGAGGTGGAACACCCCAGGAGGACATCCTCGAGGCGCTCACTAAATCATGCGTTCGGGTGAACCTACAGACTGAGACTGTTTGTCGAGGATTCATAGAATTGAACCAGGTAAATAAAAATAAAAATGCGCATTCGAAAATTTTCCACATCTAAAAAATTGTAAAGATTCAAATCAAATTGTTAATCCAATTAGAACTCCATCAAAGAATAAATTTAAAAAAAATATAATATGGGCCAATTCCATATATTTTTCAAATTTATAAAGAATGTATTAAAAAAAACAGAAAATAGATATTTTATGTATTTAATTTAGATAATCATATAATATTCTATAATTATATAAATTAAATGTATAAAATATATCTTTTCTGTATTTTTTTTCGTTTTTATAATTTAAAAAAAAATTATAAAACCTAAAAAAATTATATTTTGAAAAATATATTGAAAAATATCTTAAATTGGCCCAATTTATATGAAAAAAAAACAGGAAGACAAATTAAATAACATCTGTGCAAATAATTCAAACAACTCAGATCTCAAATAAAAAATTTTTCGGTTTATCTGGTACTAGCCAGTCTTCTCCTGGATTCTCGATCATGACCCGACGGTCACCGAGGACGACTTCTGCGCCCTTCCTCTTCAGAACTCTGACTGCGGCCCTCCGCCAGGGAGGTTCGAGTGGACCGTCGACCTCGATCAGAACCCACCGAAGTTGATCGACGCAACACCATCAGAGGAGCATTTCAAAATTGTCCACCTGTCGGATATTCATTACGATCCGCTGTACGAACCCTTCGGAAATGCGGTCTGCGATCAGCCCAATTGCTGCAAAAAGGGACAGGGACCCTCTGCTGACGGGGTGGAACCTGCTGGCTACTGGGGGGACTATCGCTCCTGCGATACTCCCTGGCATGCGGTTCTCGATGCTTTCACTCACGTAAACATCACTCATCCGGTGAATGGCAATTTTTTTTTAATGGGGAAGTCTTCACACTAATTTATAGTACACTGAGAGAATAAATTAGCTCTGGGAAAAAATTATATGTTCCCCTGAAGAGATCTTTTGTCGTTTTGAATTAATTTTCTTGTGAGCAAAATGAAAGTTCTCACCAAAACATGATAATTTCAAAAGAACATTTCATAATTTCACGATTTCGAAGGGACAATTTTGTTTTGGGGAAAGCAGAGCTAAATTTTGCCCTCAGCATATCCTGAATTATAAATTTTCTAGGACGCTGAATTCATTTATTACACTGGCGACATCGTGGATCATGGGGGATGGGAAACAACGCGAGAGGGAAACGAGCAGAGTATGCTGGATGTCTTTGAAGCCATGAAGAAGACGTTTGGAGGAACCCCGGTGTTTCCTGTCGTTGGCAACCACGAGGCCAATCCTCTGAATATGCAAGATATTTGACTTTCAGAATCAATTAATCAATCAATTGATGATTTTTTGAAATCGAGTGATGGAACTTCGATTGCATTTTTAGATTTGCTCCTTCAACTGTTGACGATGAGGGAATGTCAACGAAATGGCTCTACCAGTTGTTAGCAGATATCTGGATTGATTCTGGGTGGCTCCCGGAGTCCACCAGAGGCACAATCCTCGAGGGTGGATTCTACACAGTCTCGCCCAGAAAAGGCTTTCGGATCATTGCACTCAACAATAACGTGGGCTACACAAATAATTGGTAATCAAGAAATGACGAATTTACCATCTTTCGTAGAAAAGTCAACTCAATTATTATAAAAATGCTCAATAAAAATAAATAAATTGAAAAAAATAAATGTAAAATGCAAAAATAAATAACAATGCATTTAAATTATTCATAACAAAATTTTGGGACTTTTTTTTTTATCTCTCAAATTTTTTCCTAGATTTCAATCTTTTTTTAATCTTAAAGTGTCATTTTCTCATAAGGCTGTAATACTAGACTGTCGATTGACTAAAACTTTCACCTGAATTTTTCTATTCACATTAAATTATTTCTAGAGCAAATTTTTAGAATTTTTACAATTAAAAAAAAATTAGAATTTGTTTTTTGTGAAAACTACTTCAACTTCCGCATGAAATTCAGTTCAGATTTTAATGTCAAAGCGAGAAACATAAATTACGTTCATTCGCGTCCATTAATTTTAGGTGGCTCATCTACGAGCCCAACGACCTAGGAGGCCAACTGAAATGGCTGGTGGAGACACTCCTCAATGCTGAGGAAAACGCTGAATTCGTCCACATCCTGAGCCACGTACCCTCGGGCAACCCGGACCAACAGAACACCTGGAGTCGAGAATATCGAAGGATCGTCAACCGATTTTCCCACATAATCGCTGGGCAATTCAACGGTCACACTCACAGGGACGAGTTCAATATTTTCTACGACCCCCACGACTACTCCAAGGTAGTCAGCGTGGCCTGGAACGGCGGCAGCCTGACGACGTGGGTTTTTGTCAATCCAAATTACAGGACATGCACAGTCAACAGCAAGACTTATGTGAGTCGACAATTCCCCTTTTCTGAAAATTCTCATTGATAATCAATCACTTGAAAAGAAAAACACGTTTATCGAGGTCGCTATCGAAAAATCAAATCTCCGATGATTGATTGAAGATGAAATGGTCATAATAGAGTCCAATTTTAATGTTTCTTTCCGATTTCGGGTACTTGACTCTTCATTTAGAACTGCCAATCTCAAATTTCTTATAAATAATTAATGGACTTTAATAAAAAAGAAAAGATTGAAATCTAGAAAACATTTTTAAAAATCAGAAAGACTAAATAAAAATTTCCTAATTGAATAATTAAATAATTTATGTACTTTACTAATGATTTTATATTTTTCTGAATAATTAGGAAGTGGAAGACCTAGACAATTGGATGTATGACATGACAGAAGCTAATTTAACCCCTGGAAAGCCTCCGGATTGGGTGAAATCCTATTCCTTCAAAGATGAATATGGCCTCAAAGATTTGTCGAAGAACAGTATTCGTGATTTAGTCGTTGAACTGGCGAAGGAAGGCTCTAAGGCGTCGACTTATAACAGGCGAGAACTCGAATAAATCTTTTAAAAAACTCAGATAAATTCTTCACAAAATTGTCAATTGATGAATAAATAATATTTCCTTTCAGCCACGCGTCCAAAGACGCTAAAATCGACTGGAAACCTTCGGGTTGTGATCAGGAATGCGCTCTTGAGAATGCCTGCAAGATCGTCACCAGTGTTAACAACAACAATACGGATTGTAATTACCTCAAAGGACTGAATTCGGAAATAAAGAGTAGATAATTATTCAACTTCAAGCCAATTGACATTAATATTAAATAATTCTACCTGAATTATTTAAAAAATTAAATCCCATTTTCCCATGTGAATAAAACGAGAAGTCCTATTGATTAAAATATTCCCTGTCGAGTATCATTTCAGAGGAAAATGGAAAAGTCGTGAAGTTTCCGCGAAAATTGAAAATTTATGTCGAATTAAACCCGAGAATTAATTACAATTATTTGAAGTTATTGAGCTAAACTTGAGTCCGCATCGTAGATCGATTAAAACAGATAGGTATTGATAGATCGTGCGGGTCGCTGATCATCTTGGAACCCATTTATCGATCAGAATTTATCGATGATTGTCACTTGCACTCGGGGCATCAGCAGATATGCATCGACGTCAATATATTTTCGGATTTTCCACTCAAAGTCCAGTAGCTGCAGCGAATCTGATACAATGCCGATTTCTGTGGCTCTGCTTGCTGCACTCGTAACTTTAGTTGGCTTCAGCCGCAGTGCAAGGACCGAAGGTAATCAAACAGTCCTCGCAGAATTAATAACATTAAATTATCGTTAAATCTTTACATTTTTAATCCGCAATAAATTCTGAGAATAACGATCGCTACTTTGGTATTCCGCAATGACTTTGAGAAAAATTTTAAAATATTTTATCAAATAGTTTTGAACAATTATCAATTGTTCAAGTCTCGGAAATTTGCAGATGAAGTGACAGTTTTTTCGGAGGAAATTTCGAAATTGGCGAGAACCGGAGAATTTTCTCCCCAACTAGAAGCAATAATAAATAGACTAGCGCTTCCCGAAAATTGGTACGATGACCCTCGCATTGCCATTGACGACGTGCGCCCACGAGCGACTTGCACGACATGCAAGGCTTTTGCTAAAAGCATCATCAAGTTGAGACGCGGGGGAACTTCCACAGAAGCCATTCAAGCCGCGCTCATAAAATCGTGCATTCGATTGCATCTTCACACGGACATCGTCTGTCGAGGATCCATCAAATTAAATACGGTAAATTCTGAATGTTCCCAATCGATTTCAGCAGCGAAGGGGTGAAAGGCTTTAATTCAGTAGCGAAACGGTAAAGCGGTTTAAGTCGCCTCATCTCTTACTTGAGTTTTTGAAGAATATCTCCGAATCCAAAGGAGGTAACGAAATTTTCGTAATAACCTTTTTTCTAGAGCAAATTGAGTGCTACAAAAAAGGTCCTGACAAGAATTTAGCTATCTTCCTTAGATTCGGAGATATTCACGGAAAACTGGCCAATATGAATTCTATTTTCGCTATTGTCCACTTTTCGATGAATATCTCGAAATCTAGGGGAGATATCAAAATTTTCGTAATGACCTTTTTTGTAGCCCTCGAGAGGCCCCACAAAAAAGGTCATTATGAAAATTTCGTTATCTCCCTTAGATTCGGAGATATTCCTCGGAAACTCGCCGAGAAATTTTTTTTTGGAGAAGTGTGACTGAAAATCGAAAACCATCAACAGCCAGTCTTCTTCTGGATCATTGACAACGATCCAACGGTCACGGCGGAGGACTACTGCGCGCTCTCCCTGCAGAACTCCCGTTGCGCCCGGGCGCCAGCGAAATTCGAGTGGACTGTCGAGATCGATCGCAATCCGCCTAAAGTGCTCGATGCAACGCCGTCGGATGAACATTTGAAAATAGTTCATGTATCCGATATTCATTACGATCCACTCTATGAACCGAATGGGAACGCTCGGTGCGGCCAGCCCAATTGCTGCAGGAGGGGACAGGGACCCTCAACCCCTGGGGTTGCGCCCGCTGGGTACTGGGGGGATTATCGCGTGTGCGACACTCCCTGGCATGCGGTTGTTGATGCTTTGGATCATGTGAACAGTACTCATTCGGTAATTACATTTATTATTATTCCGGTACTCCTCCGAGTGCACGAAAACGCGAAATTAAAAGGAGAAGATTACGAAAATTACGTTAAAATATTGATGTCAGTAAAATATCCTCAAATTTTTACCAATTTTATTATTTTTATTATTAAGAATGAAAAAATTATTTTTAATAATAAAAATGATAAAATAAATAAATTTCGGATTGATTTTTTCATTTCATTTTTTTTTGTTTATTGATTTGAGGAGATTTTACTTAAATCAGTGAAATTTGATTTTTCTATTCACACATTTTCTATGGAAAATCTTCGGAAAAAATCAAATAATAAAATTGAGAAAATTAGATCCAAATAATTTCTATAAAAATTATTTCAATAGAACAAATTGTTAATATTTCTCCGATCATCCGATAAATTTAGCTGAACTGTGAATAGTGACAGTAATTAACCGAAATTACTGTAATTATGCGTAATTATGCCTAGGACGCTGAATATATTTACTACACTGGCGACATCGTCGATCACGGCGAGTGGGAAACGACACGAGATGGGAACAAGAAAATTATAAAGGAAGTTTTCAAAAAGATAAAGGAGACCTTTGGAAAAACCCCGGTGTTTCCTATCATTGGCAATCACGAGGCGAATCCTCTGAATATGTGAGACACTTTACTTCCTTAAGTTACATCCGTCAATTGGCTGATAAAACTCCGAGAATTTTTCTAGATTTGCTTCTTCGAAAGTTGATAACGACGAAGTGTCAACCAAGTGGCTGTACGAATTATTAGCTGACATCTGGATAAATTCGGGTTGGCTTCCAGAGTCCACGAGAAATACTATTGTCCAAGGTGGATTCTACACAGTCTCTCCCAAAAAAGGCTTCCGGATAATCGCACTCAACAACAATGTCGCATACACTTACAATTGGTGAGAAATAAAACCGAATTTCCAGATTTTCAAAATTACTTTTGCCCCATAATGTCTTCACCCCCAACTGGGAACAAAAAAATTTGAGGAAACTTTTTTTTAGTTTCTCGTTGTGGGTAAAAAAACTTCATGGCATTAAATTAAAACTAAATTGTGAAATTTAATTAAAACTAAAACATGAAATCGTGAAATTAAGTTAAAACTAAATTGAAGTGTTCTAAATTGTGCTAAATAGCTGTTTTCCCTGATGTTTTATTTTATGTTTTATTTTTCCCCATTCTCTCCTACAATCGCTTTCAGGTGGCTCATCTACGAGCCCAATGACCTGGGAGGCCAATTGAAATGGCTGGCAGAGACTCTGCTCGAGGCTGAGAAAAACGAGGAATTCGTTCACATCTTGGCTCACGTGCCCTCGGGAAATCATGACCAACAGAACACGTGGAGTCGAGAGTACCGGAAGATTATCAATCGATTTGCCCACATAATCACTGGACAATTCAATGGGCACACCCACAGCGACGAGTTCAACCTATTCTACGACCCTCAGGACCTCTCCAAGATCGTCAACGTCGCCTGGAACGGCGGCAGTGTGACGACCTGGTCTTACGTCAACCCGAATTACAGGACTTATACAGTCAATGGAAAAACTTTCGTGAGTCAACAATTTTTGTTTGTTAAAAATACATTTTTTCATCAATAATAATTTTTTATCAATAAATAACTTCTTTAATGGCTTTAATGACTTCATTAATGACTAATAAATGACTTCTCATATTTCTCTGAATAATCAGGAAGTTGAAGACACACAGAATTGGATGTACAACATGACAGAAGCTAATTTGACCCCCGAGAAACGTCCAAATTGGGTGAAATCGTACTCCTTCAGAGAGGAATATGGACTCAAAGACCTATCGATGAAGAGTTTACGCGACTTGATCCTCGAACTAGCGAAGGAAGGTCCCAAAGCGACTGCTTACAACAGGTGTGAAAGCACAATATCAATTCTTGAGAGATAAGCAAACAAATTAATGAACCCATGTTCCTTTCCCAGGCACATTTCAAAGGATGCTCAAGCCCAAACGTGCAATAAAAAATGTGCAATCAAAAATGCATGCAAGATAGTCACTAGCATCAACAACAACGACACTGATTGCAAATACATCAAAGGATTGAATCCCTGAAGGACAATAAAATGCTACATCATGTCGTGAATTAGTTCAATGACGATTCAAAATATTTTCTGGCTAATTAAACTAATTAAACTATTGACCAACAATTAACTGAAAAATATCAATTATATTTTCCACTGTATTTCTAAATACAATAATAATCCGTATTTACAAGGAGACTCAATCTGTCTGGGGAAAGTTAATAACTAATTTAATATCTACAATAGATTCTTGTAATCCAACCACTTGATGTCTCTTATTCTTATCAAGTCCGCGAATGGAATTTTATCTAGCATGATCATCTGCAAAAAATGGAAATCGTTCTTGGAAATATTCGAATCGAGTCTGTATTCGTGAATTTTGCTGTACGTTACCGTTTTACGAATGTAAATCACTAGTTTCTCGACAAGTTCTGGATCGTTACACTCTGATTGTAAGAATCTTCGCCAAACGGCACCAGCTAGGACTTTGTCATTTGTCAGGAGACCCTCGTCGTATCCTATTACTGCTGCGTTGAATTGCAGTCCTAACTGCTCCATGTGCTCCCTCACCACTGATTCTTTAACACTCTGACAACGTAAAGAGACAATTCGAGAATCATCATTTAGATTAAAATCCCAGAATTGAATTAAATTGAATTCATGTTTTTTAATTAATTATTAATTTAATTTTCAATAATTTGGTGTTCCAGTCAAAGACTTGAATATTTAAGGGCAAAATTCGATGTAAATAACGGAAAAATGATGACAATCGACGGTTGCATTTCCGTAAAAAATAATCCTCGCGAGTAAAAATTTTGTTTGAAGCTAATAAATAAATTGATAAAATTTTTTCTTACGCCAAGTTGCTTTTTCCTCATGTTTGCATCTTGCCACATGGCTTCTACGACGTCTTTCCTGCACTCTGAGCCCTCCAACCCATGATTCATGAGCTTCACCATTAGCATCCAGACGTGGAGCTCTGTCACCAGAAACCAAGAGAAGAATGTGTCGGCCATTCGAAACTCTGAAAAATTGTGGCAACAAAAATAACGGATACATCAGCAATTAATTGTTACTAATAACATATGATATAATCGTATCGATCATGAAGTTAAGAAAGCACCACAAAATGAAAGAGAATCATCTCAAATTATTTTTGAAAAATTCACAGAATTTATTATGATGAAATACTGCTTATTACGTCTTAATAAAATACAGTTTGGAAAATTTCCAATGACTATTTTCGTCAGGCCTCTAAAGCTTCATCTCTCTTGTTCGACTTGATGTTGAAAAATGTCGCAATTTCATCAGAAAAATTCGAAGATTAATCTACTTGTCTAATTTTCTGTTATAGAGATGAATAAATTTTCTCTCACCTTTGAAAAATCCTAGATAATCAAGTCGATCGACGCTATCTCTGTAGAGCAGCCATGCTCGAGGCCTCAGTTGCTAAAAAATGAACGAGAGGAAGACAATTGTTAATTGCAAATCGTGCTAACAAATAGAACTATTTTTGTAAAATTTGAAGGATAGAAAAATTAACGAAATTGACATTTCGTTGCTGAAATGAAAGAAACGTATTTTTTACTGTTCAAATTAAGCAAATCTCCAAGTGTTATTCGCACTATCAGTAATGTTCTATGAACTTGATCTAAATATTTACATTTTTTATAATTCAAGCCCTTTGAGTTCAGGGCACGTACTCACATACTTCTTGTGCAGATGGAACTTCACCTTCTCCCAATTCCTAGTGATGACTCCTTGATCGTCGGTGACAGTGGCAGTACAGAGAGCCACAGGAGACGTGCTGAACTCTTTGATCTGTCCTGAGGGCACCCCAGAGAATGCACCAGTCTGGCATCTGCATAGGGCCCCCACATTCGCTGCGAAATCAGGTCTTGATCCCAAACTTCTGGCCAGGACCTGAGGACATGAACAAATGGTTGTGGTGCAGTGGACACACATTTAAGGATATTTTTATAAAAAATACTCGGTGAATCATTTTTATGAACTCAGAGAAAAAAAAATTCAGAATTATGAAATTATAAAAATGTTCCCAAAGCTTCTAGGAGTGATACATGAATTTCTATACCCAAACTCTGTCTAGAAATTATCCACAAATTAATAGGGATTCGACATAAAAATTTTCTATAAAAATGCCCGATAGAACAACTCCACCCATTTTGCATTCGTGAATACCCCCAGTAGCCATCCCTGCAGGAAGAAATGTGAGTACAGATCTTCGAAATCCCCAATACCTTCACAGGTTAAGGCTAAGCCCCTCCAACCTCGAAAAAACTCACCCTGGCCGATGGCAACCTCTGCACCCAGCTCATCCTCGCAGCTCCCTTCAGCCCCGAGCAAACTCGCCGCAAAAATCCCCTCGCCCCAGCCGCAAAAAATCACAGAACCCACGTTTCTCCACTAGCAATTCCACACTTTCTCCATCAGCATCAATCCCATTCAGAAACCCACCGCAACGTAAATTTCATTTTCCACCAAACGGCGAACGCTCGAACTTACTCATCGAAACAAAAAAACATGGAGGACACCCGGTGGTCTTGAGTGGGGCCTGAGTACACTGATTCAACCACATTTCAGTTATCAATTTCTCCTAATAAACTCTCGTCGTTCAGCTCCTAATCATCACGAACGGTAAAAATAAACATCAATTTATTCGTCAATCCAATCATAAAGTCTCTTGGTCAGTCTGGTAATTCGTAAAATCGAGGAGAGACCTGGCCTTGCATTTCCCCATTCAACTCACCTCGGTGCGATGGCCCACCACTTGATATTGGTCCTTTTTACATCTCGATAAAGATATTATAATAATCTCAATGTCTGGAATAAGTCTCTCAGCCTCATTAATGTTTTGTAAACGACGTAGAAATATTATTTTTGTGCTGAGGGAAGAACACTGAGGATTTGAATAAAAATAATTGCAGCATATTTTGAGTACTTTTGAGTACCTGCATCAAGCACATTGAGATTATAAGTTGTAGGTCGTTAGCTAATTGATGCAATTGGGTTAATTTTGCTGATTTTATTTCCAGAAATTTTTTAGCTCCCGATTTCGAGGGTTGGGATGGCTTCACTATCAACTATTTTTCCTTTGCTTTTCGATGGTTTTAAGGTTTAGTTTCTGAGTCGTGAACTCGTCCCTAGGGTCATTGATGTCTAGAGATAATTGAGACGTTTGATGGTAATGGGAATTGGATGAACCTCTAGTGTTTTTTAGATGATTTTATTGATTATTAATTGGCACTCGATATTCGTCCTTTCTACGTTGCGAGAAATATGATCATCATCTCGACCTCATTAATATCTGATGAATGAAGCAGAAATATTATTTTTATTCTGGGGGAAGAATACTGAGGATTTGAATAAAAAGAATTGCAGCATATTTTGAGTACTTTTGAGATCGTTAATTAATTGATGCAATCGGGTTAATTTTCCTGATTTTTTCTTCGCTTTTCGATGGTTTTAAGGTTTAGTTTCTCAGTCGTGAACTCGTGATCCCTAGAGTCATTTATGTCGAGAGATAATTAAGATGATCTCACTGACTGACGAGGGAAATGTATCATCTGTTTATTTTGTCTGATTCCAGCTGGAGGAAGAGCGAGATGAAGCCCAAGAGTAAGAGCAAGAGAAGTGTCCGCAAATTCGGTAGATTGAAGATCAACCAGAAGGAGGAACCACCCAGCAATGACGATGGCATCGACCTGTCCAATTTACGTAAGCCCATCACAACGAGTTTGTCGAGCTTACGACAAGTGGCTAAACTTTTTGATAATGGAAACCACGAAGTCAAATCCATTCTCGATTATGAGTGCGAAGTCATTTATGAGTGTAGGATTTGCAGGAGTTTATTCAGGAGTTTGGCGAATTTTATATCACACAAGAGGGTTTATTGTAGAGCTAAATTCGATATTTCTATGGACAGGAGCGCCATCGATCCACATGGCATGGTAAGAACATTTCCCAGAATAATTCATGAATTTACATTATTCTTTCTTCAATTAATTTTCTTTAACAATAATCTCTCGCTTAACTAAGGTGAAATTTAAATTATTTACTGCAAAAATTTGATACTGATGATAATTTCCATATTGGGCACACATTTTTTATTAATTTCCTTAAATTTTTCAATTTTAAAAATAAATTTTAATCTTCTCATTAATCTAAAAAAAATGATTATTCAATTTAAAAGTTAATTCCCCCATAAGACTCTTATTTTTGCCTTAATAATCATGAAAAAGTGTATACTCCACACCATAAAATCCCCCAGCGAAAAAGCTATTTTTCCCCTGACGTTACCCCCAAGTCTGAGCTCAACCCCCAAAAAATCGCGCAAAAATTTCAGCCGATCCTAATCCCCAACATAACGCCCCCGGCATTCTCGGACACCGAGTCGAAGGAGAACTGCACAGCGGAGCGTTCCCGGAGTCGCCCCGGCGACGCCTTTTCCCGAAAGGACCTGACGTCAGTGGTGGCGATGCTCCAGCAGAGGCACGCGGACCCGCAGCCGCGGGCCCCCTCGCCCCTCCGCATCGTCGCGGACACCGAGCAGGTCCTCCTGGAGGTCCTGGAGTCCAACAAGGTGGCGTACCAGACAGTCCTCGAGCCAACGCACAGGGAGATCGACCCCACAGACCTGATGAAAGCTCAAGCAAACGAAGTACAAAATATCCTGAGTCGAGACACAGCAGTCCTGGGTCCCGACGGCCACCTCATCGAGGTCAATCACCTGGAGAAGCCCGACAGTCCCCTCCAGTTCCACGACCACCCAGAGGACTCCCTGTCCTCGACATCCTCAGGGGACACCAACCTCACGTGCTCAGTCTGCGACGCCAAATTCGCGACGAAGAAGACGTTGACTTTCCACATGAAGTCCCTGCACACACCCCACAGGATGGTCTACCCCTGTCCCTGCTGCGAGAGCCTCTTCACGAACCCCTGGGGTGTCTACCGGCACCTCTACAAGATCCACAGGAAGAGCAACGACCAAGTGAGGAAGCTGCGCCCTCAAATCCAGGAGAAGGCCTACAGAACCGAAGCGACACGAGCTCAGGACATCGAGAAGGACTGCGCCAACAGTAAATTGAATAATAATCACGAGACAACTGTCAACGAGACGGAGGAGTGGATGGCGCATCTGGAGAGTGATGGAGAGCTCCAGAGGTGTGGGGGGTGTGGCAAGAGGTTCGACAGGAAGGCCGCACTGCTGTCGCACTCGCAGATCTGCCAGAAGAGGATTGCAGCCTGCAGTGATGGCGCTGCCAGGGCCAGGAGGCAGCAGAAGGCCTCGGAAATTGTCCTGGAGACCTCCACCTCCTCCCCTATCACCACTGGGAGGGTGCCCGTGCCTGAGGGCACTGTCTCCGTCAAGGATATCATTCCCAAGGTCGTTAAGGAGCAGAAGGAGGAGGTCATCAGGCTGCCCAATCTCTCGTCAGCCGTCACTCTCACCAGGCTCGGGCAGGACTCGGAGATTGGGATCAGGGTCGAGGGCGTCAGCAGTTTGAGCAAGGATGCTTGGGATAAGATCGGTAGTGAGGCACCTGAGCCGGGGGAGGGGGTGGGGGCTGGGGCGCCGGGGGAGAATGGGGTGCAGGGGCAGGAGGAGATGGATGACGATCCGGAAATCATTTTTACGAAGATTGAGAAGAGCCAGGAGGCAACTGTGGAGAATGCCGACAGCAGGAAGAGGAAGGTCGGGGCGAAGGAGAGACAGCGAAATCCTCATTCCTGTGAGTTTAAATTTTTTTTTCTGGAAGAAGTTTATTCGTTAAAAAAATAACAACTTGAGCAGTACAGCGTTTACTGAGGGGAGCTCGTGACGACAAAAAGTGATCATAATACATTATGACCGAGTTTCATAAAACAATAATTAGGGGCTAAATATTTTTTTTTATGAATAAACTTCTATTTTTTTTTCTATCAATTTTTTTTAATCCTCTGGATTTTTATTTTGGTTTCGGTGGTAATTAATTTGAAATTGTTTTTGATTTGTTTTTATTTTAATTGAGTAATCTTTGTTTGAATAAAATTAGAGGTTTTAATGAATAATTTTTTCATTATTTTTGTTAAAATAAATATGAATTTATTAATTCACAAAATATTGTTGAAATGAATAGAAAAATTCTAAAAAGGGCTCAATGTTCATTTTTATTACTTCAGCATTACTAAAACGCAGTAGAACTCCATCCCTGAAGGACCGATCTGCGCCATCAGAGACAGCTCGTCCCATCTCCAGTCGTGTGAAAGCGATAGAGCGTAGAATCGCAACAATCGCAGACCTGCAGAAGCTGCGGTGTCTTCCCTGCAACAAAAAATTCTCCAGTATGGCACATTTACGCAGGCACATGGCGATCCACATAAATTGGAACAGATATCGCTGCAAAGTCTGTGGATTCAAGTGTTACGAGAAAGTGGACTGCGTTGCCCACTGCAACATGGCTCACGATGCCAAGAACAATCGAACGGCAATTGCTGGAATGATGGCTGAGATTCAACCTGATGACAATAATGCTAGCGCTGCCGGACGGAGTCTCTTGAAGAAGCCGCAGGGACAGCCTAAGGGAGCCATGGATCTTGAAGTCATCGATGTTACCAGGCCCAATACCACTTCTGATGATATTGCCAATGCTAATGAGGAAATTGATTGCATACAAAATGGTAAATTGAGGATATCCAAGCATTTTTTACATTTTGCACAGAATTATTATTTTTTTAAACAGTCGTTGCTTATAAAGAAATAATTGAAATTATTTAATAATTAATATATTTGTTTATAAACTTATTTTTTTAGGGATGAAATCGATTTCTGGTAAAGTTTTGAATATGAATAAATTTGTTACAATTCTGAATAAATGATTGTTACAGTGGATAATTAATTATTAATTAAAAAATTACAATTTTTGAATCATTTCATCAATATTCCTTCAAAAGTAAACTTTATAGTTTTTTTTTCAGATTTTTAAAATATTTTCTAACGGTTAAAATTGAGACCTGAAAAGTTTAAATAATAAAACCATTGATTTATAATTGACAAAATAAAATATTTCATCACAGGTGACTCCCATCCGAAGAAATCTGCCCCCTCACCAGACTCTGAAGATCGTCCAGAGGATTCATCAGAGCGATCGAAACGAGTGAAACTGGACGAAGATCCAGAGCTCCGCAGAATGGTGATGGAGGTGATCTTTGGGTCTTCCGAAGGTTCCTCGTCCTCCAGTGAGCAGTCCCTCAGCAGTGCAGCAACCCCAAAAGCCGTGGAGTGTGGAATAAGCCTCGAGAGAAGTACCTCGTCCAGTCCAACGTCCATTGAGCCCAGAAATCCCTCACCGAAGGCCACCGAATCACCCAAGAATGAGGACAAAGTACAAAGACCCACGAGAAATAGATCGAAGGTCATCGATAAAGATTTTATATACGATCTGGATGCTGTACTCATGCAGGAGCCGGTGATGATGGAGGAGATGTCGCAGAGCCCTGAGACTTCCCTCAAAGTCACGAATGATAAGAAACGTAGTTCGATTGATATCAGGGATTTCAAGGAGAGCGATGATCTCACTGTCGTTCTTTACACTGGTGATGACGTTGACAGTAAAATTCAGGAGATACCCAAGACGAATATCATCGTCTGTGACAAGTGAATTTTTCTTCGAAAGACGTATGAAATTATTTCATAACAAAAACCCAAGGAATTCGTTATGAACTTCTATCAAGCTTCTATCAGTTTCCAGAAATGTTTGGTAGAAAATATTTTGCTCAGAAAAATCTGCACCTCTTGGAATTTCTATAAAAATTCTCTGGAGAAAATTTCCACGTTTTTTCCACTGCATTTTTCTCATTTGTTTTCGTTAAAAAAATTAAGCAGAGGAAGTTTTATAGAAAGTTGAAAATATATTTGCATTTTTTGATAAGTATTTTGGACTGAACGTTTCGATAGAAGTTCGATGGAGATTTGGTGATTTTTTCCGCATGAAACACTCGTTTCCATCAAAAATGCAATTCCATTCGTCTTTGACGTCTCCCCGGAAAATTATGGACATCGATACTATTTTTTGCTTATCCTCAAATGATTTACTTTATGTTCGTTGTAACTCTTGTCCCCTCCTATCGTTTATCTTGTTTTTTGCAAGGATCACTGAATATGATTAACAGTATTTATCCAGTTTATCCATTGGGACGTTCAGCGAACACACGATTGTGTTTTATGTAATTATGAATGATGATAATAATGCATATGCAAGGGACAGTGTTGATATTGTATTGCTATTTTTTCGTCCCGTTGTATATACAATGGTGAAACATTGACCGATTGTATGTGAATGTATTCTAAGGGAAATAAAATTTAAAAATCAGTAAAATGTCTTTATACTTTCCAAAACCTGAATTAAAATTTTTTCAATCATGAACTAATGTTTCCCTGAGGAAGAGAAGAAATTCATTAACATCTATTAATTATTTATTTGGAATTAATAAATTATTTCTGTCATACAATTGATACAAATAAATGAATAAAAACAAATAAAAAATAAATACGAGTGTATTAATTTTCCAAAAATATTCTTGAACTGAATAAAAAAATCAAACAAATAATTTTATCTCTAATAGATCTCTGAATTTTTATAAAAATTATTCTCTTCAGAAATTTCGTCGTAGAATAAGTTCTATAAAAAATTGAAAATGTATTTACATTTTTTCATAAGTATTCTGTATTTAACGTGTCAATATAAGTTCGATGGAAATCTTATTGTTTTATTTGGAATTGATAAATTAATTTTTCATATAAAGAAGACAAATAAATGAATAAAAATGCATAAAACTAATTATTCAAAAATTCAAATTATTTCAGTAATTCGTCCCAAAAAAACATTTCATGTGAACGCGGCATAAGCTACAGGTGGGAAACGCTTCAGCCGATAGGTTCCCATCGAGGCGAAACCCGGACGCCGAGTCAGACGCGCGGAGACCGCCGCCGAGTAGTGTAACCTCGCAATACGAGAATTAAAAATTCGCTGTCCCTCACTCGTCTCTCGCGATCGAAAAACCGTCTGAAAAATATCGTTAAAAAATTGCAAACCCTCACTTGAAGTGTCGATACTCAACGCGAGTGATAAATGTCGCGTGTTTTCGGATAAAAAAGTGAATTTTCGTTGTGGTGAGAAGAAGTTTTCGTGCGTTTACTCGAGTGAATCAAATTGCAGGATAATTTCCTTTCATCTCGTCATTTTGGAGCTGCGGGTGAGTACATTATTCCGTGAGGCTCATCACAATATCACAGTGACCTTGAGGTGGCATTTGCCAGTGAGAATGAGAGAAATTTGCAAGTGTGCGAGACAACTCGGACGTTTGTTTATTTTCGGATTTGAGAGATGAGATTTTCCTCCTGGCAGCCATCACGGATCTTTGTTCCTTCGATTGTCCCTTGTTTTGGGGGCATTCTCAGGATTTTTTTTTCGGAGTCAATTCCTGGAGGGGGGGACATTTTGCGAGGGAATTCGGTGGCCGTCGATTCTCGGAAAGGCCTTGATTGCATTGAGTAAACACCACTTGTTGCTGGCTGATGAGTAACAAACGTTGAGACGTTTATGTTTATTTTTATCGGTGAGATGCAAGTTGGATGATGATTACGGCGTTGGGAAACTTGGATGGATGTTGGAGGAATTATGCCGGGAATCGTATGAAAATTGAGGTGATTATTGTAAATCTTGGGAATGGGGCAGTGAAAAAATGAATTCATCCTGCATTTGGAAAAATAAAGCAGTCGATTCAAATGAAATTCTTTATTTTTATTTTTTGCTAGTAAATTCAACAACATTTTTGTTGGCAATTAATACAAACTGATGCATTTATTCCAATGATAATGTTTTAATTCCATGGATAAATAATTGATTGAGTCATTCCGAATATAAATCGTCTGTTAGCACCGCATAAACGATTATTACGTCTCAATGAATTCGTTTTCATCGCGATCTCAACAATTATTTCAACTAATAATTTGTTTGCACTCCAAAAACAATTTATTTGATGAATTAATTCACTAATTTGATCAGAATAAACCCCTTCTCTGGGTTCATTTATCCGAAATTTGATTTCCAGGCAAGGCCTCAATTTACACTGTTCAATTTCTATTTATTTTTAGGTTTTAATTGACTTCACGGAACCCTGTTTCCTTGAGTGTTTAGAAAACGTTTGAGTTTTGTAATTTCGTGGAGAACAAATGGCCTCTCAGGATTAGCTATAAACGGCGAAATAATTCCTAGAAAATTTCATAAATATTGAGATAACCTTTCGCAAGGTCTCAGTTTCCACGTCCCAAGGAGACTTCGCATTCTCGCCTCTGAAGTGTAAAATGCATAGAATTACTAAAATCATAAAAATTCAAATTTAATTTTTTTTTAATGAAATAATTACCATCAAGACCTTCCAGGATGAATTCTAAATATGAGCATAAATATGAATGAATATAAAAAAATATAGTCCATAAACAATCCAAGAAAAATTCGAAAATTTGTTCGAGAAAAATTCAGTAATTTTTATAGAGCTGGGAAAATTAAAACATTTGGTAATTAAAAAAATTTGTTGCAGTAGCTTTGACAAAATTAAATAAACAAACTTTTTCTTATGGGATTTATTTTTAAATTGATAATTTACCCCTGGAAGACTAAAAATGAAACCCAAAATAGAGGACAATTTCAAAAAAATGTAACAAATGATCCAGATATTTAAAAAAGATTTCAAAAAATGACAAATAATCTAGGCATTTAATACTTCAAGCCTCATATAAACTCGCCTCCATCCGGCGCATATTGCCTATTTTATTTCTAAATAATCAATTCGTCTATTCAATAACTCTGCCCATCAGTTGAATAAAATCTAAATTTTTTTCGTTCTCAATTCATCAAATTCCACAGAAGATTATCTAATAAAATCCCCCGAAACTTCTCCCGCGGTGAAATTTCATTAGCCCCTTCAGCTTCATCAGTCCCACCTGCAGATTGAATGACGAATCAGAAATGTAAATTAATATAAAACGACCAGCACGATTAAGACCAACAAAAGGGAAATGAATGAAAAATGATTCAGGAATTCTTTCCAGAATTCCTCAACATTTTTCTAAACTTCGTCTTTCTCTGCTTTCACATATGACATAACCCATCTCTTGAACTTTAAAATCATTCGTTCGACGGTGAAAAATTCACCTGCTGTTGCCCATTATACCTATCCACTCTTACACTTTCTACATTTAAATAAAACAGACCATAACACCAACAATTATGGAGAAAATTGGAAACAACTCGCCAAATGATCGTTGTGGCTTACGTAAAAAGCGATTCCACTGAGCGAGTCCAGCATCTTCCGCCCACAGCTCTCATTGAGATAATCCCATTAGGATTAATGGCTCTAGTTCTGGAAATAAGGGCGGATAAATAAAAGAGCAGATCCAAATCGAAAGGACCTTCCACCCCATCGTCTCCCGGCGTTTTTGCTCACTCATTTCTTTTTCGGCGATTTGGCTCAATTTTAGTTCCCATTCGGCGAAAATGCGACTGTTGAGGGAGGAAAATTACAATCTCGATTACGCGCAGAACGGGTACATGATGAGGTTACAATGCTCAGGGTTTCGTACAAGCGCGTGAGCATGACTTCCTCCTGTGGCAACAGATACAGGATAAATCCAAACTTTCTCTTTACTTTGGAGTCTAGATCTATCGGCTTCCACAAAAAGCTGTTATTTGCACAATTTTAAACTATTTTGTCCTACACCGTTGAAAATTTTCGCCTGAATTTAGTTTCCACTGAAATTTCAGGAGATATTAACTTTGAAAAATCAAATTTTCCATTAATTTTCGGTTCAAATGATCTGAAAATCAATAAAATACTTGATTTTTCGGGGAAAAATTGAAAATTCATCTCATTCTGTTTCTGAATATTCATGCTCCATTGAAAATTTAAACTAGTTGTGATTGTGAAATTTCAAATGATCTGAAAATCAATAAAATACTTGATTTTTCGGGGAAAAATTGAAAATTCATCTCATTCTGTTTCTGAATATTCATGCTCCATTGAAAATTTAAACTAGTTGTGATTGTGAAATTTCAAATGATCTGAAAATCAATAAAATACTTGATTTTTCGGGGAAAAATTGAAAATTCATCTCATTCTGTTTCTGAATATTCATGCTCCATTGAAAATTTAAACTAGTTGTGATTGTGAAATTTCAAATGATCTGAAAATCAATAAAATACTTGATTTTTCGGGGAAAAATTGAAAATTCATCTCATTCTGTTTCTGAATATTCATGCTCCATTGAAAATTTAAACTAGTTGTGATTGTGAAATTTCAAATGATCTGAAAATCAATAAAATACTTGATTTTTCGGGGAAAAATTGAAAATTCATCTCATTCTGTTTCTGAATATTCATGCTCCATTGAAAATTTAAACTAGTTGTGATTGTGAAATTTCAAATGATCTGAAAATCAATAAAATACTTGATTTTTCGGGGAAAAATTGAAAATTCATCTCATTCTGTTTCTGAATATTCATGCTCCATTGAAAATTTAAACTAGTTGTGATTGTGAAATTTCAAATGATCTGAAAATCAATAAAATACTTGATTTTTCGGGGAAAAATTGAAAATTCATGTCATTCTGTTCCTGTATTTTCATGTTCCATTGAAAATTCAAACAAGACAAGAAATTTCATAATCACTTTCCTCTCGTGAGAATTACTATCATATTTTCCATAAAATTTCAAAAAATTTCTAACGGCGTATGTCCCCATGATCGAGTTGCGCTTCTTCCTAGGACTTCATAAAAAATTAAGGAACGGAAATTAATTCGTGAGCGAGCATTTATCGAAAATAGTCGGGAGGGAGCGCATAACGTCTGTGTTGTCACGCAACACGTCAGAAGTATATCGCCGTCCGGTGCAAAGTGGCCGTGTAAACTGATGTCGTGGTGGAGCAAATGCATATTGCCATTTCTCTCTGTCATTTATTCATCCTTTTTTTTTAAGCTGTAAAAACGCACATGTGGCTGGCTCCGTGACAGGGCATCGTTCAATGCGGCGCTGCATGAAGCTACTGTAATGATTCATGCGAGCAAACGAAATGAGAGGAGAAATAAGAATACATTTCAATGAGCAGCTCTTTTCTGATATCTTTTTTCGTCTTTCCTCACGTCTTTTTATCGAATATTTTGAATATTTCGAGAGGTGCAATGAGAGAAAAACGAACAAGTTCTGAAAATTCCGAAAAAGAAATTGTTTGACGGCCGTGACTATTCGCACCATTGCGTGAATCACTCCCGTACACTCCATACACTCCACGCATGCGTGAAGTTTGTGTGTTTCACGCAGCCGAATTTTCATACTGCTGTGTATTTCACGCAGTTGAAGTTTCATACTACTGTGTTTCACGCCGTTGAAGTTTTATACTCCTGTGTGTTTCACGCAGTGTATTTTTATACACCTGTGTGTTTCATGCAGTTGCATTTTGATACGCCTGTGTGGTTCACGCAGTTGAAGTTTTTTAGGAGTCTCCCCTGGTTCAAAACCATCTTTAGAAGCCCTAGCAAGCTTGTAGCAAAGATGTCAGACAAGATATGAATGTTTTTTTAAGCTACATACTCCTAGACCCCGTTGTCCTCCTAGACAATGATGTCACAACTCTGCTGTTCAATTGAAAACAGACATCATCTTTAGAGACATTTGTCATGTTTAGAGGCTCT